GATATGATGATTGAAGAAGAATTATATTTTTCTTGTAGAGAATTGCGGACATATTTATATCCAATCAACAATATTCTAGGCCTATATTAGACTTGCATTGTTTTAAGTCTAGGCCTGTCTTGCTTTGAAATCAATCATAGTCTAGGCATCATTTTTAGTTGTCAAGGCATCATTAATAGTCTAGACCTATTGTCAAGGCATCATTAATAGTCTAGACCTATGTCAAGGTATCATCAATAGTCTAGACCTATATCAAGGCATCATTAATAGTCTATCCATAGAACACCTTTTAATAGACCTATTATAATTAGGTGGCTTTTCGTATTTACCTGACCAATTATAAAGATCATAGTCTTCTTGGATGACTAAAGGTAATGCTGACAGTCCTTGATAATGCTGACAAAGATAATGCTGACAGTCCTTAAATATGCTGACAATTATGTTGCTGCCTAGTATTTGTATGACATTCTAGACATCATTTCTAGGCTATTCTAGCCTATAAATATGTCCTTCTTTTCTAGCAGAAAGAATCAAGTCAGTTCTACTTTCCAAAAAGTCATCTCTACATTCTTTCTTTGATCCTTAGGACTGTGGTTCTGCCTTCGTTTAGGCTATATCTGCTTATGGTCTATCCTACGACCTTTGACCTTCTTCCTTTGTCTGGCACCGACTGACCCAGCCGGATTAAGGTTGATCTCACGGACTTAAGGGGCCACGATCTGCTTCGTGGTAGCTTTCCTCTTATCTCCCAACAAGAGGTCTTTAGAGTATTTATAGGGAGAAGATATAGGCGAGGTATCTGCTATCTAAGTATTCTAGTAGCTCACTTTCGCGGCTAGATCTTTTATATTAATAGGACTACCTATCTCCTAATAATACTTAGTAATATCTCTTATAATTTAGTTAATCTTATCTTTTATTTCCTTTGAGAGAGAGATATCTACGAAGTTCGACTAAGTATATACTTATAAGAGTACCTTATTAATACGCTAGTTAATAATATCTATATTAATACCTTTACCTATTCTAGCGCGTATCTTCGGAGCAGACCTAGCGAGCTTACTAATTATAAGGGTAATCTCGGTTTCCTATATCTTTTATATTATAATATCTGAAAGCTAAGATCTTCGCTACGTAATATCTAGATCGATAGGGCCGCGAACTCTTCTTAGAACCTAGCTATATAGCGGAGTAGCTTCCTACTAAGGCTATATAGTTTAAGTCTCTTTAGGCTATCTATCTTATATTATATTATTATTATTAGTATTAGTAATATACGGTTAGAATCTATTAGTCTAGGAGTTCCTTATTTTAGTAATATCTTAGTCTCTACGACGCTTTATAGAATAGCCTTTAATAGCGTTAATAGTACCGAATAAGATAATTACTTTTTTATCCTCACTTTTCTTGAGCTTCTCCTATATAGGCGCGATACTAAGAAGCGTAGCAGTAATAGAGTAGATAGGTATATTTAGGTTTATAAGATAAGTAAGAGCAAAAAGAGTAGCATAAGCGATATTATTACTTAGCTATACGGATACTCTGTACGACTCCTACTTCTTTTAGTTATTATATTACGCTTAGAAGGCTTCTTAGTTTAATTATCCTAGGATTATACGTAGTCTTAGGCCTAATTATTTAATAATACCTAAAACTATCTGATTCGCAGTATTATAATATATAATACTATAGCCTTATATATCGCGAATAGATAGATATTAATTTAGTCGAGAGAAGTAGGTACCTTCGTATATTTAGTATTTTACTAAAGGATTAGCGCCGAGGCTATTCGAAGAGTTTTTTCTATTAGGCTTATACTAAATATTATTCCTTATATCTTAGCTAGCCTATAGCTTAAGAGTAAGTACCTCTATCTATAATTATATTTCTCTGAGCTTCCTATCCTATTTATTCTAACGCTAGACCTAATTAGCGGTTAGTTAACGATTTTCCTAAGGCTTTATAATAGTAGTAAGCGATTACTATAAGGGATAAAGTTATTAGTTACGCTTAGGGTTACTTAGAGAAGATTCGATAGTTAAAAGAATTCTCTAAATATCGGTTTTCTCTCTAATATATAACCTAATTTCTATATATATCTCTAAATAAGTGATTAGTATCCCTCTCGGTAACTACTTATAAGAGTGCCTTCTAATAACCTTCTCTTTAAGCTACTACGGAAGTCCTTAGATAAGGAGACTTACCCTATTTATATCGCTAATCTCGCCTTTTAAGTAAATATAGCTAGAGATATTATCGAACTTATTAAGATATAAGTGAATATTATCCTATATTATTCGCTTAACCTATATAAGGGATTAAAGGTATATCTTTATATATCTTTATTACTCGCTATTATTATTATAGAAGTGCTCTAAGAAAGCTTCCTTAAAGGTATCTTAGTCCTTTCTTAGCTAAGAGTTTTATCTCTTTACCTAAGACTTAGTGACCTTCGCGTAATACTAAGATAATATATCTATAATATCTTTATCGCTTTTAACGCTATATCTAAAATATATATCTTATAGCTTCTCTAGGAACTCAGAGATATCGATTTTATTAAAATATAGTGCTCTTAGGGATCCTAAAGCTAGTAATATAGAGAAATAAGGTACTTAAACTATATAAAGATAAGGTATAGCCTATACCCTACTAAGCGGTTTAGCTAAGGATAATAGTGGCTAATACTTATAATCTATATTATCTATATAATTATTACTACTTAGGGTTAATTCGGATCTTTCTAGTATAGGTCTATAGTAATCTATAAAGGTTAGAATACTCTTAGGGTCTAATAGCTTAGGAGCTATTATACCTTATATATCGTGCGCTATTACTTACTTATAGATAAGAGATAGCTTTTTAGCTAAAAAGAAATATTAACTCTATAAGCTTTACTTTAAATTATATCTCTTTAATAATTCTTTTTTTTCTTCTTTTCTTCTTATCGAGGCCGCTTCCTCTTCTTATAATTTATAATATAGAATTATTTATATTAATATTATCTATATAATAGAGTGCTATAGCTATCGGATACTTAGGTACCCCTACTTAGCTATTATATTTAATTAGATAGGCTATATCTTTAGTAATATCTAAAGTATCGCAGTATCTCCTATATATTAGTCCGATAGTATTTCTCGTAGGAACTAGGTATATTTAGGAGAACACTATATCTCGGCTAGTCACTCTTATTTATCTATACTAACTATATACCGTCGCAATTACTAGTGAATATAGTCTCCCGCTTAAGGTCTCAGACAGTCTTATAGCCTTTAGGGTCAAACGCGATCCCCACCCTTTAGGTATGTATTTCTTCGTATAGTGATATACCTTAACAAAAGAGCCTTCCCGGGGACGCCAATATAAAATAGGAACGGCTCGATGGCTATCTGGCGATACAGACTAAATAACACACACACACACACACTGCCTGTCTGGTATAGAGGATACTAGATAAGGCCGTACTAATGCCCTATTGCGGCCGTGCGGGATAATCTTAATACTGTATTATGGATAGAAGAAATTGGGTGAATCCTAAATGAATTGGGTAGATGACTTGTCTCCCTCCAAGTGTATCTGGAGATATACTATGCACTGCAGACATTAAATCATGCCTGAGGCCACACATAGGCTCATTATGTCACCAATTCTCCCACTACACTATATAGGTACTATCAGTAGGGGCAATAGCGATAGTTTAAAATAAGAATAGGCTATCTTAGTTTCTGTAGAGTACGTATATAATTAGGTTGAAAAGGGGTATCTAAAAGGCAGAAATTTTTATTTTACGCTAAGAAAGATTATATAAGCTAGAATCCTAGGTCCCAGTCAGCTCTAGCACCTAAATAGGACCTAGGATTAGTCATAAAATCCTGGGTCCCAGTCTGTCAGTTCTGGGTCCCAGTCTGTCAGTTCTGGGTCCCAGTCAGCTAGGTGCCCAGATCTAGATATCATGGAGGCTAAGGCAAGGATGCGGTGAAGTGGGGCAGTATCCCAATTCAATGCGAACAAGATCAAAGCATGCGTTATGGATATGGTGGTTCTCTGCATACTATCGTAAGTCATATCCGCGACAAAAGTCATAATCATTTACTAAATTTTCTAGCACTCACAGCCTCTCTAACCATATTTGCCGCAATTACATTTCTCCTGAAAGAGCCAACTCAACGCCTGCGGTTGACAATTCACGAACTTCTTTCTATGCTTCAAACTGCACTTGACTCACTAGACAGTCTTGAGCAAGACAGCCTGGTCGTATATCGATGTCAAGAAGCCCTACGGCGAATCATACACACTTGCTGGACAGCTACTGGTCAACTTCTCCCAGATCTTCCTTCTACGGGCTTCTTCCGTGAGCAAAACGCGCTACAGGAAGGTCAGAGGGATAAGATGCTGAATTCGAGAGATTTGCTATCCTACCAAGCCTCGCAGTTATTACCCCCATTCACGCCCGCAGAGCCCTGGTTAGATACCCAAGTCGAACTTGACTTTTCGTGGGTCAATACCCTGGCAGAGCATTTGCAAGTGTTCAATGGAGGTTTTTGAATTCAATACATATTACAGCCTCAATGGGTTAAGCAATATCACTTCCTTGTCATGTTGAACGCACCCCAAATTTCGAGTTCTGATTATTTTTGCATGTCAAAGTCACCAGCACACTTTAAATGCAATAGAAACATACAATATTCGTGTTTTACGGTGAATTTCAATTGCTTGAGAGTCAATATCCCTGAAGATTGATTTTCGGTTGAATCTCGTACCCTGATATTCGTTGGCTTACCTCCGTTCTGTCGACCAATACGAACAGAATAGCTGACACTTCAAGGACGTGCTCCCACATACGGAATTATTGTAGCAAAACATTGAAAATAATAAAGGTAAGCTATCAAATGAACTTTCGATTTGGGATTTCTGAAGCGGGGATGACATGTTTACAGAAAGACAAACTGTGCCCCCACAGGAAAATCACGCCGCCACTAAGATCAACAATCCTCGATTTATGACTCAATGATGGGGAGGACAAGGTAAGATTCAAAGTTGCTGCCCGAGTAGACAAAGTGCTTTCCCTTGTTGACAGAATTCTCGTGGAACTGCACAACATCCGGAGTTTTGTGTCGGAAGCTGTCGTTACCCTGGATCCGAACCTGAAGGGTCTCCCCGGGACGGAGAAGAGTCGATGTTGGAAGAATCTCAATATCCACTGGGACAATCTCATTTGGTCGGAGAAGAAGCTTCCGAGCATGGATGTGGTAAGGTCGGTCAATGGTTGTCTTCGCAATATCCAACTCGCGGTGGCTAACACGGAGCCATCCAAGACCAAGAGGACCATCGTCGACCATGGAGAAGGCCACAAATGGAGTAATTTTTCCGTCTTTGTCAAGCTTGTCAAGCTGGACGAACAGGTCCATATCTTCGCCCTGATCAGCAGCAACCCAGAGACGTAGGCGCATGTTTCCTGTCAGCTCGGTATCCTCCGAGAATCGGTATTGGAAACGGACATCGTCATCGGTGACTTGGGAATTATAGGTGGTGACCGAGATTGAGGAGGAATTCTGGTCGATAAGCCTCCCTTGAGTGATATCGAGATACTTCTTGGTGTATTGAGTACGAGCCAATGGCCATTCTTGTTCAGGTCGGAACTCGCCCTTCCATGCGCGATCACGGACTTCGAGGCGAAGTGAGGAGGGTTCTGAGCTGCAATTCCCCATTGTACGATAGAGAGATAAGACACTCCGATCATACCAACTTTGCCGTTAGACCACGGCAGAGTGCCGGCCCATTCAATGCAGTCGTGGCCATCACGACTTTCTTGCTGGCTAAAGATCTCAAGGTTACCCTCGGATCTTCACGAGCCGCGACTGTCACCATTGATCACGGCATACCCCTTCTTAGTCCACACCACGGGATCGATGCTTTCCCAGACGGTATATTTGGAGAACCAGCCTTTAGGGACATCGGCGCCCGGGAATATATCAAAGGTCTTAGGGCCATGTTTGCCGTAAGGGCTGAAGGTAAAGATGATGGGAAGCTTGCCTGAGACACCTTCGGGGCGGAAAACATCCACGTAGACCTTGACTCCGTCGCACATGGCCACAGGCACGTCCCAAGTAAAATGCATGCCATCCGCAACCTCTTCCTTGTTAGGGACCAGAGGAGGGCGGGTGGTATCTTCGAGGGCAACGCCCTTCTTCCAGTAGAAAGGCTTCACGCCGCAAGGGTTCTTGCCGGCAACCTCCATGTTGTCTCGATGGGAAGTGGAATTCTGGCGATGCAGAATATAGGTAAAGATCGGGTTTGATGACACAAGAACTCAGTGACTGTAACTTGTAAAGGTGAAATGTGATGAGTAGGGGGTTGTAGTCGCGAATAGTGGGATATTTATACATTCTTCCGTTGTGATTTCGCCCGGCTTCCTCCAAGATTGGATCTACCTGTCTCGTGAGTTCTTTCGGATACCCGACCGAAATGCATCAGTTCGGTCTGCATTAATCCGAGGCGACCTGAGCGATTCGTCTGAAGCTGAATTGTCTCGGTGTAAAGATTGACCCGTCTTTGCAGTCATGCCGTCACTGGACGAACGGGCGATTCTACTCCGTAAACCTTCCCGGGTCGCGCCGCCTCTACAAAGGGCCTCGACGATCCGGGGACCGGAGTGTGGAGTGTCTCCACCCATGCAACTCTGGGGAAATGAGACGGTCCGGTCCGTTGATTCGACGGGTCGCGGGGATATTACGGATGGCAAGGGTGGTTTGGCGGAGACGCCCCATCCCCGGAGCTGTCGTCCAGGGCGCAAGCTCCATCTTTCCCCCAGCGGACGCTTTTACAGATTTGGAATGAGACCTTGACCGACGTCTAATTTTCTTTTCTTTGGGATAGCTCAGAATCTCACCATTACTTCATGCACATCTCATGGCTTTTCTTGATTCACTTGGCTTTTGACGTCTGGTTTGGAGTGTTGCTCAAGATTCCCACCCTTTGCGGGACACGTTAAGATCGTCTCGGGTAGTCTTTTGGATGTATGTCTTGTCTTCCATGGCCTTGGATATTTCCAAGATATCTTACCCCAGGAGAAACGAAGTAGAACCCAAATCCCTCCGCATTTTCCGTCACAAAGTCCAGCAATCTTGACGAGGAGGAGGGCGAAGATTGGGCGAGCCAGGTTGTAGTACAGGGAGATATCTGTTAAAAGGGATAGACAACTTTACGTCGATGCTTCGGGACTTGGCAGCCATCACTCCATATCGGAATGCAGGTTCAGCGATATCGAGTCTCTCTTTTGCGAGTTGTCAAGTATGATCCCTCATTTCATGGTGTTTGAAGGTGACGCAGGGTGACGCGGTTGTAGGCGTGTTGCGGCGACCATTCGATTGACTTATAGCGTCATGATTGTTGACAATGGCACCTACGTCCTCGAAGCTAATGGTTCAGTTAGTTATCTTCCACACACCCGAGTATGCCCTTTCGCTCTGGAAGCGAAAGCTTTCTGCTCTTAGGAATTTGTGCATACCTATGTGATGGGTTCTCGCAGGGGGTCGGTCAAGTACTATTAAGTCGGTCAAGCATCATTACGTCTCTTGGATCAAGGAACCACAAGGGCAAAGATGCATAAGGATGTTCAAAGCGTCAATACATGGTATGGACAAATGGACCCTTCATGCTTCTCCCCTTTGTAAATCGCCTTGTGGAAAGACTTCGAGACTTCGGGTCTCTCAATCTCTATTTACCCATTATGCCACAAATCTTAATTTGAAGAATTGGTAGCGGTATGCCTACTAGAAAAGAAATAGTTCTCACACCACAAATCGTAATTTTTCCACGGGGAGGTCAACCTATTAGCAAAATCCAGCGATAGCTTGAGGCTTAGGTAGCGGAGCACTCTCAACCGCCAATATGATTGGAACAGTGAGACGGCTTCACGTCACTTTGAACTCCTTTTTCCCTGATCTGCCCAATCGGAGGCAGTAAGGCAGTGGACCAAGACGGTAGATCGGCAACATTGGATGTCAGCAAGGATGCAGTCCCCCATCGGGACGTTCGAGTTCCTTCGGCTGCTCGGACTTCCGCCGTCACGTCTCCATAAGGCTAGCTTGATATGTGACACGAGTATATTTTCACGTTCGATACTTAGGTCTCCAATGGAAGAGTTTTATGAGTTTTCTCTCAGGGACTCTTCAGCGTGAACTCAAGAAACGCAAGTGGATGTCCTATATTTCAGCGCAGGCAACACGCGTGCCCATACATCAATTCCCTCGACAGAATTATACACAATGGTCCAACCACTCGTGATAGACTCCAACTCCAGCTTCCGTAGCATGGGAAGCTCTAAGCGGAAACGGATGATCCATGCCTGTGAATCATGTCGTCGTCGAAAATCACGATGCAATGGGACCCGCCCAGCTTGCTGGCAATCTCGAACCGCGGATTTAGCTGGTGAAGACGCCCAAGCGAGCATTCGATCCTCATCACCGACGAAATCAAATTCACGCAGCATCAAGATTTGAACTGAAGAGCAGGTTGCGTTAGAAGAGCGTGTCAAGAAGTTGGAACGACTCCTGCAAAACATCATGAGCAAATCCAATGCCGACAGCAGCACCAGACAAAGCCGGTCACCGCCAAGCTCGTTGACTGTTGCTTCCACCGCAGACTATTCTAACCCGGTTGATGGGATGGGGTGCATGATGTTCTCGGCTGAAGAGGACGTAGGATACTTTGGTAGGCGTCCTCCTGGTTTCTATATCCATTGAACGATCTCCCGCTCACCAAATGTTTCTCAACAATCAAGGCCCAACCTCGACCGCTGCTTTCTTAGACCGCATTGTCAAAGCTTATAAACATCTCCAACAAGAGCGCGTGCCCGGAGGGGCCTCAGAGGATGTGAAGGTAAAATCTCGAGCAGAGTCACCGCCTCCTGTCACCCAACCGGCTCTTCCTATCGACTGTCCTCTTCCCCAATCTAAGGAATAATTTGGACCAGCCCCAAGTGGCAAAGAATCCCGTTTATTGGAGATCTTTTTCGCAAACATCGGGGACATGTTCTTATATTTGGACAAGAAAACGATTACGAGATATCTTTCCAAGGTAGAATCTGGCCATACAGAGAGACCGCAGTCTGTCCAGGTCTGTCTGGTCAACACGTGCATGGCATTTGCGAGTCTTCAGGAAGGACCAGTTTTATCTGAGATCCGACACACTGTCAATCCCGACGTGTACTTTCAAAGGGCACGGCGCGTGCTGCCTGATATTCTATCTCAAAAGGCCAGCCTTGAGTCCAGTGAGTCGGCACTACGTGATCCCCTTGTTGCTCACGATTGATGCTGATGAGGCTTTCAGTCCAAGCTTTACTACTTGTTTTGCAGTACTCACAAGGTACACAATGCTCAGCTGAGACATGGAGACTCATGAACCATGTTATCGAAAGTGTTTTCCAATTTGGTTTGCACCGTTCGATAAGTGGGAAGCGTTTGAGTCCAGCCAATACAGAGATCCGAAATAATACATGGTGGATGTGTTTCATGATGGATAAGTGTGTTATTCCCCTGATTCCACTCTGGTGATAGACAACTCATGGTTTCCGTATAAGGATGTGTAGCGTGACTTTTGGTCGCCCGCCGCTGATTATAAACAGCCACATGCAGTCCTCGCTGCCTCTCAGTTTGGCTCCCAACAATGAGACAGCGAAGGATATATCGGAGCCTCTATCGTCAGCGGGCATCTGCGGGCTCTGATCTGTTTTTCCAGACCATGTGAGATACACTCTATTTCCCGGAGCAGTGACTACGGATCTAACTTCTCATTCATCCTATCAGGCGACTGAACCTGCTACTAGGATATGTGATCGAGTCGGTCTATCATCACAATACGGAAAGATGTTATTCCTCGACTTTGCCTGAATTATTGCAGAATGTGGTCAGAATAGAGACACGCCTAGCTCAGTGGATGAATGACTTACCTGAATCACTGAACGTCACCAAGATACTCAATAATCCAACAGGGTTTCATTTTTCCAAGAAAGTGCACGAGACTAGAAGCCAGGTTATCCTCAGTCTTCGCTATCTCCATCTCCGAGCACTTTTGCACCGGGCAACACTTTGTCGTGTTCTTGACCAACATCACGGATCAGATCGCCGACGGGCGTTCTATGGACTACGAAGTTGTATCAATTGTTGTGTGGAGTCAGTTGTCCTATCAATCAAGATCGTCGTTCGTGGTGTTCAGAATCGAAACTTGCTGCCAATCATGTGGTTGTCCGCCTATTACAGTAAGTCAACCAAAAGGAATCAGGCGACGGAATAATTTCTGACCCTTCATGGAAGCTCTAACTGCATCGTTGTCCATATTCGCGGCCATTGTGTTGTTTCTCAGAGAGCCGTCTTATATTCAAGAACGCTCAATTACGGACCTGCTCGAGACGTTGCGCATGGCGGCTGATGCCGTCGGGGGCCTCGGAAAGGGCAACAGGGTGGTCACTCGGTGTCAGCAAACCCTTGAAAAAATAATGGAAAGCTGCTGCTCTGTTGTGACACAATTGGAGCTGCAGCAATATTCCGGCCACTCGTTGGATAGAGATCATGTACTTGAACGACAAAATTCGCCATGTCCACCCAAGGAACAGAGCATCGAAAAATTGGATTAGCCTCTGCCTATCCGTTGACAACTCATGGGCCCGATTACATCGCCCCGAACTAATTGAAAAAGGAGAGGCTTGGTCGCAGTGAATCTACAGTACCTTTTTTCAGAGCCATCCGACTCGCCCAAAGCCTATGTGCGAATCTGGTACTGGCTGCACCACGACTTCTAGGGGCTTTCTATTGCCACCTTTGCAAAAAGCTTCGCTGGTAGCGCTATCGCGCAGCTCAAGAAGGCAAGAAGAGATTACAAAGATTCAAAAATGGTGTATCAGAAATTATCTCATCATTTTCATGCTAAATGAGGCACAGTATCAAGGCAAATCAAATTGGAAGATGACTGATCGCCTGGATAGTAGTCCGGAATAGAAGAGAATTCAGTGAAGTTAACGTCCTCGGTTAGGGGTATAATGAAAGACTCAGTAGATTCAACACAGATTTGCTCCATCTTGCTCACTCTACCGCGCGTTCAATCAGGACTGTGTAATCCTAAGGCATCATAAACACTCTATATATTTGAAACTTGTATAGTCATGGAAAGGTGGGAGCAATGAATGTAAACCTTCGGGTCCTGCACCCTGTTCAAAACCTGTTTTATAACTCGCTCGACAGAGCTTGGGATAGTGAGACGGTGTAGGGGATACTCTCCCACACGTCCTTCAGCCTCGAGGGCCAAGTAGCCCGGGGCATAAAGCTCAACATCGTTAATCCATTGCTCAAGATCACAGAAGTCTATCGTTGTTGGAAGTTGAGTAGCGGCCTTAGCTTGACAGAGAATATTAATGATCGGTAGGTCCATGTCAAGTCTGATATCTTGTATTAGTCCGTTGGTCTGTATGGGGAGGGCTCAAGAATACTCACGGCTGGTTATGGTGTTTACGGCCACCCTGAATATAACGAATATTATTAAAACCCTTCATAAGCTCAGAAGCGTGAATGTATAGCACTCGCATATTGAAAGGGCAAATGTGAATAGCATCCTTAACAGCCCCGTTGATTTTATACTCGACCATTGTCAAACGGCCATTTCTTAGGCCTTCTTTATCGACCAACAAATATAAGCCAGTATAAACAAGATAGAGTACGGTGCCAGTATATGTGAGATAGATACTCCTGAAATCGATGGTCTCTAGATCCTACCAGGACAGAAAGCCCTCTATCAAAGGATCAGTGGTGATTGCTGGATTCAAGATAGCCTCTGATAGCATATAATTATCAAATAGACAGTGCCCGGTGTCGATATCATAGATATACAACAGAATAGCGAATTTGACCTATCGCGCCCGATTGGCAGCATGAGCCTCGTCAACAGGGGCGATGGAAATCAGGCTTATGATATTGACTGGCTGAAGAGTGTCGTAGAGACGTGCCAACGCGTCGGCTGGATATCGAAGGCCTTCACTAGGTTCACTCCGAGATTGTGGCCCCTCCGTACCTGGAAGACCTGTAGGCGCACGCGATTGGTACGACTGAAAGAAAAAAATTAGTTCATGAAAAAACTTCGGAGATTTGACGGGGTTGGATTCACATCACGGAGTTCCTGTGTAGCCGAAGCCCATTCTTCCACGAGTTGCCTCGGGTGGTGTAGCTCATATTCCCCATCGTTGGAGGAAACATGTGGGTTTGCTGCAGAACCCCAATTTTCCTCATTGTAATTTAGTACTGAAGGCGTGGCTATCAAATATCTAGATTCTATAGAGATATACCTGTACAAATAGTAGCCAGCCCTTGACTTCCTCCTTGATCTGGTCTAAGAGTAAATGTATTTCTGGGTATGGTTTGATGGAATTGAGGATTCCCCCCGGCCAGTGTTGAACGGATCTCGGCATGGCTAAGATAGGTGATCAATTCTGTTTGGTATGGGTCTAAAGAATGAAGGAGATAACTAATAAAACGGTGTTAAGTAGGTCTCGCTACCTGAGTAATCTATACCCTTGGTCGCTGGTTGCCACCTATCCCATAGCGAGGTAGATAAAGAGGTCGGAAGGAAACTGAGGCCAGTTATGGATCGGTGAAAGCTTCACAAGAAACCTGTCCCCTAGATGATATCTAGCACAGGGCTCTATCAACATTTTTCTCCTACTACCCTACTCCACCTCGCAGAAAATCTCTCGTTAACTATTTGTCTGTCCCTCTCTTCCCCGGGCGTTGAGAACCTCTGCCTTCTTTCTTCATAAAATTAGCGTATTTATAGAGCCGATCTTCAGTCGCTTTCGAGGACGATCATCGGATGATGATGTCGAGTCAAGGCGATCATCAATTGATCAATCTTGGGGCTATTCTCTTCGCGAATTCTCCACCCAACTAAGTTGAGACCCACTCGAAACCACCACCGAGCGATGTGCCGGCCACTGTAAATTAGATGTGCAGCTTCATAAAATCGAAAATGGATGATAATATTGGTATATGGGTATTTCTCGTTGCCAAAAAAGCCAATGCAATCGAATGATGATTCCCCAACCCCCCAGAAACGCCAGAAATCCAATCCGACCAAAAAACCGACCGAACGCAACGCTCGCCACGCCAAAAAAACACAAAACGTAACACACAACACACAACACACATGACACATAATCTCATAATATACAACATACATAACACGGGTTCATCGAATTCATGAAACGGAGATTCGTCTAATCTATACAGCTCACGTTCTATCGAGGTAGCTGCACCTACGAGAGATATCCAGAAAGAACGCGCACGACTTTTGAAAACAAAACAGAAAAAGAAAGACATGACATGCGTAATCGAAATCGACGGATCGCTTTTCGTTGTCCCAGTCGAGAGGACAAGATATAATGAAAAGACGCCTAAGGTGCCATGACCAGGGCCAGCAGTGCCATGCGGCAGTACAGACCATATCTCATCTGTATTCAGCACGTTAGCAAGTTCCTGGGTGAAGGAAGAGGGGGAGAAGCGTACCTGGCGGAAGTAGGCAGCCCGCTGGTCGAAGTCAACCTCCTCGGAGATCTCAGCGTTGCGGGGCAGCGGGTGCATAACGACCATGTGACTCTTAGCGTGCTTGAGCAGAGCGTTGTCAATGACGAAGCTGTTCTTCAGACGCTCGTACTGGGCGAGGTCGGTGAAGCGCTCCCTCTGCACACGGGTAGAATACAGGACATCGGAGCGAGCGACGATCTCAGGGGTCAGCTCCACAGACTCGCAGATAAGCTTGCCAGAGGACACAAGCTGCTTGCGAATCTCCTCGGGAAGAGCCAACTCCTTGGGAGAAACGAGCTGGACGCTAACCTCATAGAAGCGGAGGAGCTTCAGCAGGGAGTGCACGGTACGGCCGTACTTGAGATCACCAGTGAAGGTGATAGTCAGGCCGTTGACAGTACCCAACTCCTCACGGATAGTGAAGAGGTCCAGGAAGGCTTGAGTGGGGTGCTCAACAGAGCCGTTACCACCGTTGATGATGGGCACGGGAGAGAACTTGGCCGCAACATCAGTACTGGTGGGGCTGGGGTGGCGCAGAACAAGAGCATCACCGTAGCAGCCGAGGGTGCGGATGGTGTCCTGAAGGGTCTCGCCCTTCTGGGTAGAAGAATGCTCGGTGGAGATGGCGATAGTGCGTCCACCAAGACGCTGCATAGCGGCATCGAACGAGGCCGAAGTGCGGGTCGAAGGCTCATAGAAGAGAGTGGTCAGGACACGTCCCTTGAGAATATCAAGGACACCCTGGCGCTGGACACCAAGGCGCATCTCCTGGGCGACGGAGAACAGCAGGTGCAGATCAGCGCGAGAGAACTGGCTCACAGAAAGGACGTGCTTGCCGCGGAAGGGAGAGCGAGCGAGCATATCGTGCAGCTGGGACGACACCTGAGAGGGGTACAAGGGGGGGTCCAAGCTCGCCAACAGAAGGCACATTGGCATCCAGACCGCGGGTACGGCGGCTGGGGGTGCCGGACATGGAGACATGGCGGTCAAGAGAGCTCTCAGGGCGGACCATCGGGGTCATGGGCTTCTGCACAGGCGAAGTGGGAATGATCCGGTGGGAAGACATGTCAGTACCCTTGACAGCATCCTTAGTGATGGCACCATCAAGGCAAGAGGTCTTGCCTTGGAAGACAACACGCTGGACGGAACCACGCATCGTCTTGCCGTTGAAGGGAGACCAGCCCTCGGAGCTCTGGAACACGTAAGGGCGATCAACCTCGATCTCAAGCGAGGTGTCAACCTGGTCGTGCAACTCGAAGATCTTCTTCGGATTGTCGTAGAGACGAGCGGTGACGTCCTCGACAGTCAGGCGGCCCTCAGCGACAGCGGTGAACAGCAGAGGGAGCGACTCGGCAATACCTGCCACGGGGGAGGCCTTCTTGTCAGCAATCTGGAAGGGAATGCTGCCAATGGAGAAGACGTCGATAGTGCTCATGTGGTCCCACAGAGCCTTCTGGTCTTCAGCCGAAGGAAGAGAGCTGCAAGCGGGGAACTCCTCGCGGGAGAGGAACAGGCAGAAGATGGAGACGTCGCACGTCACCTTCAGTCCCTTCTCCTTGCTCAGCGCAATGAGCTTGATATCCTCCTTGGAGGTCACGCTCATGACGTGGATGTTGCGGCTGTGCAGAGAGGCCAACAGCAGGATCGAGGCAAGGTCGGTGCCCTTAGCGTCGGTGATCAGAGGCTTGCTCGAGGGCCAGGCTCCGAAGTGGTTGGTCACAGTAGCCACCTTGTTGATGTTGCCCGAGAGGTGGTTGAAGGGGATGAACAGAGAGCCAACCTCGCTGGCGACCTGAGTGATTTGGTCGGAGTTGGAAGCAGTGGCAGCAACAGAGACGTTGAAGTCGCAGTAGGACTTGTCCTGAGCGTTCAACTGGACGATCTTCAGATCACTGGTCTCGGTAACGGAGCTGTCCACGCCAACAGGCATGACACGGACCATGCTGAAACCAGCGGCGATCGAGGCCTTGGTGACCAACTCGAAATCCTTGGAGCCGGGGGTAACAAGACCCGGGACAAAGGCAGCAATGTTGATCAGACCGGGAAGGACCACAGTGCGGTGGCTGGTCTGGAAATCGGAAGTCTGGATGTTCAGAGGGAAGTGACGGGCAATAGCCTCGATTAGGATCTTCGCGTTCTTGACGTTGGTAACCAAGGGGGTCTGGTAATCCACAGCCATACGACGAGTACGGTAACCCTTGGACATGTAGTTGGCAGGGCGGCGGAAGCGGTTGGCAGACGGTAAGTTGATGTACAGATCGATGAGGTTATTCGACAAGTGCTGGGTCAAAGAGTACTCAGACTTGATGTCATCCTCCTCACCAGGAAGGTGCTCCAGGTACTTGACGGTCACACCGTGCTCCTTGAGGAAATCGGCAGTACCGGAAGTGGCAAACAAGTTGTATCCGAGGTTGGACAGCTTCTGGATAGAAGGAAGCATTTCCATCTTCTCCTTGTAGGAACCGATGGAGAACAAGATGTTGCGCTTGGGGAGACGGAAACCAGTGGACAGCAGGGCCTTGAGGTAGGCCTCGTACTTGTCACGACCGAAAGAAGCGACCTCACCAGTGGAAGCCATCTCGACACCCAGCACCGGGTCGGCACCGGAGAGTCGCGAGAAAGAGAACTGCGGCACCTTGACACCAACGTAGTCCTTGGGAACGTTGATAGGGGGGTACTCCTGGAACGGAATGCCAATCATAGCCTTGGTTGCCATCTCGATCAGGTCAACACCCATAACCTTGGACACGAAGGGGAACGAACGCGAAGCACGAACGTTGCACTCAATAACCTTGATGTCATTGTCCTTGGCAATGAATTGGATGTTGTAAGGACCAGTGACGTTCAGAGCGTTACCGATCTTGCGGGTCGCCTCAACAATGCGGCGCATAGTCTCCTCACTCAAGTCCTGAGGGGGCAGGATGAGAGTAGCATCACCAGAGTGAACACCGGCGTTTTCAACATGCTCAGAGATGAAGTGGCCAACCATGACACCGTTCCGGGCCACAGCATCCATCTCAATTTCCTTGGCGTTCTCAATGTACTTGGTGATGACGACTGGGTGCTCGCGAGAAACATCGGCAGCCTGGTTCAGGTAGCTGGCCAGGTCGTGCTCGGAGTAGACAGTGTTCATGGCAGCGCCGGAAAGGACGTAGGAGGGTCGGACCAGCACGGGGTAGCCAACCTTGTCGCAGAACTCGCGGGCCTCGTCAATGCTGGTGAGCTCCTTCCAGGCAGGCTGATCAACCTCAATACGATCCAGCATGCGCGAGAACTTGTAACGGTTCTCAGCGCCGTCAATCATCTCGGGGGAGGTACCCAGGATGTTGACATTGAGGCGGTGCAGGGGCAGAGCGATGTTGTTGGGAGTCTGACCACCCATGGAGATGATGACACCACTCGAGGACTCAAGCTGGTAAATGTCAAGGACAGTTTCAAGGTTGATGTTCTCGAAGTACAGGCGATCGGCCTCGTCGTAATCGGTACTGACGGTCTCAGGGTTGTAGTTGACCATGATGGTCTTGTGACCCTGCTCGCGCAGAGTGCGGATAGTGCGGACGGAACACCAATCGAACTCGACAGAGGAACCGATACGGTAGACACCAGAGCCAAGAACCATGATACCGTGGTCATCGAAGGTCAGATCGTGCTCAACGGCGTTGTAAGTCAGATACAGGTAGTTGGTCACAGCCGGGAACTCAGCAGCAACAGTGTCAATCTGCTTGACGATGGGCATAATGCCAGCCTCGACACGCATGCGGCGAATAGCCAGCTCATTAGAGCTCAAGAATTTGGCAAGCTGACGATCGGAGAAACCAAGCTGCTTAGCCTGGCGGATCATGTCAATGGGAACAGTGGTGGCGTTGAAGGCAACCATGGTCTTGCCGAAGTCACTCAAGCCCTTGAGGCGGCTCAGGAACCACTTGTCGATGTTGGTCAGCTTCCAAATGTCATCAACGCTGTAGCCTGCATGCATGGCATTGGCAATGGCAAACAGACGCTGGTCGGAAGGAGTCTGGAGTTCGGCCTTGATTGACATGAGAGCACTGGTCTCATTGAAGCCCAGGTTGTGGAAATCAACGGAACGGATAGCCTTTTGAATGGCTTCTTCGAAGGTGCGACCAATGCTCATGACCTCACCAACACTCTTCATAGAGGAACCAAGCTGGGTAGAGACACGAGTGAACTTCTTAAGATCCCAACGGGGGATCTTGACCACACAGTAGTCGAGCGAAGGCTCGAAACAGGCGCAGGTGGATTTGGTGACGGAGTTCTTAATCTCGTTGAGAGGAATACCGAGACCCAGCTTAGCAGCAATGAAGGCAAGCGGATAACCAGTAGCCTTGGAAGCAAGGGCCGAGGAACGAGACAGACGGGCATTGACCTCAATGATGCAGTATTCCTTGGAGAAGGGGTTCAGGGCGTACTGGATGTTACATTCACCAACAACACCAAGGTGGCGAATGACATTGACAGCGGTCGTGCGCAGCATGTTGTAGTCCTCATCTGAGAGGGTCTGGGAGGGGGCGACGACGATAGAGTCACCGGTGTGAATGCCGAGGGGATCAAAGTTCTCCATGTTGCAGACAGTGATACAGTTGTCCTGGGCATCACGAACGACTTCGTACTCGACCTCCTTCCAGCCTTTCATACTGCGCTCGATCAGCACCTGTGGGCTGACGGCCAGAGCCTTGGTGCAAAGTTCCTTCAGCTGCTCCATGTTGTCGGCGAAACCACTACCGAGACCACCCAGAGCGTAAGCGGCACGCACAATGACGGGGAAGCCGATGTTCTCAACGACACGCAGCGACTCCTCGATGGTTGAAGCAGAAGCGGACTTGGCACACTTCTCCTGGATGGAGTCCATGCTACGAGCGAACAGCTCACGGTCCTCAGTGGTGATGATGGTGTCAATGGGTGTACCCAGAACCTGGACACCGAGGCTCTCGAACTCATCCTTCAGTTGAATACCGACCGAAAGGGCAGTCTGTCCACCGAAAGTAACGTAGATAGCGTCGGGCCGCTCGTGCTTGATCACCTTGCGAACAAAGTCGGCGTTGACGGGCAGGAAGTAGACCTTGTCGGCTAGACCCTTGGAAGTCTGAATGGTGGCAATGTTGGGGTTGATCAAGATCGTGTAGATGCCCTCCTCCTTCAGCGCCTTAATAGCCTGACTACCAGAGTAATCGAATTCTCCGGCCTGTCCAATGCTCAAACCACCACTGCCCAGGACAAGGACCTTCTTGACATGCACACGGGGAGCAGCCTTGACGTTATCAGCCTTGAGACCGCCGGGGAACTCGACGGGCTTGGTGAGAGCCTCGGTAGAGGCAAGGGTCTTCTGAATAGTGTTGATGAAGACGTCAAACAGGTACTCGGTGTCCCGAGGGCCAGGGGTGCTCTCGGGGTGGAACTGGACACTGAAGAACGGGCGGCTGGTGTGACGGATACCCTCATTACTGCCGTCGTTTGCGTTGACGAACAATTCCTCCCAGCCGTCCTGGAGACTAGAGGCATCCACGGCGTAACCGTGGTTCTGAGAGGTAATGTGACACTTGCCAGAGATCAAGCTAGTGCAAGGAATGTTGTGACCGCGATTACCGAACTTCATCTTGCTGGTGGTAGCGCCAACCGAGCGAGCAATCAGCTGGTGACCGAGACAGATACCAAATACGGGTGTGCGAGCATCCTTCAATGTCTTGGAAAGGTTGTTGATGGTGGTAGTCAAAGTGGCAGGGTCACCGGGACCGTTTGAGACGAACAGACCGTCATAATCCTTTCCGGCGAGGGTAGGGAAGTCGTAATCCCAAGGAACGACCAGGACCTCAACACCACGGGCAAGAAGGCAGCGGAGCTGGTTGTGTTTCATACCAACATCCAAGCACAGAACGCGGACAGGGCGTCCGGAGGGGTGCTTGAGGGCGACATTCTCGGGGGGTGTGAAAAGCTGGGGCTCACGGATGGAGACTGTAATCGAAAAATATTTCAGTTAGTTATACCCATTCTCTGCAATGTTTGATTCAGCGGTAGATTAGGATGACTCACCCTCAGCGACGAGGTTCTTGGTGTTGGGATCCACCCAGTCAATCTGCTCAAATTGCGACTTCCAGTTTGCTTCATCAATAGCGGCGGTGGCGCCGCTGTTCTGGAGCAGCATACGACCAAGCATGCTACCCTTTTGACGGATACGCTTGGTCAGCGAACGAGTGTCGACACCGTGCATGGCGGGAACACCCTGCTCCTTGAGCCATTGGCCCAAAGAGGACTTGGCCAAAAAGTGGGAAAAATCCTCGCCGGCGTAAGTGGCCACCACCAAGGCGGCGACGTGGATCTGAGTCGACTCAAAATACTTGGGCAAAGTCTTGAGCAGCTCGTCCATCTGCTCGCGGTCCGGCACACCGTAGTTACCAACGAGCGGGAAGGTGATGACCAGAATCTGACCGCGATATGAGGGGTCGGTGATGGATTCGGGATAACCGACCATACCAGTCTGGAAGACCAATTCACCGGACACACTCTTCTCCGCACCGAAGTTGTAACCCTGGTACACAGTGCCATCCTCCAGCTCGAGGGCCACGAGGCGGTCACTGCCACCCCTGACGGGGATGGAGGCCGGGGTGATCAAAGCACCAGAGGCCATCTTTGGCAGCGGATTGGTATTCTGGTAAGCTACTGGGCCGCCCGACTTGGGACTAGTCAGGGAAGTCAATTCCTCGTGAGGAAGCGACTGGGACATCGGAATTGGAGAAGCGAGAAAGAGGGGACGAGTCCTCTCGAGGACGTTCTGAATGAGTGCAGGTGCCTCTACTGCAACATCAACCAGAAGGACTTTTCTCGAATGACTTTTTGAGTGTCCTTTTCGGGAATTTTTGAAAAGAAGTGGGGTAGAGGAGTAATTAGAAGAGATGAAAGGAGAACAGCTGCAAGAGCTGGAGGTATGAAGAAGGAAGAAGAGGTTTGTGGCAGAATAAAATTTTCGTGCCACTGAGGACCCACCGGTTCCGGTGTTGAGTGGGGCTCACCGCCTCAGAGTTTTCGCACTGATTCGGTAGTGTGGAAGCCCATAGTAATGCGAAGTCGAGTTATACTGGGTATACGACGGGCAAGGAAGTTCTTAAATTATTTTATTTTTGTGTTTGGAGGGTTGTTGGAGAGCATCTGCGTTTGACTGTGATCATCCCGGCCTCTATGCAGATGATTCCCCTCGCAAAGCTCGCCCTGCAGTGCATGCAGGCGGTGAGTGCTGATAAGCATGATAGGCGGAGACGTAGAGATGCTTACAATATATGCATATTATCGGACTCTGCTATTGAAGCTAGATGCTCCTCGGGTTGTTAGGAAGTTCATATGAAGTATTGGGATGAGTTCCCGCTTACGTTCCAGGGCCTGGGCATGGCAGGCTGAGGGCCGATCGTTCAGAACAATGACGGAAGAGGACCGTTTAGCTGGTCCGCCTTATTCTTCAGGTCTAGCGCGAACCGAGATCCTAGGAGCAAAGGAACTTGACCTAAACGGTATTTCAATGTTGGAAATTCATCTTGGATACGCCGTAAGGTTTCCAAGATTGACTGTATTCTCCTAGACCCCCGATCTGGGAGTCTCACAACAGCTATGTAACCAGCTCCAGCCAGAGTTGCTACTTACAACCTAGGATATATTTATACAACTTCCAAGTTTTCCTTATCTGTAGGTATGCATCACTTGGGCTGCCCACTTCTCGGAGGAAGCAAAATAAAATCAAACCCTGTCATCAGCGTCTATCTACAAGTATCTTTGGTGTTGAACCTGCAAAGGAAGAATGTGTGGTCAGCTGCACCTGGAAAGATCGCGCACAATGACGTGTGGAGCTCCTCCAGATCTGCGATAGCTTTGGCTCCTGTGTTTATTCGCGCTCACGCATTTACTTCAAGATATACCGGATGACCTTCTTGCATCTTCACCGCTTGTCGTGCTCTTGCCCTGCTTCCAAAGTCAAATCGTGGCCCAGCTGCCCCTCCATCATCCAAATGTTATAAGAAAAACCCCCCCTCAACATACCTCGGCCATGCACAGACCCACGTGAAATCCTCGCATCTCACTATGCTGGCCTCTTTGCTTCGTCCAAAAGGACGGCGGGATCACATCGACCAGACGCCTTTCTCCTCCCCTTTTACACCAAGTGAAACCTCCCCGTGGTTTCGAGCGGCCGCGCGACGCGCTCCGCCGCGCGCTCGCGATGCCGACCATAGTAGTGAAGACGACGCGCCAGAGCTCGAGGAGATCGATGAGGAAATGGCCGAAAACTGGGCTGGGGAAGAGGATGGGGAAGACAATAGGCCAGTCGAGTCAACGCCTCTCTTGCCCATGTTCTCTTCCTCGGATTTGGGTGCGCTGAACCCGATCAACCCCCCCATCAGAGCGAATGATTAACCCGAGTCTGCTACAGATGCCCTGCCTGTGTACGATATTACCCATGCTATCCGTCCCTTGATCGCCTCTCGGTGCGAAACAACCTTGACCTGGGACCAACTGCGTTCGCCTCAAGTGTCTCAGTTCCTCGTCAAGCCGATCCAGCAGAAAATCATGTCGGCACACTTCTCACGAGCCACCCTCTACGCTTTAATGGCCAATTGTCTCCAGTTCGAAAAGGAAATACAACTTAGCCCTGGCAACAGCGGTGCTAGTCAGACTAGGGCGATGGTAAGCGAGCTGCTTGCTATCAAGTTATTGCGGGAATACACAACCAGAGAATTGATTGACGCATTGTCTTACGAGTTCTACCCTCTTCAAGGCCAGGATCCCGGCGCTGCATGGTCGTCTACGCCACAGGGAAAGCGGTTGGCAGGCTCAGCCCGTGTGTCATGTCTGGAGGTGGCCATTCGTGCCCAGGCCAAGCGATTCTTGGCCCACCCGGTCGTGGTGCAGCAATTAGAGGCCATTTGGGCCGGCACGATTGTCTTTCATTCCGCGGCCGATCACCTCCATCGCCAGGCGAACAGAGCTACTGGTGGCGATCGAGACTACGGGGCGTCGTTGGACCAGCGTGGAAACCAGGTGCCCGTCCCTCGCAATGCATCATACAGGCGGTCCGTGACTTTGTACAATCCTCGCGATGCGTCACTATTCAAGCTCTCGCGATTACGGGTCCCGCGCTATCGCCAGTTTCTCTCGACATTGTCGTTCGCAGTGCTACTTGGACTGTTTTTGGCGGTTCTTACTGAAAGGAGTCGGTCAATCACTTCCCTCGAGATTTTGTTCTGGTTCTGGAGCGCCGGTTTCATGCTGGACGAGATCGTTGGATTCAACGAGCAGGGCTTTAGCCTTTACCTCATGAGCTTTTGGAATCTTTTTGACCTGGGTATTCTGTTGCTACTCTTTTGTTACTACTGCCTTCGGATCTATGGGGCCTTTTTGACATACCCGCGAAATCGTGATTTGGCCGACCAAGCATACGACATCCTGGCAGCCAATGCAGTACTGCTTTTTCCGCGTCTCTTTTCGATTCTTGACCACTATCGCTATTTCTCGCAGCTGCTAATTGCGTTTCGTATCATGGCCGCGGATCTGATTGCGGTTTTAGTGCTTATTGGGATCACATGCAGCGGCTTCTTCGTGGCTTTCTTGTCCTTTGGAAACGATAACTCACCGAGAACAGTGGCCTACGGTTTGTTTCAAATGCTCATGGGCTTTACGCCCACTGCTTGGGCGATGTGGGAAGATTACAACTTCGTGGGAAGGGCCATTTTGACGGTCTTCCTCTTTATTTGCCATTTCGTGGTGGTGACCATATTGATCACTGTCCTCACCAACTCCTTCATGAGGATCGTTCAAAATGCGAATCAGGAGCATCAATTCTTATTTGCCGTCAACACGATCTCGATGGTCAAATCTGATGCCTTGTTTTCCTACGTGGCTCCGGCAAACACTATCGCTTGGCTTGTGACACCTTTGCGATCTGCTATGCCGTTCCGCCAATTTATCAAACTCAACCGAACGATCATTAAAATCACACATCTACCGATTCTTTTCACTATCTGCCTCTACGAGAGGGCGATCCTCAGTCGCCAAGTAATTGAGCCGTTGGATCTGGTCGAAATCACATCTCGGGAGGAAGCATCAGCCCGCCCAGAAAATCGGCAACCCAATCGATTCCATGGTTTTAGCTCAAGACCGCACCGCTTGGTGCGAGAGCCATCTGTTGCGACATACCAGAAAGATCAGGCGCTAGAGGAAGTATTCCGAAGGCCGTTTGGAGCGGAAGGAGAGCGTGAGCGGCGACCAAGCAGTATTCTGAAGCGCCAGACAAACAACGTGATCAAGGACTGGATGCAGGAAATTGCGTCTGGCCCTGGTCTCACTCCCGATGAACAAGACTCGGCTGTCCTTGAAATGCCTCCGCGTCGACCTCGGCTGCCCTTCCGGAAGACCTTGACTACGCGTGGTCGAGACTTCACTGAGACTACTCGTTCAGTGGCATCGAATCCGGAAGATCGAGTTAGTCGTATTGTCAGTCCTCCGTTCCGACCTCGCCGCGAATCAGTCTCTCAGACTCGCACCCGGCAACTCTCACAGCACACGGATATGGAGGGAGATGATGAGCTAACTAGTGACGACGGGGACTCGCATGGCAAATTGTCGGACAAGGGATCTATCGATGACGACAAGCACATGAAGAGCGCCGATAAGACGACCCCCAAATTCTACAGCTCTCGACCATCCACTGCGCGAGTGTCGCGCCGCGGGAGCCCGACGCGTCGGCCTAAGCACGCTCGAAATGTATCTGGCATTACCATGCTTTACAATCCCCTCGGGTCGCCGAATGAAGAGACTGAGGGTCGTACCACCCCTCCACGTACGCATGACGACTCTTCCGATGACGGAAACCCCGCCCTCGTATCTGCTTCGCTTGACCAAGGCACGATGAGGAAGCATACACTGAAGACAATTCTGGCGCGGAATATGTCTGGCGGCTTGAACCCAATGTCCGTCCCAGAGCTCGACTACCTCTCTGACCGTCCTTCTGCACGGCGTCAGCGGTCTTTGCTTTTTGATCTAGGATCTGATTTAGGGGATAACAGGGCTGTGGCTGGCGGTTTTGCGGGTGCCATCCCGGGCAGCTTTAATACCCAGATCGCACTCGCCGCTGGGGGTACCCGCCGGGATGTGCCCAATCAAGACATGCTGAGCAAATTAGTACTGGCTCGCATGAACAACATTGAAGAAGGCTTCCGTGAAGTGATCAAAGAAGTCAAAGACCTCGCGCGCGGTGGGTCTAGTCGCAGTCGCAGTCGCAGCCGGTCCGACCTGCTTCGAGCGGCCGCACGCGACAAAGAAAAGAAGAAGAGGAGTGAGAAGAAGGATCCTAAGAAGCGTAGGCCGAACTTTGAGGAGAACCAGGATGCGCGCGGCGGGGACCCGGAAGCGTAATTATCTGTACATTTGATTGGAACCTGTATATGTATCGCGGGCGGTATTTGTCCTTTATTTTGTCATCCTGGTCTTCCACCTGTTGAAGTGTACTGAACATAGAAGATAGCAATTTGATCATTGCTTTATTAGGGCGAACCCCTCGCCGCTTTGTACCCACCGAGCACAACCCCAAATTTACTGCCATTTTTAGGCTCTCCGGTAATCTGGAAGTCTCCGCATGAAAGGGACCTGATATTGTCATTGAATGAATCAACCTGGTTCTCGATCTCCAAGCTTTAACATATCCATCATTTGGTAGCGTTCACCCACCTCATACCCGGGGTTGCGCGCAATCTTCCCACCCTGTCAATCCCCCGGTGCCCGGAATGGCCTCAAAAGAAGCATCCATCCTTCCTGCGGGTCTCATGGAGGCCCAATTGTCCACAATTGACCTCCTAGAAGCGATGTTTCCATCACCGGGCGAGCTGGAAATCCCCGAGTCTACAACGCAGTGTGTGGTGAAACTCCGAGACTGGCGCGAGGACCCGACCCGCACATTATCGGGAATACCTCCGAGTGTATCTCTCGTCGTCTGTCTCCCAATTTCAAATGGAGAGAAAACAATCCAGGTCAATGTTTCAGTTCCATTACACTGCGAAAATCAAGAGACGGGGTGTGACGAGCCACCATCATTAGGCTATTCACTCCGACAACCGGACTGGATGTCCAAAGCCGAAGTCGCCAGGCTTGCCCTCTCGATACCACAAGGTGATGCTCTGGAGGCATTCGAGTACATTCAAGCAGAAGTTAGCCGCTTTGTTGAAGAGAAGCAGTCCGAATTACGGATTGCGACTTCAGAAGAGAATTCCAAAGAACCGCTCGTGAGAGTCTGGTTCTATTTTCCGTCCCTTTCGACCCGTAAGAAGAGGGATGATATGGTCAACCTTGCACCGGGATATTCCCTAACTGGCTTCGTGCTGGCAGGCAAGCCGGGTGTATTGTGTCTCGAGGGCGCGTCGACGGACATCGACGCCTATATGAGCTTCATCAAAACACATTCGTGGGGTGATATCCCAAGTCACCAGAAAAAGGTTAGCGAGAGATTCCGACAGACGGAAGGGATTAAGAGAGTATTTCCGGGAATGGAGGAAATCACAGATTCCTTAGGAGAAAGAGGCGGACAACGCGCTAATCGTGGAGATATGCAGGCATTGGAGGCGTGGCTCGGGGCGAAGGGACTCCATGAGGCTTTTGAAAATGTAATATTCTAGTCAATCACCCGTCGATAGATTTTTTATATGGAATAGACGCCTTGTACCGTCCCATAACGTCCGGTGTCGGCTGGTCGATCTTGAGAGATGAGAATTAGCGGCCCCTCTAAGAATTCCCACACATGCACAGGTCCACAGCAGGAGGGTAGACTCGAGTTCATCCTTACCTCCAATGTCTCTCAATTTGTTTCCAAAGGCCCCCACCCTTTGGAATGCATGGGCCCAGACTCGGAACTCAGTAGATGTAAATCACCGATCCATTCCAGCATTTAGTACTCAAAACAAGGAGTTTCTCCATGGGCAACTGATATTTGTTTGGGATACTAGATCAGAGAACTCGATATTAACCATTGATAATATAATTGACAATTATGGCGAGCTCATTAAAGGTCCATCGACAAGTGTTCGAGCTCTAACAGGGGCTAGTGGACCGTCACTGAGTGGTGGTTGTGGTTTTGGGAAACAAAGTGAGAGAGTGAGAGAGATGGGCGCTAAATTTGATCACGAATGTTACTTGAGTTGTGTCTTCTCTTCCATTTTGCTCACAGCGCCACATCACATCGCACGCCAAGTCCAATGAAACCGAATGAGTCAAGCCATTTGGCTGCATGCCGCCGTGATTGGTTGCATGAGACAGGCAACGACCGAACAAGAAATCAAGTTGAGCCTCATCGGCGCAGCCTCGTTCCCCCCCTTCCCTCCCCCACATTCTCCACCTTGAAACTTATTGCTCAGTATATTCTCTTTTCGTCTCCTGAGTCTCGAGGGAGTGTCAAGAGCCTTGCGGGATCTTCACAACCTCTAAGTCTGATTTCTTCATGGATTCCAATCCACCCCCCCTCTCCCACGGGCCCTAGGCTGGAAGCCGGGATCGAGCGACCTCCTGCATTTACTCCTACTGATCTTCACAACGCGCGCCTCTGTCATCAGCTAAATGTACCACAGCCAGGCCATGTGATGGTGTTACCGCTACTCCTTTTTCCTGACGGAGATACGCTTTTGTACATCGACCCCGCGCCTGAGGACGGAGCTCCGCGCCTTCGAAAGCCGTCAACCGTTCACCGAATCCATAGCGACAGGCTTTTGGCCACAGAATCAGATTATTTCAAGCGCCGGCTAGGTCCAAGGCAGCAGACTAGAGTTCGAAAGCAGCGTGGTTTTCCAGACACACTGCCCGAAGGCATCAAGTACGTCCTGGATCTGACGCCCCCAACGCTTGAAGAGGAAGCCATTATCTCAATGACCGAGGTCTCCTGTCCGATGGAGATTCGAACATGGGCAAGCTCCAAAAATATATGGAATCTCCCTTCTCAGTGTGTTGGGGGAACTGATGAAACGGAAATGGTGGAAGAGGCTTTTTTCCCTGTTGCAGAGGATTATTCGCTCATGGAAGAGAATCATGACTACCAGGACTGGGAAGATGATGCCCGAGAGGAGGAGGCGAGCGAAGAAAAGGAGCAAGGGCCTCCTCGGATGTATCAACGAGCTGGCTTGCCGGTCGAATACTCGGCTGTGCGCCATCGAGATGGTATTGAACAGGTTTTGCACGTCCTGGAAGGACTCAATGTCACCCTCGACACCCCGTGTAAGCTGTGGACATTCTTTGCAGTAGCCAAACTTTTCAAGGTTGCGACATTTCCTGCTGTGGCAGACTTAATCAGCTCCTGGTTCTACATGGAGAATAACACACGGTTCATCGAGGTTCACCCGCAGATTGCATATCGCGTGGCATGTGGGATCGAGTCTCAGACCCTTTGTCGGAATGCATTTGTTGGCTTGGTTGGCGACGAGGCCCTTCTGTATTTGATTCGAGCTGGTCAACTGAAACCAGTGAAGGCATGGGAGAAGAACTTTGCTCGAAGCCGAGCCGCCGAGTCGTTGGATGATTCCGAAATGCAACGCGTCGAGTATGCCAGCAAAAGCTTTGCGGACGAGGTCATCGGTCATTTCTTGCATCTGGCTGGGGCTGAGATGATCTGGTTAGCAGACCTCGGGGAATTCCAGAAGCTTACACAGCTAGCCCAAGAGAGTCCTGCTAGTAAGCCTATGGTTCTTGACCTGATCTCAAAGCTGAGAGATTACATTCGCTACACAATCTACACAGCTCTGGCTTCAGTTGGGGACACCTGGCGATCCTGTGATTCCGTGCCACCCGGACATCATGAGGCATACCTGCTTGCCTTCCGACCCTGCGATCTTCTTCAGCGTATCATCGGCAGGAGATTTTGGAAGGCGCTCCTGGTCTTAGATTTTAGGTTAAGTGAAATTTTTGACTCCAAGGATCACCACTCGATTGCCGATGTCGGCAACGGAATACTCGCTTTTCTAGGCCAGGACACTGCACGAATTCACAATATCTCGCGTGCATGGCTCGGTCAGCGTGTGGATGTATTCAACAGCACTGTCGCCGTCCGAGGCAACGCAGCCACCAGCCCGTGGGCTGCAGCAACTCAGATAGCGAACGAGAAACAATGGTGGACATCCAACTCAAATCTTCGTTGTCCTCTTCCGTTCGCCAACGCACTCATTTCAACAGGTAACGTTCCTGTCGCGAAATCTCATGTCCCAACCACACTTCCAATCAGAACAGTCGCTGAAAGCAGCGCCTTCACGGAGATTGATGCGAACACGTCACTTCCCTTGAGACCCACTCCATCTCAGAAGAGCCCGGTCACTTCTTCGTCAGTTCTCATCGCAGACGAAGTCGACTCATCCGCCCAGGACTTGAGATCGGAAGGATCGTATGTTTCGGAAACCCTTGAGAGCAGGATGTTCAATCTCCAAGAATTCTTCGCACAGGTGTCATCATATATGAGCACCTATTCACGGAAACTCCTTTTTCCTTGCAATGAACAAAACATATCACTGGAGGCAACACCCACTTTGACCTGCCTGGGGGAAGATCAATACCAGTATCTCCCATTGTGGGCAGGCGGTAACGACGATAAATCCGGCGGTGTGTATACGGACCACAACATTCCTTTTTTGAATAGGGGTGGCTTTTCTGCGCCAGGTCCAGCAGTGCACACTGGTAGCGCCGCCTCGAGTTCTTGTTCTTTTAGCGACATCAACCCGAGTGATTCTATGAGCACTGTCTTTGGTGCCTCACACCATGCTACTTATTCTCACATCTCCGATCTCATATCAATCAACTCTGCTGATTCTGCCCAAAACCTTAATGGAGGAATAGCAGCCGCGCATCTGGCGCCTAGTGACGTCGAAAGTTCGGTGCCATCGGTCCTGTCCATTGAAGAGGAGTTGGACCTGGACAATGGCAGTGACGGTGCTGGTACGGTGACCATGGGCTCTCCTTGTCTTTCTGATGATCTCGGCATTAGTATGGAACACCCTAGGAGCGATGATGATTTTGCCGTTGTGGAGTTCGAGCTTCAAGATGGCTCGCATAGAGAGATGAAATGTGATTAGAGGGAGAAGGATGTATAACGACTTATGAGATATGAATAATAGCGCAAAGAAATCAGAATGCGGTGACGAACGGAGTCGAACAAGTCAACCTTTGGATCTAAAGATTAGATTTAAAATAACAGATTACATGTCGCTAGGGTTTGAATTATATATCCTGAGACAGTTGAACCACCACATTTGTTGAGGAAGAAGAAACCTCAAAATGGCAGAAGGACAGAGTCCAAAAAGTGGACCTTCGAGAAGAAGAGAAAAAAGAGGTCACAAGTCTCACCGCAGTGTTTAGGAGCACCAACAGAACATTTGAACAATACCTGCGTTCAAGATCCAGAAGGCGGTACTTCGAATGGTTGGACACCCGCGATGACGTAAGCGGGATTTACGCTTCTTAGAGGAACTGGGTCTCGAGCTACGCATCTAATCACCAACTTGCTGCATCCGCTCAGCACGACTGCTGTTTCAGATCTGAATATTTGAGCATTCCCCGTCTTTTGCATCTGCGAATATCAGCTATGGCTTCCTCTTCAAAGGCTCCAAGCTCCCTGCTCTAGTGAGACATCCCACCCTGAGACTGAGCGAGGTCGACACTAACCACGCTGATAAAAGCTCCTGCATTGCCCATCGTACTACTATTCTAGCTGAGCACTCATCTCCAGGCACTTCCTCAACCTCTGCTTCGTCCATCGCGTCGATCATCCTCCCCAAGATCACGCATGACAAGCCCCAGAAGTTAACCTACACTCATGAACGACTATTCGTCCACTACATCGCCGACTCCCCCACAGGAGACTCGGCGGATGAAGCAAACGGCCGCACCGAGCCCAATAGCTATGCCCCGCTCAGCTATCTCGTGGTTGCATCCGCTGAACAGGGCCGCCGCATCCCATTCGCCTACCTCCTGGAGATGAAGCGCAAGTTCCTTGCTAGCTACCCCCCGTCTAGTACGGACTTTTCCACCCTACCTGCCTACGGATGTGCAGCCTTCAACACAGAGCTCCGCGGCCTGCTTCAGACATATAACACTGCCCCACCAGCCGATTCACTCGCCACAGCCCGGCGCGAAATCGACAGCGTTCGCGACATCATGACTGAGAACATCGAACGGGTGCTCGAGCGCGGTGAACGGATTGATCTACTGGTAGACAAAACAGATCGTCTGGGCGGCAGCGCGCACGATTTTCGTATCCGAAGCCGTGGGTTGCGGCGGCGCATGTGGTGGAAGAATGTCAAGCTGATGGTCCTTCTCGGCGTCGTGATTATCTTCCTGCTGTATCTGTTTATTGGCATAGGTTGTGGACTCCCAGCGTGGTCGAGCTGTGTCGGACACAAGTCGGAGTAAAGCCTGGGATGTGATCAGGAAAAGGGGGGGGGGGGTTCCGGTCTGGGTGCTACAACATTCTACTTTTCAGCGAGCGTGGCTCTATGTCAATTTTTTTTCTTTTTTTAATTGTCTTTCTAACTCTGATGAAGTATGATGCGATGGTCCTCTTGCTTTGAACTTGGGATTTCTGTATTCGTCCGTGGTGGGCATGACCTCGGGAATTTCTGTACATTAAGTCCTGTTGTTTGCATTGATTCTAATTGAATCTGAAATATATACAATACCATTCCAAGTTTGTGACCAATCTTTTATATTGAGCATTTCAACGCGGACAAGCACGCAGACTATATGGTCTACTCACCCCTCGTTTCCTCCCCGAGATCTTATAGGGTATCTCTTTCAAGCGCTTTTTGAATCTCTGCCTGCCTCTCCGTTCATATCTTTCCAACTAAGTTCCTATATAGGTGAGATGATTTTCCATGGTCGCCTACTTAAAGTCAGTTATATGGTATCGTTGCGCTGGCTAAAGGCTGTCATAGATGTACCTTGTTGATATCCAGGGATGTATTCGTTATCAAACACAAATTTTCGGATATCGGTGTCGCCTTGCTAGCAAGACAGAACCAGTTGGTCTTTCCCCAGTAAGCTCTGATTTATTCATACGCCATTTGTTTAATAGTCCTTCAACCATGGGTCCATCAAACCGGAATCAACGAGGTGACCCTTCAGCGAAATGATGTTTTAAAAAAGTAGACCAGGCTGATGAAGAGTAGTCTTCAAATTGAATTGAGATTGTCAAAGCTGACTAGGCGATATGCGCTACAACGATGAGGCAAGAATCATCACGTTGACGGCTCAAGAAACAACAGTTTCGATGGTTGTTATGATGCAGTTTCGCAGATATGATGCATTTCGATCATAGCGGGGAAGAGTGCATAACTTCGTTCCGTGTCATCCACCCCAGTTATTGCAAGGGAAAACTGCATAACAGTTTCTTTTGAAGCAGTCTTAAAAGTCTCGATCGAGGCGCAGTCGGGGCTTAGTCGAAGTCAAGAGTGGACGTATTTTATATAGATCGTGGATTGTCACGTGTACGGATCCACAGGTCACATGGGGAAAGGCGCAACTGCTCATGATGCGAGCTCTTTCGCGTTCAAAGCCGCGTCTACAATTTCCTCATCTATTTGTTGGATCTATGCACGCCGAACATATCACCTTGGCCTCAGTGCGCGCATGGCATTTTTCTCCTAGGGAGCTCGGCCAATGATCTCGTTGCGCGCCGCTTTACATCGCAATGGCCAATGGCGACTTTGATCACTGGTTTCAGAGCTTCCAACCCACCGTGGACATACAAGACATACAAGATGCCTTGGAGCTGTTCCAGGATCCAGAGACACTTTATGTGAACCCAGCGTCTATTCAAGCCGCCCCTGTCGCACAGGCTGTCAACGAAGACCTTTCGCCCCATCGGGCTCAGCGTGCGACCCACGCTTCATGGACAGATCAGAACTCGAACCCGGGGCTCATAAGCGACGGCTATGCGTCGCGATGGCAGCAGTTACAGCAGTTACAGCCAATACATCAGCAGCAGACACGGCAGCAGCAGCAGCAGACACGGCAGCAGCAGCACCAGCCATCGTGGGTGCAGAATGAACCTCAAGGAAACCAGATGCAACAACCACACTGGGCACAGCGGCAGCAACAGCCACCTCACCACTCGGGGCAGCAGTATACGAGACAGCCTGACGCCAAATCATCTTCGTCCCCGTATTCGTCCAATACCTTCCGCCGAGCCCATAATCAGCCGCCGAAAACTTCTCGATTGTCTTCAGCTATAGGAGCAGCAGCGCCGGCCCACCAGCAGGACCCCAAACATAACATGGTCACCAATTTTCAGAACGATATTACAGGGACATCCCACTCGCACCCCGAACAACCTCAAATAACGTCTCTGCCATCCGACAACTCAATCATGCCTGCAACAGCCCAAGATTATTCTTCAAGGCCAACTATCAACCCACCTTTGTCACAACTCTCACGCCCTCGCGCAACGCCGAATATGCTTAATCCATCCCACGCCTCCGACGCGGAACAGCCCGCGGCGTTCTTGTCTCAATCGCCTCTAGCAGCTCCACAGCATAGACAGAATGGAAGGAGCGGCAGATACGCAACAGAGATTTCTAATCCTCGAATTCCAACCGCCCCAGATGTATGGCTAAGTGGGCTGCCACCGGTAGAATCCCCGGCCGATGCACAGGCTCCGACCGCGAAAAGGCAGCGACTGCAACATGTCACCAAGCACGCGGTCAATTCTTCCAATGGTACTTCAGACTCCTCAAAGTATGCTCCTCGCTCTCATTCTCGGGCGCACGTCAATATGAGGAACGACCTTGTTGAGTCGATCGATGCTCAAGACGCCGCTATTAAAGAGTCCTATGACCCCGCCACTATCGCACGGGATGTGTTAATCAATGCAGACAAGCACCCCACTGAGCCGATTTTGAACCATCATCTGGAACTTCTCAGTCAGAAAATACCTTCCATCAACATCACTTCTGATTTAGCCACCCTTCGCTGGGATTTGCTTGACCCCGAAGGCCCACGTGACACCCCTCAAGGCTCGCCTGCTCCGTCGCGTCCGCACGCTCTTGGCGCGCTGCCGTTCGCACGTCCTTCTTACTTTTCTCGTCAAACACCGCCGTCTCCTGCTCCTGTCCCTGCTCCAGCTCCTACTTCGAAATTCGCGCGTCCTACATTTCACCCTCCTCAGTCGCCTCTACCTCCTTCTTCGCCTCGACCCTTACTTCCAACCTGCACCCCGAGGTTTACAAGGCCGTCCGTACCAACTCTGAATTCAACTCCAATCCCAACCCCAGCTCCGACGCCAGTGCGACAGCCTGTGGTGGAGCTACCATCCAGCTCAAAGCAAACGCCGGTGCCGACATCGGCGTCATCACCGGCTCCATTAACCAATCTAGCATCACCTTCAAGCAGCTCAAGATTAAGACAGGCTTCCAAGCCATCGCAGTCTCCGCCTAAATCCTCTCGCATGCAAATGCAGGTTGTGGTCCCAACGAGCCCTCGCGGCATGCGTCCACGCAAGAAAGGCCAAGTCGGTCGGCCCGGAAAGACTGCCCCCGTTAACCACATGCTGGGGGTGACTATTAACCACAAGTCGACAGTCCCGTACCCAGTCTTTGACTGCAAATGGGTGAATTGTGAGGCAGAACTTCACAACCTGCAGGCACTTCAAAGCCATGTCCTCAAGGTCCATATTCCGCACAACCTTCAATGTGGCTGGAAAGAATGTGCCGACCGAACCCCACGGGCTGCAGCCAACATGTGGGAGCATTTCACCTCGCAGCATCTCGAAAAAGTGGCTTGGGCCTCTGGCGACGGCCCAGTGATTTCTTCTGGTGAGAGCCACCTGGCTGTAATTGACCTTACTGCGGAGAGTCCCAGCGGTGATCCTTGATTAAATGACCACCTGTACGAGAAATGTCTAATGGGATCTGCATGTCTAGCGGACGGCCCTGCATCATCTAGGTTCCAGCAATCTTTGCGGAATCCTCGCCCTGAAACCATGACCCTTCCAGTCAACCAAAACACCATCGACGCCTTCAGTCGCGTTCACGGCCCTTACAACCATAAGGAAAAGGCGGGAAAATTCCGAGATGCTGGCATTCGCTGGAAGATGGGAACTGGAGTCGAGACAGATGCAAGCAACCGAAGCCTCTCCCAACCGGCCATGCAGCCTTTTGTGCCCGACCTGGAGATTGCGATGACTGTCAATAACCCTTAAAATGGCCATGATGATCTTCATCGGCATCATGATTTCCCCCACCCCTGTTGCAAGACTTAGTTCGAAAGCAGGCGTTATGAATATCCAATCTTCCATTATTTCGCATAGCACGTCCTATGATATGCGATCAACTTTGCAGAGTAAAATCATGGAACAATGTGAATGAATTGCAAACGAAAACAGATGCCATCTGGCATTTTGCTCCATGGTCATGGCATTACCAAGACCATCGAGCGGGTATTGTACATGCTTGTAGTGCGCTTTTCTCCCACGTAGACTGCGCTGAAAGTTGGGTTCCTGTCCGTCCTCTTCATAGCTTCATTTATGACCTGCATCTCGATGTGTCCTTATGGCCAGCGAAGGCACCTTTATGATGTCGCGAACTCGGCGGTGGTTCTGGTTTGTTTGGACGTTGTGTTCTCGGTTTCGTCGTCGTCGTGAGCATTGACATCGAGGAAGTGGTAGAGGACAATCATCATCATGGCGCAGGAGCCCAGGAAGATGGCCAGGCGGTAGAGGTCGCCGTCGGAGATCATGATGAAGTGATTGAGTACTGAAGGACTTGAATGGGCTTCCAAAGTGAGAGGGATAGATCAATTCGGCACGAGGCGCGAGAGATAGTTGGAATCGAGTGGTTCAGTAGGAAGATGTAGAGAGTTGCGAGTGTTGAAGATGATAAAGGACAGACGGGACGTGTCATCCTTTTTAGCGCCCGCAACCCGCAACTGGGGACATCCTTGTCTCTCGTTCTCCCTCTTCGAGGTTCCACACCCCCGCTCTCTTCTTCTTTTCACAGATCCATGCACATCTATTTCTCGACATGAACGAATCCCCTTCCGCGCCCGGGACGAAACCCTCGGGTCCCTCACTCTTGGCCTGTCTCTTGTGCCGCCATAAGCATCTCAAATGCGATGGAAAGACCCCAATCTGCAGCCGATGTGCCCTCACAGGATCCGAGTGCAACTACACAAAGTCACGTAGAGGCTACAAAGGCCCGTCTAAGAAGCGGCGCGCAGAACCGGCCTCCCCGGACCAGTTGCCTCTTGATCCCGCCGTGGGTCTGGTCGTCGTCCCCGTGGATTGGAATCTACACGGCGGCTTCCACTATACGCCGACCATGCCTCTATCGTCCTCCGGGTCTGCAAGTCCCAGATTGAACGAGATGCCCTTGACAATGACGCCCTCGCGACCAACTACCGGTCCGCTAACCCCGGAATCTGCATCGTCAATCGGTGGGGACGGGTATTTGCTCGATATCTATTACACGTACTTCCACTCGGCCCATCCAATTCTACCGCCACTGCGATTTCTCTATCGCGCTCATTTCCCGCATTATTTGGAGCAGGTGATGAAATTTATCGCCGCTCACTTCACGCCCGCCGCTTCCAGTGAAACATATCGACCCATGGTGGTCGCGGCGGTTCGCGACCAAGCCCCCTCAGTTGAGAAGGTGCAAGCACTGCTCCTGCTAGCTATCGTGTTACATTCGCGCAATGAGCGTAGCGAAGCGGGTGAGTGCCTGGCTAGTGCTGTGGACTTGGCATTCGACCTCGGTATGCACGAGGCGACCTATGCCGAGACCGCCAGCGACCTCGACCCTATTCGTGCTGAATGCTTGCGTCGGACCTGGTGGGAACTCTTTGTTATCGAGGGACTTTTGACAGCTCTGGGAGTGCAACGCATTTACCGCACGAATCTGGTTCCACCTATAGTGCCTCTTCCTTGTGAAGAGCGCATCTACCAGGATGGTTTGACCCCTCCGGTACCACCTACTATTATGCAATTCGATCAGCGTGTATTTGCCGACGAGGAGCGCGACTTTTCCTCGTACACTTATCGAATTGAGGCCGTGCGCATTCTTGGTCGTGTGGTCGCCACCCAGGAGATGGTAGAGGGTCAGCAAGACCATGTTGAAGCGATTGACGCGCGCATTGCTAGCTGGTTCCATCACCTTCCAGAGTCCAAGGCGGAACTGCTGCGACCGGACGGCTCAGTCGACGAGATCATGTTCCAGGCGACTATGATCGTGAACGGTGCTTCCATCTATCTGAACTTCCCCCGATCCGATCTTCTGTCATCGCCTGCCGTCGCCTCAGAGGTCATCTGTGGTCACCACGGTCCCATAAGCGTGCCGGCATTTTCACATCATGCCCATGCCATGAAGGCTGTCAAGGCAGCCAGTGAGCTGTCTTCGTTGGCTGCCATTCGTTTGCCAGTGGAGAGACACACCCCTTTCTTCATTTGCGCCCTCACTTTGAGCTCAATCGTGCAGTTGGCCGCTTGCTCCGTCAAAGCAGGCTCTATGCCCGACCCTAGTCGTGAGCGCATCGGTCTCACCATCGGAGTCTTCAAATCCCTGGGCCGTACCTGGGCCATATCGCAGTCCATTATGCGACAGATCAAAGCCGTATCTCGGGATGTGTTGGACATGGGTGTTCGACCGAGTATGGACCCGCTTGATCTGACCTTCTGGGTTCAGGAAGGCGGCAGCTGAAGGAGATTCTGAAGGGAAGGCCCAGTCATTCGAGTGACATTGTGGCATCATGTATATTCTCGCATGAATATTGGGTGTCTCTGTTGAACAGAATCAAGGGAAGGGGAGGGGGGCTGGATTTCGATCTCGCTGGACCGTATTCTTGTCAAGGTCCGACTGAAACCAGACTTTCGGTTTCTTCAAACTGAAATCTACGGGGTTTTAAGATGAACCATCAGCTGATATAAGCCTGACAGCGGCCAAAGGGTGAAGCCAAGAAACCACACAGAGTCGCGCCCTCCATTCTTGCTCGCAAACATAATCTAGACATTCCATGCTCAGCACCTGGCAGTCAATTACTTGATTAATGGTCGAGGTTTCTCTTTCTTGCAGGAATGACACGTCTTTGAATCCCGAGGTCGTCAGATTACGACTTCCTATGGGTCTTGGCTGCCAAAGGCAAACACTAAGGGACTCTGAGCACGGACTTTCTGTCCGATCATCTATACTAATAATTCTCATGTCATCGATATTGGGTTCTGTTGTATCTAGTTGCCTTTGTGACCACAACCTGGGAAGATACCTGGGTAGGATCTACTTTTGAAAGAATAAAGCGGATACCTTTTTTCGTGATCCATATATTTTCAGATTGATATAGTTGTAGATGTTATCGGGAAAGCAAGATAGATCATGTCTCCCATCTGAGACCACCATCATGCCCTGTCGATCTCTCTTGGTAGCCTCAATGGAACGTCAACAAGCTGCAGAGCAAAGTGGCCCGTGGTCCCCGGGCCGTCGTTTCCACTTGATTTGTCATCGAGTATGTATGATTGTTTGGTTCTTTGATTTCTCGATTTTTGCATTAAAAGTCAGTTGCAAAGACCAAGTGCACATGATGAGATCTTCCAATACGATTCAAACTTTGATTGAGAAAAGGCGAGGCTGGATTCATTGGCGTTTTTGGGGAGCACAGAACACATGAAACACATTGATGGGTCTAATCTTGTCCCATCCTGTGTGTCCTCATGACAGAATCCCCTATCAGATGACTCTGTAAGACCTGATATATAAAAAACCACTGAATTCTTGAGTTTCCACTGAAATTTATTACTAACTTGACCATGCAGCATGTATAAACAATCTAACCATGCATGAAACCTCGTGCCTCCGTACCCATGTTCCTCCAATGTCCATTCATTAGACCTGCATCTCCAGAATTCCATCATAGGAACAGCTGATCTCGGTGTTGGCATCGGGATTATTCACGCAAATCCACTTAGTGCCAGGAGCCTCTCCATTGGCATTCGAACTCAGCAAGACCTGGCCATCTTCAGGAATAGAACCCGAAACCCTCTCCAGCTCCAGCGTAAAGCGATTGAAGTCGGGAGCCCCTTGAGGGAACTTGATGTAGTACTCGCCGTTGTTGCACCGAGCATTGGACTCGGGCAGCCACCCATAGGTCCTGGACACAATCGAAGATTAGCCTTTGAAACCTGTCCCTCGAGGCAGCTATGGACTTACCAGATGAGGTTGCAATCCGTGGGCGTGTCATCGGGGTAGTTGGGATCGGTGACGGTGAAGTGCATGTATGCACCGGGGGAGAGAGGTCCAGCGCGAGCCCAGAAATCGCTGATCTGGATGGAGTTGCTGCGGGCGACATTCGTAGGAGCAGCAAAAGTTGAGCTGGCAGCCAGCAGAATGGAAGCAATAGTAAACTTCATTTTGTAGCTTGAATTGGCTTGTCAAAGGACTGAGGAGATTTGGAAGTTGTGATGGATGAGAGCTAGTTGAAGCCGTGAAGACACGTCTTTATACCTCGATTGTCTGCTTCAATAAAGAAGATGCTTCTCATGAGGCGTCCAATACTTTGGAATCAAAAATAGTAAACTCCTTGGTTTGAGACACTTGTCAACATGTCCACGGCGCAATGAGTGACTACTTTCAAGGCCTCGAAGCCGTCAAATGCAACACGGCCGTGAGTTCGCTCCAGTCCCTGCGAGCCTTTCAAGATTGGGCCACCCAGATGATGATCCAGATCTCGTGTTTTGGGTTCGGAATAGATCTCTTTCCAGACTGCGGCTGTGGCTGATGCATTCAGGCCCCCGATCTCTAATGATTCCTGCGATCGCCGTGGATTTGGGGCCAAAGTCGAGAAGCGGAGATCATTTCCGAAGCAGGCTTTGCGCCTAAGTCTGAGCCCCGTTCTATTCTCAGGATGTCAGAGAGTGCCTCATTGGGTGGTCAAGAAAAGGGTGTCGATCATTGCAAAAAATTTGAGCGATGTTCGATACAAAGTCGAGGTATTGGTTCGCACAGATGGACTCAACACCAGGCACTGAAAACGATAGTTCGACGATGTTTAACCATCGCATCTCTCTCCCTTGAACGATGACAGATATATAGGGACTTCACACCCGTTGCCGAATTCATTCCCAGTCCACGACGGAGTCACAGTGGGTGATCTGTTCCACTGGGTGAAAAAGAAGCGGAGGAAGAGATGTCGCCAATGTGGATTTTATCCTGCTCATAGTCCCGATGTCACGACACTTGATGGAATTCGATATACTAGAACTCGATGAGAATCGTCCGTCCACCTTGACCATGGCTAGTGTCTCAAACTTCAAGGCAATCCAATTTTCATCGGACACGAGACAGAGTTACTGATCATCCTAACGCGGGGTGAACATGGTTCGGCGACTTGTCCGAGCCTTGGATACTGCCTCGTCTCGAGTACAACACGATACCCGAAGCGAAGAATATCTACATCCAGGGGCAATCAAATGAATCTCTAGTGCTTATATCCATTTCTCATAGCTTTTGGTCAAGCTGCTAGGTATGATACAGTTGATCTGAATTGATCTAAATCGATCTACGACACTTCCTGACAGGCTAAGGAGGTCAAGTATTAGTGTCGGAGCAAGCGCCGCCCTACTATACACGGTCGTGGATCCAGCCGCAGTGCCTGAATTGCCGATCACAAAGGCCTTGAAGTCGAGTTCTCTGCCAGAGATCTCTCAATACGTGAAATTTTCTTAATTCCTGTGTCTTCCCTGTTCCACATGGACTCGAGTGCCATGGAGAATACAATGGATCGAAGGGCTGTCGACTTCTCCATGCCGGGATCAGCCACTCCATTCAACTCTCAGCCTCAGCCTCAACCTCAATCTCAATCTCAATCTCAACCACCATCATCAGACGAACATGAATCGACTCTCAACCTCGTCACCTGGGATGGTCCAAATGATCCTGAAAATCCTCAGAACTGGTCGCGACGGGAGAAGCTATTACGCTCATCAGCGCCGCTGGCAGTAATCTTCCCGATCGCATTTGCATCAAGTATATTCGGATCGGCAGCGGACGTCACGGCTCACGAGTATGGGGTCTCACAGGAAGTAATGAGCTTAGGCGTTGCTCTCTTCGTAGCTGGGTTTGCCACCGGTCCTGTTGTATTTGCCCCCATGGCCGAGTTGGTGGGCTCCGCTCCAGTGCTGGCGATTGCTTTGACCGGATGCGCGATCTTCCAGATTCCGCTGGCTCTGGCGCAGTCGGTCACCACGATCCTCGTATGCCGATTTCTAGCTGGATTATTGGGAAGTGGTGGACTCGCGGTGGGATCGGGGATTCTGGCAGATGTCTTCGTCGGACCGACACGAGGTGTGGCGGTGGGAATGTCGGCGAGTTGTATGAACCTCGCTTCGACTATTGCGCCCATCGTCGGGGCTTTCATCGTCGATAATGGCTCGTGGCGCTGGACGGCATGGGTCACGCTGATTCTCTGCGCCGTGGTCGGGTTCATGTGTATTTTCCTGCTGCGCGAAACATCGCATAACCAGATTCTCAGGAAGCGCGCGGCTCGTCTGCGTCGTGAAACGGGCAACGAAAACTGGAAATCTCGGAATGAAATGGTCTCCACGGATTTGAAGGTAATGCTGCGCAAATACGGCACCAAGCCAGTGCGCATGTTCGTGCGGGAGCCTATCCTCATCGTGATGACGGTCTACTTGACACTTGTCTATGGCTCGTCGTACCTTTCGTATCAGCTCTTCCCCAAAGCCTTTGAGGACAGAGGCTGGAGCACGCCTATTGCGAGTCTCCCATTCATCGCTGTCGGCATCGGTGTCGTGGCAGCTGTCGGACTCTTTTCACTCTTCACCATGACCTGGTATAAGAAGCGATGGGATGCTTATCAGACCGAAAAGGTCGATGAATCTCCCCGACCACCTCGCATCACCCCGGAACATCGACTGCCGCCTATGATCTTCGGTGCAGTGCTGCTTCCACCGGCATTGTTGTGGTTTGGATGGAGTGGCAATGCCCACTGGTTATGTCAGGTCATTGCGTGTTTTGTGATTGGGCTGGCCCTGCAAATCATCTTCATCTCGGGTATAGTCTTCATCGTGGATGTCTATCTACTCAACACCGTGTCCGCAATCAGTATTCATGTCATGGTACGTTCCATGGCCTCGGCCACGTTTCCTCTGTTTGAGGGACCGATGTACAAAAGCTTGGGCATCAACTGGTCGGCCACGCTGTTAGCCGGGTTATCGGCGGTAATCATGGTCTCACCCATCTTGTTCATGGTATATGGAGCTCGCATCCGGAGCTGGAGCCGGTTCTCTGTCGGTGACATATAGAGATGTGTTGAAACAGAGCATATGACATAGCAAAATAGACAATCGAGTTATTTTCTAAAAAAAAAGATGCTATTTTGTAAAGTCTAACGATCCCAGATGAGAAGCAGGGGTATCTCGAAATGCCACGCAGGAGTATAAGACAAGCCCAAGTCAAATGTCTTGCTGAAAAAAGCAAGATCAGAAGGAAAATAGCGCCCAAGGAATGAATGCGGGTGGGGAATCCACGAATCAAAAATGCCAGAACGCCCTGCCCAATGCTCGTCATGTTGGCATCGTCAAAGCTCTCTTATTGAAAGTCAATGAAAGAACAAAAGAAAAGTGTGAAGGATCATCAATTATGGACTGAAGACCATTCGAGATAATTCTAGTCCCGCCCGACGCTGAATTCGCGCATGTCTCTGAGCGCGACAGCCCGGCGAGAGACAACGTCTTCGCGGCGGACCATGTTACGCAATGCCTCGCTGGCTTGAATCAACCCGTCGATGCTGATAGCATGGTTAGTCATCTGGTGGTTGATATACGTGTAGAGAGCAGCCGGGGTGGAGCAGGTTGTAAGCAACTGCGGTTCGTTGAGCTTAAGCAAGGCGAGGGCGACTTGGAAAAGAAATGTACTTCCACCACCACTACCAGACGGGCTATCCTCGGAGGCCAGAGTCGCTTTATCATTGCCGTCTTTGACGCTGGAAGCCGAAGAGACGGTCGGACCCGGGCCATTGGGAACTGCACTGGTCACATTGAGACACAATACCACATCCCATACTCGGTATAACGCTTCCGCAGAGAGACAATCCGTAAACACAGAAAGGAACCACTGGAACGTGAGAGCCTCCAGTTCCACGCCAAGATCCTCCAGGTGTGCCGAGAGCTTGGGAAGAAGCTCCGAGATGTACTGGCGCAGTACCACCTGGTCCGCACGAGATGCCAAAAGTCCATGATCATAGTAATGTTCAGGCAGAATAATCTCGATCATGGAGACCAAAATCCAAAATGCATCCTCGGCCGTTGGCATGATGAGTAAGAGCGATGCTGCGATGAGGTTCATACCCTGGCAGTATCCCACTTCTTCGTTGCGTCGTGAGTACGCCAAGAGGACCTCCCTGAGCTTATCAACACCGGGACCTTTGCGGAAAAAGACATTGTCGGTGAGGGTGCGACGAATGTCCATGTCGATCTGTGCGACCACCGAAACATCAGGTTCGGTTCCTCCCACGCCCCGCACCAGGTCACCATAGTATCCAGGAATACGCATGGCAGATGCGCCACTGCACTCAGACCACACCTTGGCACGGAGGGCAACGGGGATGCCGGCGAGGACAAGAGATCGGAACTCTCGCCACTTGTTGCGGCCGACCTTGCCTTTATTGCCCAGACCAGCGATGCCAATAACCTCACCATCAGCGAGGGTGGCTTCAGGTGTGTCCACTGCTGTTAGGGACCGGTCCGTTGACGTGGCTGCTGCAGCTGCAGCTGCGGCTTCACCCTCTTTTCTGCGTTCGGCGCGCACCTTGCGAAGGAACTCATTCCACCGGACGGTACGATCGCGCTGGAGAGTATCATGGAGATCAGTCAGTTGCTCCAGCAGTAGCTTAACTGGCTCAGCCTCCGCAGGGTTGATTCTCGCAGATAAAGTAGTAGACTCTTCCGTAAGTCCTCCAGCAAATTCAGGATTTTTAGCGGTAATGGTCGACGTGGATGCCGATGGTTGAGGGCTCGAGCTGACAGAGAGTCCTTTGTCGGTTGAAACAGACGAGCTATGAGAGCGACTATCCTCAGCATTTGTCAGAGAAACAATCGGGGCCGCAGATGGAGTATGCGATAAAAGTTCTGTTGGACGAGACGGTAACCTCAGATAGTCCTGCCAGCGGCGAAGACTAACAGCTCCACTTTCTGGGTCGTCAGGAGAGCCTGGAGGGGAACCCGGAGTTTGAGGTGTCTCTTGATAGTCGGTCTGATCGTTTTCTCCGTCCGATACTTCACTCCGGAGGTTTCCAAGAGTCTCGGTAATGCTTAAAGGTGATCGAACCCGCTTCCCCGAGGTAGCTTCCCTCTGTCGTCTCTTCCGGCGCTGATCATAAATGAAACCAAACCGATCGGTGAGAAATTCGCCAGGCTGGGAGTTGTTGTAAATTGGGGCGAGAGTCGGAGGTCGAGATTCAACAGGCAAGATGGCATCCATTTCGACGGGGCCCAGATTGGTCGTGGTACGATCTGATGTCTCGGCGGCGGTACCTTGTGACACGCTCCCTGCTGCAGTCCTGCGTGCGGCTGGATTAATTCTGACCGTCCCACTGCCCACGCTGGCAGGACGTCCAGGTGGAACCACGCCGTGACCATTGATCCTCTTCAACGCAGCAACAGCGGACATACCGCTCTTTGGAGTGCCAGGTTGGGTCATTGATTTTTCTAGATTGACAGACTTGCTGCGAATGGCCTCGGAATCGCTGGCCTCTTTTGGCGTCTGTGTGTTACCGGCAAACAATTTGACAGTCCATGACCCAAGTGAGCGGGATGATTTCCGAGAATGAACACTAGAACGGTCGTCGCCATTGGTGGATTCGCTTGCAATCCGCTTCGCATCACTCGCGGAGATGCCCGGGGGCTGGAAAAGCTGTTCGTCAAGAGCCTTGCGACGGACAGAGAGGTTACTGGGTATACGAGGACGTTCGCCGCCTTCCTCTTCAATGCCGTGCATATCACTCATAATACTGCTGGCGCGACTGGTCTTCCGACTCGCATTGGTCGAATCACCAAAGATGTAGTCACCCCAGCCGCGCAATGAGCCTGTTCGCTTTCGATTGTTGCTTGATTCGGCCCTGGTCACTTCCTTGCGAGCTTCATTTTCCGATCGCTGGGCGCGAATCGTAGCTTGGAGATCTGAGTCTTCTGCATCTGATTGAGATCCAACTGCATCTGTCATGGCCTGGGACATGAGGCCATCCAGCCCTGCGGATTTCCTGCCACTGTGACTGCTCTCTCCGTCCGAATGGCGGTCCTCTGGATTATTCTCCAGCTGGTATAGGCGACGCTCGATATCCTGATTCGATACAGATACTTCTCGAAGCATCCGCTTGAGCTCACGCTCCCTCGCATCAGCACGCTGCCGCAGAGCCGAGATCTCAGCATCACGCTGAGCCAAGTCCCGCGCATACTGTCTAACGATTTTCACGGCACCAGTACTCGCTATCAGGCGCTCAATATGGGCATCATCCGCCAAATGTAGGGCCCCCGGGATGTCATGTAGTGGGGCGGAATCTTCAAACAAGGCAGCCCGACCTGAACTGTGAGACAACCCAGTGGTAAGCCTGGCCAACGTGGCTTTACGCCCACGACCAAACTCCGTAGTCCCATCCGCGCCATTGGCAGTCATCAACGTATTCGTCAAACCGGAGTTCAACGTGGGGGCGTGATCAGGCGGGGAAAGCGAAGGGAACGAGGTGAGATCGGTGGGCGCATTGGAAGAAGCCGAGTGCCGTTTCTGGCCTTTTGTGCGAAGTGTTCTAGCCTTTTGGCTCCTGCTGGATGCAGAGGAGGCCTGGGAGGAAGACCGTCGCTGGGGTTGAGGATCGGGCTCGGCCATGACTCAACGACTGTTTGATGACATAGACGGGGGAATGGGAGCTTGCGGACTTCATGAATGCTTCCTTTCACTATCAGGTGTAGACATATGGAAAATTTCCAGTGTAAGATGGAGGTATCCTGGCAGCAGGGCGTTTTCTCTTTGTCACGCGCCTTTGGCGATCCTTAACAGTCTGTGTGGATCCAAAGAATAAAGGGAGATCGGCGACCGCAGTGTCAACCAACGGTACAGGTGAGTTTTGACAACGGCCGAGAACTAGTGCACACTCACGGCGGGGCAAAACGGGATTTTGAAAACTGACACAAGTCAAGGCTTCACTAAAAACAAGCATCGGCACATGACGTGATGCGCTCTCACGTGATATAGAGGCTCTCTATCATGTGACCTGACGATGCGGCTTCGATAAGTCACCTGATCTCAGCCTCGGCTCTCCGCAAAGTAACCGACTTGAGTGGGGAAGGTGCGAAGAGTCCCCTACTTCTTTAGTATTACACTCGCTGTTTTACCTTGATCAACCCCGATCTTTCTGTAAAGGTGAGCACTTTTACGAATACTTCATTCCCAAGCTCAACTTTTTGCTTTTTCAGAAGCCACCATGTCTGCGGCAGCTCAACAACGTCTCCAAGCTCTCAGCAAGCAGCTTGTCGAGGGTATACCCGATGAAGGCACCTTTGAGGATATTCCCAAGATTCGGCACATTGCATCAGACTCTGTAGGCCCGTGAGTAAAACTCAGTGCTTCATCCATGATATGCCATTGAAGGATCCATACATTATCGAGCTACCTGCTCAATGGCTATAAAAGAGCAAAGCTAACCTCGGTATAGTCGGGCAAAAGACAAGGTGGTAATTGTCACCGGTAAGTTACACGGAGTACGCCAAAGCTCTTCTGGACTATGAACACTAAAACAACGTAGGAGCAAACTCTCCCAACGGAATTGGCCGTGCCAGCGCACATCAATTCGCGCACAACGGTGCCAAAGCCGTGTACATCTGTGATTTCGCCGACTCGCATCTTGCAACGCACAAGCGTGAGATCGAGTCCCTGTATCCGGGTGTGGACGTGCATGTGCGGCAATTTGATGCTGCCGATGAAAAGGCCCTGACGGCTGTCATTGACGAAGCGATTGCTGCATACGGCCGGCTGGACATCTTCTTCGCCAATGCCGGGATTGTCGGCCAGCCGAAGATTTTCACCGAGATTGAAGGCGATGCATTCATGCAGACTATGAAGGTTAATGCATTGGGGTAAGCTTCAAGTCCGACGTTGCAGGACGCAAACTGACATGGTTCGACAGTCCTTTCCTGGCTGCCAAGCATGCCGCTCCAGCGATGAAAATAACCTCGGAAGCCAAGCCGTATCCTGGTGGATCTATCATTTGCACTGCATCGGTGGCTGGACTGCGCTCCAACGCCGGCTCGACAGATTACTCTGCCTCTAAGGCTGCAGTTGTATCCATTGCACAGACTGTCTCATATCAGCTGGCCGGTACTGGTATTCGCATCAATGCCATCTGTCCTGGACTGATTGAGACGGGCATGACACAGGCGGTTTTCGACCATGCGCGAAAGCGCGGCACGCAGCGGAAGATCGGACAGTTGAACCCCACACAGCGAGGTGCTGTCGCGGATGAGGTTGCACGTGTGGCCTTGTTCTTAGGTAGTGATGAAAGCAGCTATGTCAATGGTCAGGCCTGGGCTGTTTGTGGTGGACTAAGTGCCGGGCACCCCGTGGTTCCAGGGAAGCTTGCATAGTGTCTTGCCTAGTAACATGTACATAATTCAATTTCCAACATAACGAGGGTTCATCATCGACGAAGCAAACAATGTCTACAGTCTTGACACGGGATTGAACAAAAATTACAGATTCCATTTTTAGATACAGCAGGGATGGAATTCCCAAGGCAATCGAGTGAGTCCAGATCAACGATTGCGGACAAAAGGAAATAGGGAGTGTGGCACAATATAAGAAAAGCCTGCATATTCTTGGTGCGGCAATAAGAGTGCAGTGTATCGCTGTCTCTCACGCCAAGTCTTGCAAATCAAGGTGGCGGAGAGGTAGCGGAAAGCAGACAATAAGAGAGTCGTCCATCCCAGAAGGTACGACAAATAGTAACAGATTCCCAGGTAATAATGAAAACACCTCAAGGAAAACGAAGCCGCAAATCAATAGACAAGAAGATGAGGATTCAAGGCGGATGGATATAACGGGTGTATCAAAATGTTCGACACAACGAAGCGAAACAAAACGATGCCGGGCCGGAAAGGGTCTCGGCGCCAATGAAGAAGGTAGGACCACGCCAAAGGAAAGGCAAAAAAAAACAGGGTCATCTCAGTGAAGCGTTGCAATCATCCATGAAGGAGTGATGGAACCAAATTATGAGATCACACGGGCAGTGTTGGGCCGCATGAGATCCTCACTGGCCTGCTTGGACAGAGTGCCAGTCTCGGTCTGTTGGTCATCACCGGAGTCGTGGGCGTGCTCGTCATCATCCTCCACGATGCGGGTGGGAATGTCACCAGGCCCATACTGCTGGCTCGAACGCTCGGGGAAGGTTGAGCTGCTGACCATAGACATGGATGTGCTGGAGCGGTTGTGAACGAGGTCCGGGGTGGGAGGAATGCTGGAGTGGCGGTTTTCTGGGTGCAGGGAGTTGTTATCGGCGTCGCTCACTTCACTGGTAGCGCGGGTGGTGCGACCATCCTGACCATCGTATTCGGAACCCAGACGGGGAGAGTTGTTGGCGGACGAGATTTTGGAAGCATCGACCTCCTCATGCTCGGCGTCTTGGGCGAGATGCAGACCCTCGACGGCGGCAGCGCACTGGTCACTGATGCTGCGGATGATATCCGCGATGGCATCGGTCTTGTCCTGGAGGTAACGGTCGGCTACGTCAGACATACTCAGACGAGCAGCGGACTTGTGGTTCTTTCCAAGGTTCAGCAGGTGCTGTTCGAGCACGGGGTTCATATCATTTACCGATTTGCTTTTGCCGCTCTTGCCCACCGATGTCTCCTCTGCAACCTCCGACATGTCCTCGATAGACTCTTCGGGGGCGTCCGCGTAACCCTGCTCGATCATCTCAGCAATCTCGGATCTGCTACCAATGGAACGCACAATGTGCTCCATATGGTGACTCTGGCCGCAGACGAGGCTGCGCAGGTGCAGAACGACACGCTGGGCATCATCACGCTGGCGAGTGAGTGTCGAGTTAGTGTGGCTAAGAGCAGAGAGTTCCTTCTGGTTGCGCTTGCGCTCGCGCTCGAGCTCCTCGGCAATCTCCTGCTGAAGAACCAGAGCCTCAAGAGCATCATCACGCTGCTTCTCAGTGCCGGAAAGACGGAGAGTGAGACGAGCAACGTCATCCTTCTGCTGGTCGATAAGACCAGTCAGGCGACGGCTCTCGCGCTTATGGTTCTCGATCTTGACCTTGAGTTCGGAGGTCTCCTTGGTAAGCTGCTCAGCAAAGGCCTGGAACTTGAGGAATTGTTGCTTCCAGGTCTCGAGCTCCTCGACAAGGAAGTTGTTGCGCTTGGTGACCTTGCTGAGCTCGGTGTCCATACGGCCCTTGAGGTTGATGAAATCCTGCCAAGCCTCCATGGCATCCCGAGAGTACTGGTTGCGCTCGCGAACGATCTCGTTCAAGTGACGCATCGAGACCTTGGTCATCAGAGGCTTCTTGACCGAGCCACCGAAAATGGCCTTCATGCCGGTATTGCGGCCAAGTTTCTCGCAGACGTGGTCCATTACGCCCATAACGGCATCCTGGTTCCACCATTGGGGCTCCTGGACACTCTCGACCTCGCCGCGCATGACAATGATTTGACCGGCGGGGATCAGCTTTCCACCAGCGTAGGCAGAGCGCAGGTGAGTGGGAACACCGGAAGGAGACACATCACCGTTCAAGGCTTGTGTCAGACGGTTAATGAACTTGGTGCGCTGGCCTTGGTTGAGAACGTTGGGAGGGCTAGAGGTCAGCACAAAGTTGCGGTCCAGATCAACGACCAGGGCATCGGATGGGGCGTTGAACAGTGTACGGCATTCAGCAGTGATACCCAAAATATAGGGGCCAGGTTCCTGGACAAGATCTTTCACGTGGCGGGCGTGCACAACGGGCACATACAGACCACTCCATTCGTAGACACGCACGCAGTAGCGAACAGTCTCGGAAGCCACGGTCAGCATAGCGGGGTAGTGACTGACAAAGATAATTCGGCGAGTAGGCGAAACGGCGGCCTCGACGACACCGACGATGTTAGGAATCGACAGACAGTTGAAAAGGGGCCACATGGAGAAATTTTGGAAGCCGGTGGGTGACGATGGAAATTGGTAGCAAAGGGCATAGTCCTTCATATCAATCCGAACCAGATCATTGAGGCGAGGAGCCGGGAAGCTCAGGATGCGAGAAACCTCCTCGGCGTGGAAGAGGTTGGTGGCCTTGTTCCAGTGGATCCACATGCCCCGGAGATAGTCGCCCAGGAGGTCGTACAGAGGGTAGCGGGAAAGGAAACTTAAGCAATAGGGGATCCAGTAGGTCTCATCGGGGTTGTCGTAAAAGTCGGGCTCGGTCTTCTTGCGAAGCTCGCGGATGGTTTCGGCACGTTTCTCATCTGCACGAGACCAAACGCGCAGCGCGATACCGTACAGAGTATGAGATGAGTCCTGCTGGAGGACAAAGGCGTGGTGAGCACAGTGAGGCTGGCTCTTTCCGGTGCAGATCTCCACATCATGCGGGAAGCAAGCCTAGATATCGATTGATTAGTCCGTCACTCTTCCACCGCCGTTCTATTCCAGAGCTTACCCTCATGGCCGAGTGTAGAGCTCTCGCAATATCATTGTCTTGTTCTAAACGGGGACTGCTGCCCAAAATCTCCGGAAGCCAGAATTGGCCGACAGCACCTTTCATATGGCCAATTTTGCCCTGGTCGGGGATCGGTGCCTTGACCCATTGTGAAGGCTCACGGCCGACACCGCAGACCATGTATGCATGAGTAAGAGTTTTCGGAGTCCGCTGAGCGGGTTTCACGCTGAGAGAAGAAGGAATGGGTTGCGTGATGCGAGAGTGCAGCGACGACGTGCGGCTAGGGACGACCAGCGAATTTTCCCCTTCGCCGCGAGTCGTGGGCCGATCCCGAGTCGCGGGCCGGACAAAGGATGAGTGATCTCTCAAAGAAGCTCCCATTGTGTCGGGAAATCAATGTATGACGAGTGTCGAGTAGGTTTCGGGCCTGGGGATGAGGGAACCTCTGCACTACTAGAGTGCCGGGTCTATAGAAAAAGAGAAAAATCAATGAACAATGAACAATGAAACGATTGAGGCCAAAGTTGGATAATAGGGAGTGTCAAAAGCCCCAGGCCGGTAGAGAGTGCCCACTATCAAAGGTTGAAAGGGTTTGAAGTTTAGGGGGGAACAGAGAAGAATAGGAGACGGTCGAGTCTAAACCCAAGGGGGATGGTTTGGGGACTAACGAACACTCAAGATGGAGCGGGCAGAAGGGCTCCACTTGGGCTCGGTCCGTTAATTAAATTTGGACGGAGATATTTTTTTTGGGAAATTGGAATTGATCCCTGCTAGGACCTGCTAGGGGCAGGATCTCGGTCTCTGTGCCGTGCTGTCCTGTGCTGCGCTGCGCTGTAGATGCTTAGGAATGTGTCTTGGTGCGGAGTACCGAGTACTCAAGGACCCTGATGCCAGACACTGACACTAATCCTGATCCTAGTCCGAATCCTAAATCCTCTACGCACTTGGACACCCACATCAGAAGCAAGACACCCAACCCTAGGGCTGGACGCGATCTATCCAAACCGATTCATGCGTGTCGTTTCATCCCCACGATCGATAGGTCCGAATGTACTGGCGTGTCACAGGGTCTGCTCACGGTCCAAGTCTTAACAGTGCACGCATCTCACTCCTTGCCACTGTCATCTACCGAGTCCCAGCAGTGCTCTGGGTTACATCTACAGACCAGGTGTCTCACACTGCTCACAGAAGTGAGGAGTCCCCAGCAATGACGCGACTATAGACCTTGTCGAACAGGGCGAGAACGCGGTACGATCGAAGTGGGCACCCGATCGCGATCTATGATTTGGAAGCGCATGGCCAACCGAACAACCGTCAGATGGGCCAGGGAACCATGGTTTCTTTTGGAGATGCGTCTCCAGCCGTTGTTTTTTTTTTCCCCCGTGTTGACACGAGTGCGAAGTCTGCAGACCCACGTATTAAAATTTTCTTTTTATTGGGGGGATGTCATGTTGGGTATGGTCCGTGTGTTCGTAAGGTTGACGACCCCTGAAATGTGAAGGATCATGCACTAGGACTTATGTAGTCTCGGTCCTCTCAGTGCTCTAGGTTCTACGGCTTCCATCTCCCTGTTGAAGCCGGTTTCCTCGCGAGCTCCACCCATGTCAAAATATACCGAGCTGTCTGAGGTTCACGGGTATCCAGAGCCACTCTCGGACCAAGCTGCTCTGCGGTGGGCAACCGGGGCCCATGGCGGTCATTCGTACGGTCAAAGAGGATCCCCTACCGACATAAATGGCGGTAAACATCGCGACCGATGGCGGATCGTTGCAAAGACTGCCAATGATTGCAGAGATTTCAGTGATCTTCTTACCTCGCATCTGATCCAGCCCAGGGGGCCAATCGATGCCATCAGTGACATGCAGCTGCAGGGCAGGGGGCGAACACGGGACCAACCCGAAAAGAAAAGAAAAAGAGAGCAAGGAAGTTGAAGCTGGGGCCGCCGATCAACCACCGATCCAGCAGTCCGAAACCGCGGCGTCGTCCGTCTCCACATCCCAGCTTGTACCTGCAGAGGTATCCACTACTTCGGCCCTCGCGCTGCACCCCCATATGCTTTAGAAGTACCGAGTACTTCCGGAATCGTTCTAACCGTGGCCCTTTCCCCACTCCAAAGTTAGGGTAGGTACCCGTTCCAGGTGTCTTGCACTCGGAGAACGGAGAACTTTAGAATAGCAGTCAGTACGACCTAGCTAAGTATAACGCAAGTGGAACCCTTCTGTCATGGGGTTGAATGTTGAAAATCTGGATATTTGGATATCTGTACCTGAGGCGAGGCACGAAAGTTAACAAATTAACTTTTTCATGAGGGGTCGACTCCCGACGCAGAAATATATCCGATAGCTATCCGGTCAGCCGGGCCGTTTCTCTGTTCAATGTTATGTTTGTTCCAAGCCACATGGGTCCATGGTGTATTGAGTACATGGAGGGGGTCACACCTAAGCAATATCCGTTCTGTACAATGAATCGCTGTGTAGTTCATGGTGTATTATCTGTCTACTGAAAAGCAACAAACCATCCAACCTTGACCTGTCAGGTGACCGCCACCTGCTAGTAACTATGGAAGTAGGAATAGCTCGATGGCTATGTGGCAATGCAGACTAGGCACAACACACCACTTACACGGCCAAGGAGGCAGGAACATAGGGGAGGAACACATAGGCGTAGTTTGGAAGAGAAAGTGTGTCTGTCTTGCTTCTCCTGCGCCTAGAATTCCTTATATATCACAAAAGCCTCGTTCATCCGATAGACCGTTCCCTCAAGCAGTCAGCAGTTCCCCCACTACACTATTGTACTCGATAGATTTATTTCACATTAGATACTTGATTCGTTTGTCTATTTCTTATGACGAATGAATGTATGAGAAATCAAAAACGAATAATGATAGGGCACGTGCCTAAACCTCAAGTGCTGTTTGGCGGTTATTTTGAGCAAATGCGCAATGACGGGTCGGGCATCTCCCGTAGATGGGTGCGCCCGCGCATCCTGAAATCGCGGTCCTGTCATCTTTGGGTATTTCACTATCCTCTTTGAGCTGTGCAAAAGTAAAATACTCGACGCTACTATTTATCAGGCTGGTATATTTGGAGGCATGTTGGTCATACGTCCAAGCAGGAAGCACTTAGTCCCTAAGCTTATTGCGATATGGTCTCGTAGAAAGGTGGCGTACCCACCAGTTTTATCTTGACTTGATGCTGCCGACTATGAAGAAGCATTGGGAACAACTCCATTCAGTATATGGGATTCTATTGCTCTGAGGCTTTCGGATTACTCCAGTTGAGGAAATTCGCAACGCTGATGACACTCCTTACCGAAAAACGTAGACCATGCCCGCTCGGTCAACGCTCACAATCATCCCGTAAGGCTGCCGCAGCACCACCACGTCTTGAATGATATCCAAATGACTCTTCAAAAGCTGTTGCTGCTGAAGACTAATGACAGTACTGCGAGGGGGCCGGGGGCTGGTACCCTTTTTGGAGTGGCCCGTGGTGGCTGGAGTCGAAGGCTGGTGTTCCAGGGTGACTTGGATGTTGGCTGCGATGGATGCCATTTCGTAGGTCGGCTTGCCTGTTGAGTCTCCACCAGTGACGATCATACTGGCCTCGGGGCGGGCAAGGTCCCAGAATCGAATTTTTCGGTCGCTTCCCGCCGAGATGATGAACCCGCATTTGCTGCTGTTCGCTTTATCGTCGTCGGGGGGGTTGAGGCCAGCGGCAAATGCCCAAGTCCCGAGCTGATCACCGGATGAGTAGTTGGCAGACGCGGAGCCGTTGCTGTCCGGGGCAGCACCCATTCCCGCCGCAGCGGGAGCGTTGGCGAATCGCCGAAGCATACCCTCTGGTCGATCATCATCGACGGACCATGCCTCGAAATCCTTGACATTGAGACGTGGTCCACGGGGAGCAGCGGGCCGGGCGGAGCCCCGATGCGCAGCACCAGACGTGACGTCGTTGAGACTCAGTGGTGCCATCTGGTAGACTTCGCGACAGCGGAATTTCTCAATATCCCACGCGGTGATTTGATTCCCGCGAGAGCCGCCACTGGACACGCAGACCCAGCGTCCTCTCGGCTTTAGCGGGTGCAGCTGAATTCGATGGACATATCCCCAGCCTGGAAGGCCCCATGCCCTCAATCGTACACGGAAACGGAGATCCCATAGATCCATGATTCCATGAGTCGTGCCCACTAGCAGCCACGTGTGGCGCCGGTCACAGCAAAAGGTGGTTGGAGTTCCGTGATGGACTGGGTTTTCAAGAGTGTAAATGGGCAGCATGGTTTTCATGTCCAGCGCGATGATTCGGCAGGTATTGGTGGCAACCAGAAGCGTTGACTGGCCCTCATCCCGGAAGTGCTCCATCCAGACAGCATATTCGGGCAATCCGTTCTCGGCAGTCGGAAGGTGATATTCTCTCACAATTTGAAGTTTTCCATACCGGGCAGTTTCATTGACCTTCTGGTAGTCAACTCGGACTGCATGAATGCTCCCGTCGGTAGCACCGCTGACGAACGTGTAGGTATTCTCGACAAACGTCAATGCCTTCACCCGGGCTCCAGATGCATGACGATGGGTCTGGCGAGAGCGAGGAGTCAAATTTCGCTCAAGTCGAGTCGTATCCCAGATCTTGACAGTGCTGTCATCGGATGCAGTGACAAAGAAAGATGGTCCGGGGGCACCGCGATACGGTTCACTGGGCCGCTATGCTCACCAAAGGTGGCTACTAGATGTCCCTCCGGTCTCCACATCTTCGTGGGGTCTTGGTTGCTGGGTTGACGAATTGGCAGTCGAGGATCCAACTCCTTGACATATGGACCCAAGTCAAACAGGTCGGTCGGGTAGTTCTCTGCAAATACATTATCTAGTAGCTGCAAGACCGCGGGATCATCGCCTGCGTAGGAGTGATTCGTATGATATCGCCGCGCGGATGCCTGGACCGACTTGCATTCGTACGCCTGGGAGAGAGGCGAGGGTTGAGGAATCCCTGCGCGATGCATGGGTGCATCTACCTTTCCAAACGCATTCGCCGAGCTTGTGCTGGTTTCCGCGTAGGTTTTGGTGGGCTCATTGCGACCGAGAAGGTTGATTGCGCTTGACTTTCGATGGACTTGGTCGCCTCTGAGAGAATGATTCTCGGTATTGGTAGGAGTTGTTGACAAGCTCTCTTGACCGGAGCTCAAGCGACGACTAAGATCGTGATCAACATCAGAGCTCCGGGGAGAGATTGGGCGAGATCCAGGACCAGCAGGAGACGATGCAGCAGGAGATGCAGACGAAGAATCGACCCCTATGTGATCAAGGCGGCCTGGACGTGGGATTTCCAATTCTTTGTGAAGTTGGCTTCTGGCTTTGACATGTTTACGATGAGCGCCTGGACCTCGCTCGATTGTTGTGGAGGCGTCGAGCAATGCATCCGCGATTGTTTTCGGTTTATTATCATCGGAGACAAGACGACCTTCAGCCCGATGTACAGGAGAATCTCGCGGCCTTTCGTTGAGATTTTTGTCGAAGAAAACTGTTTGAGGCGTAACCCCATGCTGCGATAGGCTGATGATATCATTGAACGGCATAGATGAATCAGTATCGAGATCTCGTGATTGACGCAGCGAGACTCCAGAAATGTAGTCACGAAGTGCAAAAAGCTTTAGTTCATCTTCTGGACTCATGCCGAGATTCCGCAGCTTGGAGAGCCATTGCTCGTCTTCGTCGTTCTTCTGAGTGGCCAGTAGGCACGTGGGAGTTCGTCCCATGCGAGCACTATAACTACCGGGCTCCGGGAGGCTGAATGCTCCCTGGGAGCTCGATGGATCCCAAAAGAGTCCCTTGTCAGCTTTTGATGCCCAAAGAAAAGCCATGTCATAGATTTTTCTGGGCATTGGCCGTTTAAGGGCGTCTAGAAGATCCGCCTCGGAAAAGTTGATGATCTTAAATTTGAGGAAAGGCCGGATAAGAGGCGTCAGAATCGAAAAAATGTCTGCTTTTGACATGAACTTGGTAGCCTTCACCACAAGATTCACAGTAGCCTCCCTGATCCAGATGTTTGGGTGTGCTAAGAAGCTGACAGTGATGTGAAGTAGATCCCAAGTCGTGGACCGTTGGAACAGTCCAAGATCAGCCATGGCTGCAAGAGAGCGAATCACCTTTTCCACAACAAATTCTTCGGGCTCAGTCATAGATTGGAGCATTAAAGGAAGAATGTACTGCTCCAGGCTGATGCTTCCGACGTAGGCAGCGACACCAACCACAGCTTCGAAGAAAGCGCACTTCAATATCCAGTCACGATCATTCAAGTATGTGTTCAAATGACTCAGGATAACCTCGTTTGATTTGATGTTGCCGAAAAACACACAAAGACTGGACACGGATCCTAGAAATGCTCGACGAACGGACGTATCCGTGTCTGTGAGAAGAGCTTTGGTGTGAACTTCAAAATACGCCAGTAGATCACCCTTAGCAATATCGTAAAGAGTACGATATGTAGCATCCTCAGTCCATTGCGGTTCCAAACCGGCGGGAATTAGCGCCGTCAAGCGCGAATCAGAACGTAATGCTTGGATCATGTCCAAGAACCTGAGCGATGACTGTGCCAGGGATGCGATGCACGAAGCATATGCCGCACGAACCAAGGGGCTCGGATTGTGTTTAGACGAGATGATAAATGATTGAAGCCTGGGGAAAATGTACTCAGGGAACAGATAAGCGTTAAGCGGAGAAACGACGTGAACCATTTCCAACAATTGGGTTAGCGTACGAATGGCGGCGACCTTAATGGCATCTGTCCGGTCCGTTAACAAGATCATGATGTAAGGGAGGACACGATCGAGCTTTGCCTCGTCTGATAACCGTTCTGCAAAGGCCAAAAGGATATCGCAGGCTTTCATTCGAGCCGAAGCTTTGGCTGTGGTCCGAAGATTGGATACAACCAATGTCAAAAATATCAAAACGCCATCGTCTGACTGCGAGGACGGCCCGGAGGTTTGATTTCCTTCGTTGGGTAGGTCGAGTTTCACCGGAAGAATGTCCCCAGTGAGTCGAGAGTCAGCAACCGTAGATGCTTCTCGAGAGCCTCGAGATATTGATCCAAGGAAATAAGATATCTTGTCAAAGTCGAAACAGACTCGCTCAATTCTCTCGTCCGTTTCACCTCGGTTTGTAGATTCAGCATCCACCTTCGTTCTCCCCGATGATGGATCCGTCATGAGGGACATGTATTGATGAAGAAAGCTGTAAAAGTACTCGGGGAAAGCTTTTTTCTTCCAGAAATTCAAGTACTCCTCAGCCGAGTATCGAGATTCTGGATCCAGCTGAATCATGTGCAAGATCAGCTCCCGAATCTCCGGGTCATCAATCTTCGCCAACTGACTATGCTCCGGACTGTATTCACCCTTGCGATACTTGTACATCTGACTAAGCGTGAAAATCGGTGACTCTAGGAAGAGTTCTGCAATTACGCACCCGGCGCTGAAGATATCCATCGCCCAGTTGACATGTCGGTTTCCCGGCTCTTCCCCGGCTTCAAGAAATCGCTCTGGCGCCAAGTAGCACGTTCGTCGACCTGAAGTATCGAAATAGAAAGAAAAATCGGCTGGATTATCTTCTGGTAGAAAGGTTGGCTTGAATGACGAAGAAAAGTCGGAGAGATATAGCCAGTTCCATGACGTGACAAGCACGTTTTCGGTCTTGATATCACCATGGAAGATGTCCAGGGAATGGCAGTCGCGCAGTGCACTTAAAAGTTGGAATGCAATCCATTTCTTTTCAATTTCCTCTAGAAACGGTCGAGTGCTGTGTAGTCGTCTGTCAGGTCCAATTTATTTGAATGTCAACATAGTGAACCTACCTCATCCGATCATACAAAGAGCTGTGGATATACTGGCGGACTAGATAACCACTGGTACTAGTCTCCAGGATCCTCTCGTAGCTCAATGCATTGGGCACGTCTGACAGGAGCTTGCGTTCCCCTATGACGAGTTACGAAATGGTTAGCTTGACCAAAAAAAGCACTTGAGGAATACCCGCGTACTGATTATTGACTTCACATACTGCTCCAGCTGCATCGACGGGTACGGTTTCATAATGACCTTAACGAAGACCAGGCCATTCTGTTGTCGCGCGCGGATGCTCTTCATGAAACGGCCCCCACCCATGGACTTCTCATACACCAGGTCCGAAAGCTCGGGCACATCGATCCCTGCCGACCCCGCGGACAGGGTAGTGAGGGAGTAACCTTGGCCCATGATTTTGCCAGGACGTCATCTCCCAAGTCTATTAGCGGGAGACTGAAACAATCGATAAAGTTGATAAGCGGAGGTCGCGGTCACTTGACGCGTACACACGTGATGGAGAGGCGGTGAGCGATGTCAACATCTGGAGCTTGGTCTTCTCTTTGAAACAACTACGCTTGAACGTTGTTCAATTTGGTTTGAAAGATCTGATGCGATGAATCTGTTCTCATTCTCATGTTTGCGATGATCTTGTGTCGCCCACGGATTAAACTTTGCCTAGAAACAAGTACACACCGCGGCGGCCAAGGGAACAGCAAAGAGCGCAACGGTGAGGCACTATCACATAGAGTGAAGGGATTGATCAGTCAAGGTTGAAATAGTCGACTCTCGTGGGGGTAATCTGGGGGTTCGGCTCTACACCTTTGACATGGGTTTGCCTCCAGCCGAACTCCACAGCTTGCATTCTGCCAAGTCCAGCCTGCATGCGCACTCTATGGATTTAGACACCATGGACCACATTGTCATTCCCAACATCGGCACAGATGAGCCCCTGTTTGAAGTAATACCAAAGCTGTCTAGGTACCCCTTACCTTCCACGGATATCTTCCTTGGCCGAACACTAATTATCATGAGCAGTTTCATCAGCCTCACCGTGGGTGACATGACATATTCATTCGAGCAGATGAGATATGGATCCCGCGGGCAACGCCTGCGACAGCTAGTTCACGCGTTGGCCGAGGATAGCCACAATCCGTTTATCATTGTTGCGCTGATGTAAAGTACGTTCAGCTTCTCCGAAGAACGCAGGCTAACAAGAGGACACAGGATTTTGAAATGGGATTTCACCAATGCCCCGGAGGACGATTGGGGACTCAATGAAAGTCGAGGTTCAGCCTGTGAGTTCGTTGCCTGGCAGTTTCTATGCCACCTAGACCAGCGTGAGACCATCGAATTCCTGTTAGAAGAGCTTTCGATCCCACGACGCGGATCTACTAATTCAGTTGAAGCCGGAAGAGGGCTCTCCGGGTACACGACACCAAGGGAAACGGAGACTACTCCACTTTTGTCTGGCTCTTCGACTGCTGTTTCTCGGCTTGGGCTTGGGAAAGCCAACCGGAACAGTGAATCCGGTGGAGAAAGCATCAGTGAGGAAGCCTATGGTATCGCCAGATACTCTCGATTTTTCGGTTTGAATGCACTAGAAATCGCTGCAATTGCCCAGGCCAAAAGATTTTTAAGCCAGCGCGTGGTTCAGCGCGTGGTCAACGACATCTGGAACGGGGAAATTGTGTTCTGGGATTCACTTACCGTGAACTCGAGAAAAAATCCGCACATATTTAATAGAAGGTTCGTTGTGACTTTTCAAATTTTGTGATAGCAGGCTTATTCCGCTTCCACAGAACGGCGGATCCGTATTCTAGGCTGAGAGTGCCCGTATACCGAAAAATGTTCGAAGCAGCCTTCTTCCTTTCCTTCCTACTTCTGTATTATTCAGTCCTCGTGGAAAGGAAACAGAATGGCCTTGGATTCTTTGAGACACTGATGGATGTGTGGATTGCTGCCTTTGCGTACGACGAACTGAGTGGAATGGTCGACGCGGGCATGTTGTTCTACCAGATGGACTTTTGGAGCCTTTGGAACCTCGGCATTATCGGTGTCGGGATCTCCTTCATCATCACAAGTGAGTTAATTGTCCCAAAGTCGGCCTTGCCAATCTTCAAAGACGCAAGTGGGTCATTTACAAGCACCAGGGCTGACAAGGGCACAGGGGTCATTGGGTTAGCGAGAGGCAATGGCTACATCCTCGACATGTCATTCGATATCCTGTCCCTTGAGGCTCTGTTCTTAGTCCCGAGGTAGGTCCCGCTACATTTTGACTGAAATACAAGTCGCGCTTCGCAGATTCTGACGCATAGCCCACAGAATATGCTCCCTCGTGAGCCTGAATTCCTACTTTGGAAGTCTCGTAAGTCGTACGACCTCTACGGAAGATCTGTCTTTTCTGACTGTGGCTATGACAGATCCCGGTGCTAAAAGAGATGGTACTGTGTCACTTCGAAACCGGCTTGTGGAGCCGCAAGGCTGATGGATCCTTAGACGAAAGCATTCTTTAGATTTTTGCCGGTAGTGATGGTGCTGTATATCGGTGAGAGTGGCTGAGATGGCATAGCCCAGGGGATTTGAAACAACTAACGGTGACGGGATCGCTGCAGGGTTCTTGACTACATTTACGATGCTGGCTCGCGACCGCCTTTCGCTCAAAGAGATGTCGTGGATGCTAGTGAAGGTATTCTTTGGGTATGGCGGTGAAGATGTCCTTGTTGTCGACCGCTTCTTTCTAACTGCGAGGCAGATCCAGCGCTCTTGGACTCGTGGGTGGCTTCACATTTTCCTTGACCTGCAGCTTTGACTAACAGTGGTCGGATTGATTGGCTATAGGACTCCGCCTCCGAAGTAAGTCTATTGGAGCTAGTGGCTGTTTCTGCAAGATTCCCTGTAGATTGGCGAAATGGTTGGCTATCGCGTTAAGTTGACTAACGCACTAGATTTTAGATCTCTCCGATCTTTGGCTACGGCTTAATGTGAGTTTCTTCTTTATGCGTTTCGTCGAGGCGGAAGTCGCATATTGCTACGATCACGTTATGAGAAGTGACGGTGGCCCGCATTAGTCTGTGATTCTTGCGGTGTTACAACCTATTCCTCTTAGGGCTGATGCCCTCCATGGATTAACTGCCACGCATTCCTCTATGCTAGATTGTTTCATTTCACGTTCGGCCCCCATGGCTGACGATATTGCAGGCTGATCTTTGTTCCAATGAGTAATATTTTATTGCTCTCATCGCTGATCAGTTTGATGAGCATGAGCATGGAAGGGGTGCGTTTAGTCGCGGCGCCTAAATCATCACATGTTACTAATCCCACTCTAGGTAATGCTTCATGCTCGTGAGGAATACCTGTTTCAGTGAGTACTGAGTTCCTGGATTAACTTGAATCGTCGCACTGCCCCACAGAAAAATGACCAGGTCGCTAATGTAACTAGATTATCTATCTACGTTCTGGAGAGCAGCAACTCCCGACGTCTGACGTATTTTATGCCCCCCCCTGGTCAGTTAGCGCCCGGAGAAACCTTGAAGGCTTCTGTTCATGTTCTCGAACGTTGAAAAGCTCACACATCACAAAGAATCTAATCCCGCTATTTTGCATTCGGCCCATGCGACTTTTCCTTTCAGCGGGAACGGTTCGTCGAGTGCGCATTGTCCTCCTGCGCGCGACTCACCTTCCATTTGTCATGCTTATCTGGGTCTATGAGTCTAGCTGGCGCCGTCTGAATCGACGGACAACGGGTCTCCCGCCGCTGCCAATGGCAGGACATGTCTTTGCCGGTGAGCCGAGTGCCTCACGATGTCAGGACCCACAACACCCCTACGTAGCCGAAACACGCCCAGGCCCTGGAAATGAACGAACTGATGTGGAGCAGGATGATATGCGTGAGCCAGACTTGGCGCGGGCCGGCCAGGCACAGCTTGCGGATGTGATCGACGCAATTGAACTGCTGCGAGTACAAGTGGAGCGCGTAACCAGGACAGTCGTGCAGCCCCGTGACGAATGAGACAGAGTTGTGGAATCGTGATCCAAAAGAAAAGGGGTCCTCGTGCTAAATACCGAAAGGGCCACACCCCTGGTGCCTATAGCCACGCACGACCTTGATCCCCTGCACGACAGTGTGGAGCCAGCCTGACGTCTCGAGTTTGAGGGCTAGATCCGTTAGCATTAGCGATTTGCGGCGGTTTCGAGGCTTCCTCATTTTCATGGATATTTAATTTTTTTTTTCTCTTTTCTCTTTTTTCTTTGTTTCCTTTTTGCGCAATAGCCTGTGGATTCCACTATATTAAGGGTCCGTGCTTAGTACATAGCTCATGGATTTTCTGCACAACCTGTGGGGTGCAACGTGTGGAGCCTACGGTGATATACTTACGGCTCGGGAGGGCAATTCGGGAAACAACAATTGTCAGATGGCAAAGTCTGCCTGATCAAGGGGGAGACAAAGGTCGAAGGTCGAGGGGCCGTGTACACAAAGTCTCATGGAGTTCCGCGTCAAGTACGATGCATATCGCCAAGCCAGCACCCAAAGCTTCGGGTCCAAATGAGCATGCTGTATGGTCAGCGTCGGCCACCCTTCATGTATGGGATTGCATGGGACGCGACGCTGTTGGGCAGACCAGTCCGGCGGTGATCGATAGGATGATTAGCCTTTCCCAGGTCCATAGGTTACAGCCGCCGTTATTGCGTTTATTCGCAATTTAGGGGTTTCTTTCTGACCTTTCGACCCTGCACGATGCCAATCTCCCGTCTCACTCCCAGGTTCCAGAGCTATTTCTCCGATCCATGCTCTCGTGCTCCGTCCTCTGCCCTATCCGAGGACTCTAGGAACACCCTAAGCCCGGAAGAGACAGGCCTGCCTAAACCCATGACATATCACTTGCCCAGGGAGCATCGGGCATCTTTGGTCGCTCTGGTCGCTCTGGTCGCTCTTCTCCGGCGCTAATTCTATGGTGCATGGGGAATTCGACGGAAAAACTTGCAGACAGACTTCATCGATCTGGTCCCTCCCCCCCGGCCGTTAGTCTCCTACTCCACTTGTTTCCAATGCATTTGCAGACATCCCCCCTCTTCTTCTTCGTCTTGAAAATCTGCCTTGCTCGGCAAGGCGTCAATACTACGCGACTCTTCACCACCGATGCGGCGCAAAGCCGTTCTAGTTGTCTCGTGCCTGCTTGACGCCCCTCAGCCACCCTTGATGTATGCCGCCACTCGTCACCAACAGCTCTAGCTGTTGCATTCGTTATTTATACTGCCGTGGCTCCCTCAATAATACTCTTCCCCCATGACTTCGTCTCGCTTTGCGCATGACATCAATTTGGGTCTTGTGAGAGGTCTTTCGGACAATCATCATGGATCAAACCCCGGCACATCGTTTTTCTTCGATGGCCCACTCCATACCGAAAGACACTCACACATTTGATGCGTCAGCTATATTCCCCTCTCCAGTCTCCGCAACGACCTCCCAAGGGTTGAGGATTTCGCCGATTGGGCTAGGCATCAGTGGCTGTGGCCTGGAGCCTGGCTTCGACAACTTCAGGACCTTTCTCGGTACTGTACCCTTTGCAGCTTCTCAGGTAGCTTCAAAGCAGATGATCACCTCCGAGGACTACTACGGAAATCTTATGGAAGTCGACCACTTCTCCAGCGAACCTTGTTTCTTAAACTATAATGGCGTCCCACCTACGTCCAACGTCCCACTTACTCCCTACGACTTACAGACCATGGGTGTATCCCCAAGCTTTAACTCATCCTTGGGATCAAATGAGCTGAGCAACTATGCAGGGCAGGATCCTGCCTATTGGACACCGATGTCGTGCTCTGGATCGTCGACTCAATTGGAAGCTGCTTGCGCAACCGGCCATTGGAATCAGCCCTTGGTCCCAGAGCCATGCATCACCGTTAGACCGCCAACGATACCGGTCCGCAGAGGATCACACCACCCTACAATAGCTACAAATGGAACCAGAACTCTTGATAGCCAATACAACTCAGCACAAATCTCCTCTTCTCCTCGCAGCGCGGTCTCAACCAAAAGTTTCTCTCAGAGTTCTCCGCAGAACGTTGATACACATCGCAGTATCAGCAATCTACTGGACAAGAACATGGAGGACGGACGCAAATGTCCTGTGTGTGGATACATTTTCACCAGGCGATCCAACTGTACCGAGCACCAGAAACGGCATGACCCTACCTTCAAAAAAATTTACACCTGTCACGAATGCAAAAAGGCATTTGGGAGGAACGCGGATCTTCGAAGACACACTGATAATGCAAGTGAAATAAGAGGACCGGACAAAGGGACGTGCTGACTTGGATCCAGATACACCGAGGAGTGCGCAAGCATGCCTGCAAGTGGTGTGAGGTCAGAGTAGCTCGACGTGATACCCTGATAAAGTAAGATGCACTATTAAATGGACATTGGCAAGTCAGTTACTGATGTTTGTCTAGACATATGGGGGAGTGTAAGATGCGACCAAGCAATGCAAAATCCTCACCCATACCCTTCCCTGCCAAAGTCGACGTCAAGCCTGCATCAGCCGCGATCAGGAGGCCGTCCTCTAGAAGCTGTTGCCCAGGGTCGAAAAATTGAAAACGTTGCATTCCAAGCAACCCAGAAGCCCAACATGTCCTCTTGGCGGGCCTTACACGGGGTTTGTCTATACGCTGCCTTCTACGCGTTCTGCTGGGCAGAATAATGCTCAGTATTTTTAATTTAACACTCTGGAATTTAGCATTTTTTTGCGAACTAGCATAGCAGTGAGGCTTATTTGACCATTCTCCGGCCATTGCATCTCGGCATGGATTTTTCTTGTGTACTTCGACACATTTGATGGACGAAGGTGATGGCGATTTGCATACATTCGATTTGATTTTTTTTGACTCGCCATTTTTTTTTTCAGAATCACGAGAATAAATGTTCCAATGTTCCGGTGGTGGTGTGATATTATTGCAGTGGGCTCGATTCGCTGGCGCGCGGTAAGCCGGAGCTTGTCGGTTAATGAGCGGGTCCCTCCAATATTTGCACATGAATCTCAACTTGGCATTTGAAGGACAGGACAGCAAACGTAGACTTGTCTTTTCTTTTCTTTTCCTGTTTTCTTGAGCAGCTATCTCGCTACTGTAATTCCCTCTCTACACTCGACTGACCGGGCAAATGCAGTGTCCGCGATAGCCCCGCGATCATGAAATATTCCACCTCTCGCGTAACTAACTCCCTATACAGCCCGTCCATCTTTCCCTAGCCACCTGGCTTTCTAAGCAGAACAGGGCACCACGTAACCTTTCGGTCCGTGCAAAAGCCTCGACTCTTCAATTCCCCACCCATTTAAGCCGGTTCACACGCTAAGACAGGGTCAGAAGGATCTTCGAGACATACTTGGCCATGATCGGCGAGGTTAAGATGATTTGGGGAGAACAGGGACCCTCTCTCATAGCGTAATGTGGTCGGGGAACCTTCCGAAGTGTCCCAAGCTCCTCGAGCTAGCCTCGTCCAGTTGCTTCATCGTGATTGTGTCATAGCTCTTCAGAGCTAAGGACTCAACGCTATACAGCAGATGTCTGTGCCTCTGGTACGTGAGCCACTTGGTCTCAGAGCTCTGATCTCCTTGAGCTCGGCTATTCACAGGAAACAAGTTCGTACCCTGGCCTGTGGGGTCGACCATTTTCAGCCTGATACCCTTGAATCACCCGTCGGACATTGTCACCGAACGGTGTTGGTATTCCCCGCTATCTCCACTTGCTCAAGTTAGCTGGCTCCGTTCGTCAAATGGGAGCGGGTGGAACCACCGTTAGTAAAATAGCAAGCCATCGCGCCTGAGTGTCGATCATCGCTTTAATTTGGTTCGAAACGTCGATTGCACAGGCCGGGAGCACGATCGTCGATCTGCGTACTTTTGAGTCCCTTGCGAACGGGATACGGAGGTAGCTCTTGAAGTATCACGATTGACACTATGTGAAGTAAAGCAATGACCCATCAGTGGAAGGCAGGTGGCGGAGATGACTTTCCCCCGAAACGTCCGACCAGGTCGAGATGTCACAGGCGCTACATCGGTGGAGATTGCAGCTCCGACATGATGAGCATTAGTTCCCCTTGATCCGCGTATCAGGTTGCGGTACAAACGCCACGATCCTCCGACGAAAGAGGGGAAGTCATGATAAGGGGTATTTTTGTACAGGAAGCTTTGGCCTCAGGGACCGCTTAGAGAAATTGTTGAACAAGGATAACAGAGCCGCCAAAGTTGGAGGTGAAGAGGAGACGGTGGATCAAGAGTCGCGCTTCGACGGCACTAAGATTGGTTCCGCCAACGAGAAGATGCAAAACGATGACAAAAACATCCCCGTCGTGGAGCTATTGGGATGCATTGCCTAGTCTCTTTCTATTTGCAGCGTCTCTTCTTCTCTTTACTTTCTTTTCATTTTCTTTTTCATCCTTTTTCGTTTCAATGGGGGCTCTACGTTCTAAGTCTTGACGAGATTAAGGATCATGGGAAATACGTAAATGCGTAAATTTGGATACAATTAGGCCTACATGAAACCTCAGACTGATCCGAGTACACAGCCTCCTCTGTATGAAAGCTAAGTTCACAGCATACGAGACTGTATCTTTGCGAGTGCACTCAGACTTTTTTTTTCTTGGCCGCACTTCAATGTTAAGGAGCTACCAATTGGAAGGCCATAGCAAGGTTGAATTTAGTGCCAATGGCACCTAGAGCTTGGATATCTTTGCTTCCGGGGTCGCTGCGGGTGAGTCCGACAAATCGTCCTCGGCCCCATCTATGTGAATGGCCCCATTACTGCGAGCCGAGTTAACATCCTCAGTTTATATGATAAACGAGCAAGAATTGAGATTAGACTTACCGCTTCTCTCGCTTCTCTTTCAGATGCAGTCTTCGGACAACCAGAGTGCCAAGGATCAAAGAAACCGATAGGCAGGAGACCGTGATGAAACCTTTGCGATACTCCGGCGCGTCCACTTGCTGCCACACAATCAAAGGAAGCCATGCCTGGAGCACATATGCCATTTCATTCATGCTGCCAATGACAAGAGATCGCTCTTCGTTGTCCTCGGAGCATATTTCATGGGCCCCGCTGTTGTACATCGTTAATCAACAAGTCGAATTGCCCTGAAGCCGGTCTGACTCACGCCATCAAGAGACCGCTTAATCCAAATCCAGAACCACAGATAATGTAGCAAGTCCACTTCCAGCCAATCGGGATGTCCCAGGCAGCCAACGAGACATAACTGATGATGTTCATCATCTGGTCGTGTTAGCTTCTGAATTACGAGACAATCACAACAGTCTTCCACTTACAGCACCGAAGATAATTGGCGGCCAGCGCTTTCCATTGAGAAAGGAGTCCGACGACCCTTGAATCTGTTAGCTGCAAATTCTTGACAGCAAAAATGCATTGACTCACAGGCATAAGCGAGTGTGGTGACAACTTGGACAGCATAGGTTGTTGTAGGGTATGCGTTGATTTGGCTGACTGAGTATTTGGGCTCTTTTGATGCCTTCAAAAACCTGCGATAATGTTAAACAAACATGATGAGTGAAGCCTTTGAAACCTACTGCTGGAAAACAGGCTGAGCTCCGGTAGCACCGTTGTTGAAGAGACTATGACTCGGGTATTAGCGACCCATTAACCGACATGACTCTTTGTACTCACATGTAGAGTAATGTAAGAAGGTAAATGTGCCACGAGGAGAAGATTTTCTTCAGTTTCGCTTTGGTATAGGGCCCTCTGTTGTTTCTGCCTTCTTCTTTCATCCGCCTCTGCGCCAGAGCGACTTCCTAGCACGACCATGGAGGTGAGTATTAAAAGTAGATCAGCTACGGGCCCACCGATCGACGTACCTCCTTGCTGAGATACCACGGACTGGATATTTCGGGCACATCTGGCAACAGAAAGAACCCACTAATCGCAATCGGAAGCGTCATGATTCCATCAACTAGAAAGAGCCTTTTGAAATGAGGTAAGAATATTTGCGGGACTGAGTGTCTTTGCCTTACCATTGCCACCCCTCGACCGCCTAAATGATAAACGGCATTCATGAGATATCCAGAAAACATGCTGGCAATACCGCTGCTTGTGTGAAAGATACACGATCGTTTGGCTAATTCGTCTTTGCGATAACAGGACCCGATGATGTACTGCATGCCGGGGTAAAAGGTGCTCTCGGCGAGACCTTGTGAGCGAAATGTCAGGTCCAGATTATCAACAGCGGATATGACGTGGATGTATATACCGATGAAAAACCTCAGGGCGGAGAATTGAGTGGCAGTATTGCATCTTGACAACGAAAAGGTGAGAACCGTCCAAAGAAGCTAAAATAAGACTAAGCAGAAATTCCTTCAAGTGAACTGTCCGCCGCAGCAGGAATCAGTATCGAGGACGAATACGCGTCAGGAGTATGTTACTAGGGATCTCGCCAATAACGTAGCCGACAGTCCAACGCGTCTGCATGTAGTTGAGCTGATTGCCGTAGAGGCCCAAATCCTCTTTCCTGAATATCGTTAGGTCGACGCGATGATCACAGTTCCACTCGCGACTTACATTCCCGACACGAAAGCATTATTGATGTTAGTTTGGTCAAGATATTTGATAAAGTAGCCTAGATCCAGAAAACGCAGTCAGCATCAATCTCAAGCTTGAACCCAAAGTAAAAACTCACCCAAGGATGCAAAAGTCAAGATCGCCGAGTCCAACTTGAAAATCAATCTGCGCTCTTCCGGAGATTTATCAAATGTATCCCAGATGTAGCTGACCCATCTTTTCTTCATAGTTTTACCAAACACTGGGCCCGACGATTTGCCAGCTGCCTCTGCGAGACCGGTGGCCGACATCTTAATTTCTAATCTCACTCGATTTCTTTTTTTTTTTCTCGATTTTTCAATGGAATTCCGCCTGCACTCTTATAGGAGGAAATTAGAATTAATGCCCCGCGTCTATCGATCGAATGGAATGGTAAGCTATTCCAAAGATTGCTATCGGATCCACCCCGAGCATATTTGCCATTAAGCCGTGTGGTAAGATTGCGTGCTTGTCAGGCTGAATTTTAAATCCCACAAGGATGCGGGGATCTAGTGGTACTTGACTTCTGGTAAGTTGACATTAGCTCGGCAAGAGGGGGTAGCTTCTTGCTGTAGTCAAATGATGGTCAGCTCTGTTTGCGCAATTTCTGCGAGGATGACCGACTTCTGTACAAAAGTGCCAGAAATGTCATCAGAAGATAACAGGCTAATCGATTGATCCAGATCGTGCACACCTTGGAGCTCGTCATACAAAGCACTGATTATGTGCCACTAACCTCTCACACTAATAAAGAGCCCAATTTTCCCGCTTAGAGGACATCAGCTAGCCAATCACGTTTGTCAAATTGAGAGATCCCATTATATCATTTACTTGAGTTATGATGTCTTCGGATATCATGTAGTCTGCCCACATGCCCACACTGGTATTGGCGAAGAAGTCACACAATGATTACTTAGTTTGAAGAGACGAGCTGAGTTTCATCATCGAATGATAGACACATGCTTTCCAAATGCCTCGAGACATCTTCAGGCTATCACCTCTACCTCTGCAGCCCCCTGGGCTAGAGCTTCTGCCACGGTTTTGGACTGAGGAATTGCTTGCCAAAGTAGATGCAGCTTTTCAATCTGGTCTTTCTTGGCCTCTACCCAGGATGAAGTATGGCCTTCAATGAGAGGTACTCCGTGGCGTAATCTTCTAATGTTCACCCATTCGACCAAGCTCTTCACGTAGGCCTCTTCCTCGCCTTTGAGCGAATGGAAATTCCGACCGTGCCCCTTTTCCCTAACTCGAGATTCATATTCCTCCCTTAAATCCTCAGTCGATGGCAACTGTGACGTCCCGGAGAATAAAGCTGCGACGGCGATGGCCTGGAATTCAAAAAGGGTAAAAGTTGCAGTATAGAACGGCACACCCACAAAGGCCAATGTCGGATCCGGGATATAAAAGACGTCGCGGTGCAGATTGTGAAATTGAGAACCGTCGGTAACAATCGCTGAGTCACTTGCATAAGTTGCAGTCACACCGGACTCGTTAAATTGCGGAAGAAAAGGCAGCACCATTTGGTAACCCGTACAAACTATGACTCGATCGATGTCGCGCAGTATTTGGCCGGATTTTAGATACGCAATCAGCGGTAGATGTCTTATTTGACGACGTTTCAGATGGGATCAACTCGAATCTAATTACTTCCTCAATTCGCGAGATGCCCTTGGGAAGTACCGTCACTGGAATGTCGAAAGCACCATTGCGGGTGCTCTGATAGACGTAGTTCGCGATGGGGCTAACCTCACGAGCAATGTCCACCGAGGAAACTCCACCTCCGATCAATAGAACATTCTGAAGTAGGTCAACGTTCTAAGTCTTTTACTAGTAATTTGTAGGTCATACCTTTTCTTCAAATCCTTTAGAGCTCCGAAATTATTTTGAATGAGTGATCTTTGCAGGCCATTTGGCTTTTGCTTCAGCCAGACCTGTGATATCAGGGATGAGAGGAGTGTGATAATGGCCGGATCCAACAACAACGGCATCGAATTGCTGTTTTCCAGTCAGAATAAGTTCTTGGAATCCTTGAAAAATACCCAGGTGGAGTGTACCGCAGTATTTTGCTGCTCAGCAATATGTCCTGAGTTGGAGTCCTGTTCCAACGTGGTCCAATGAACGTGCCATTCTTGTCCAGTTTTATAGACTTGCTTCACGAGAGCGCCATAAATAGTCACATTGTCAACGCCAGTTTTCTTAGATGTGTCCTGAATGTATTCTTTGAGCACTCTATGATTGACATAGTGCGGGGTTCCCTTTGGCCACGCGTTGAGTTTTGTGCGGAGCAACGGGGTCGAGACGTTGTTGGTAAGACTTTCATAGCAAGGACCCGGGGTGCGTGAATCAGAATCTTTTGTTCATTCTCACTTCTGTCATCTCTGCTGTATCTTCCCACATCCGATGATTGACAGTTAGGATAATGGGCTTCGATCGGTACTCGCTTATCAAAAAGCCTGCAACTTGAATTAACGGAAACTGGCGTTTTTTAACCTGTGAGCAGAGCATACCAGACACCACCAGCCGCTTGGCTCCTCTCAAAGACCGTGACTTGTAATCCAGCAGCGAGAAGCTGGGCGGCACTGACAATACCACTGATTCCAGCGCCAATGACCGCTACACGATTTATTGTGCTTTCATTCATTATATTGACCTTTTGTGCTCTGAAAATGCTGTAAAAGGCTTCTTTTGAAGCTAAAACTACTTTTTTTACAAGCTATATGTACAATATCCTTGACTATCTAGTGTCTGCCGTGGCGGCGATGAAGCATTTGGGCCCAAAATCTCGCCATCGAAGCTTCCTCCTTCTCATGAAATCAAAGTTTCCCCAATGTGAAATTACTCTCGGAAAGAACGTTATCATTTCAAATGGATTGGAAATCAAGCCCATGCAACCTACGTGATTTGCAGTGAGTATTGTGGCATATAAAGCTCCCCGCTTAAGGGAGGGCCGCAGGATTGTTGGGCTGAGATTGGCCCAACGTTGCGCGATGAAATAGATAAGTCTCTTATTAGAAAATGGTGAGGGGTAGAAGCGAACCCCTGTATAGAAGGGCTACGATCTCGTCACACGATGGGTGTTGCCAGAAGACGCAATGTGGCGCGACGATGATGTGCTGGGATTCTGATCATCAAGAATGTTAAGTAGAACACATCTCTGCTCTCATTCAAGAAAGGTGTAGATGAGAATTCTATGATCAGCATGGCCCCTGCTCCTATCGATTCCCGCATTGTAGACGTCGCGCCTCCGAGGAAGGATAGTCTCGGTATCCCAGGGCCAGCACGAGAACGTCTTGAAAAGGCTGGTATTGATCTGAGTGCTGGATATCCATACCGACCCTCTCGCCCTCTTTTTGTCGATGATGTTTACAACGTGAGAGACTATGATCGCTCGCACATTGACCCAGGCACCCGAGCCGATCCCGAGAAGAAGGCATTGCTATCAGCAGCCAGAGAAGTAATACATTTGACCAGGCACATCGGTACTGAGATTGTGGGCCTTCAGCTCAAAAATCTCCCCGACAAGCAAAAAGATGAACTGGGATTACTCGTTGCCGAGCGGAGCGTCGTCTTCTTCCGTGACCAGGACATCTCTCCACAGCAACATAAGGAGCTAGGGGAATGGTTCGGCGAAATTGAGATTCATGTATGACGCCCACTTTACTTGTTTCAAGTCCATATCGCTAAAGTCTTCTACAGCCTCAAGTGCCTCAGGTCCCAGGGGTTGCCGGTGTGAGTGTCATTTGGCCTGCATTACAGGCAACAGAGACACCAGCCAGCTTCCGTCGACCAGGCGGAGCATCACGCTGGCATACAGATCTTCTGGTCCATGAGAGACAGCCTGCTGGAGTGACACACCTTCATAATGACACGGTGCCCACAGTGGGAGGAGACACCCTTTGGGCCAGTGGATATTCAGCATATGAGAAGCTATCACCTCTCTTCCGCCAATTCATTGATGGCAAAACCGCCATTTATCGATCCGCCCACCCTTACTTGGACCGCAAGAATCCTGAGGCCGGGCCCAAATACGTGGAGCGCGAGCATCCCATCGTCCGGGTCCATCCAGCTACCGGATGGAAAGCTCTCTGGGTCAACCGGGCTATGACAAATCGAATCGTGGGTTTGGACAAGGCTGAAAGTGATGTGATTCTTGGATACCTGTTTGATGTCTATGAGAAGAATCCAGAGATCTAGCTTCGCTTCAAGTGGAGTCCACGGACAACTGCACTTTGGGATAATCGGTAAACCATGACTCTACTAAAAGTGATCTCGATGATACTTCAGACTGACGAATTTCAGCATCACAATCCATAACGCTAGCTGGGATTATGAGGGATCGCAGGCGAGACATGGAACTCGAGTAACCTCGCTAGCAGAGAAACCTATTTTCGATGCTAATGCACCCACTCGGCGACAAGCACTTGGAGGAAGTCCAGGAGCTAGCAGACTTGGATGGCTTGAATTTGAAGTGAGCGCGCATATGAAATTCCTAGCAGATATGCAAAAGGGGTAAATGTGAAAAGGACTGTGTTTCCTGCTCGAGGCCAGCACCAGATCAAGAGCCCCAGATATATAACATTGTGACATGCAACAGAATGTGCCCCATAGGACCTGTCCACGCTCTAGTTCTTGCATTTATTCCCAAGTCAATTTATCCGCACTGCTTAATTGTGAAGAGATTCTCCTCAATATACTATGCCAAATTTGCATGATGCACTGCACATATCCACTTGTGTTTTGCAGGGATCCCGGCTGGATCTGGTGAAAGTTGATCAAACTTGATATCTGACCTACATCAAGCTGTTCTAGAGCAGATGTCAACATTGAAACATTCAAAGGAATACAGATATCTGGCCAGTATAACTGTGCAGCAATTGGAGATTCCCAAGAGGAGGATGTTGAACTGGCGGGTCAGAACTGCCAATTCACACCGCCTTTTGGGGTATTGCCGCCCCAAACATTCATTTGTATCCACCGCGCGCATTTCGAATATCCTTTTCTGTTCCCTGGACATCGCGAACTTACATAGCAGGCAATTGTTCGCGATGAGTGCTACCATGACAATGACGGCCCCGCCGGAGATCACCGCTGAGAACGTGGCTACCCTCTTCCCTGACGTCGACACTTCCTTGGCTCGAGATGTCCTCCCCACCACTAATGGCAACGCCGCTCACGAAGGCGCTGAACTCGAGGGCTACGACGAGGAGCAGGTCCGCCTGATGGACGAGGTCTGCATTGTCTTGGATAACAATGACCGCCCTATTGGCAGTGCCAGCAAGAAAGCCTGTACGTCTCTGTGTCACAGTACCCCTCCATTTCCCCAGGAAGGGGTAGTAGCGGTCGCCTCCGGTTACAAGGACCCGGTACTTACAATTGCTTATTCTTTAGGCCACTTGATGACCAACATTGACAAAGGCCTTCTGCACCGTGCCTTCTCCGTTTTCCTGTTCGACTCCAACAACCGCCTCCTACTGCAACAGCGTGCGACCGAAAAAATCACTTTCCCTGACATGTGGACCAACACCTGCTGTTCTCACCCCCTTGGAATTCCTGGTGAGACTGGTGCGGAGCTCGACGCGGCCGTTCGGGGTGTGAAGCGTGCTGCGCAGCGCAAGCTGGACCATGAACTGGGCATCAAGGCCGAGCAGGTGCCTTTGGATAAGTTTGAATTCTTCACTAGAATCCACTACAAGGCTCCTAGTGATGGAAAGTGGGGTGAACATGAGGGTGTGTCATTAAATGGACTTACAAAGTGGCATGGCTGCTAACATCTCACTAGTGGACTACATCCTCTTCATTCAGGCTGACGTTGACCTGAAGCCCAGCCCGAACGAAGTGCGGGATACCTGCTACGTCTCGGCTGACGAGCTCAAGGCCATGTTCCAGAAGCCTGATCTGAAGTTCACTCCCTGGTTCAAGCTGATCTGCAACTCAATGCTCTTCGAATGGTGGAGCCACCTGGGCACCCCAGCCCTGGACAAGTACAAAAATGAGACTGAGATTCGCCGGATGTGAGATCTCCAGCAATCTCCAGCAGTCTCTGTCTTTTCCTTCTTTCTCGATACATTCTCCGATACCTCTAGCTCGTTTCACCTGCATATTGCACCATCTTGACGCACCATTTAATTCAATACCTTGGGAACATTTCGAAAAGCCTCTGCAGTATAGGAATTTAAGTGATTGACTTGGTTCATTCTCATATTAGCAATATTAGCAACTTTCGTTTATGACACGAAATAGTGTGAATGCAGCCGTAGAAGAGGGCGCCTGCCATGTACAATGCAATGCAACGCTCCCATTTAGCAACATGATCGAGAAAAAAAAACGAAATGCGACGCATCAAAATCGAAGGTCTCAACCGTCTCGATTTGTTGACAAAAAGAGAATACAGCTGCCCAGAATCACCGTGCCCACCACTGTGAACACGACCTGAGTCTTCCACCCACTCTGGACAAGAGCGGCCTTGCGGCTGTACTTCATGACGGTCCGAGCGTAGTTGAAGAACCCATTAGCGAGACAGGTCAAGCTTAGGAGCCAGAAAATAATGCCGACGGGAAGAGCCATGCGCCGCTCCAGAATGGAGGGCTGCTGACGGAAATGGAACGAGATGATGATAGCTAGAGAGACAACGGCCAAGTACATGGACAAGCGCAGCCAGGAGAGAAAAGTACGCTCGTTAGCGCAGTGGTCGCGGGCATCGGAAGACGAGTTCTCGAAGAGCAGCGCGCCTAGAAGGGGTCGCGAGAAAAGGATGTGGTGCTGAGCCTCGACATTTCTACGAGCAATGTTTAGTGTCCGTCCAAGAATGCGATACATGACGAGAACGATCGGAATTAAAAAAGTGAAACAACATCGAAATGATCATCAGGTGTTCGGAAATAGATACAAGCAAACAATAAGAGCTCCGGAATTTTCAAGGACGAGTAACCTCTTGTGCCGCAGGCCCACAGTCTCCACGGGGGGGGGGACTTACTCTTCCACCAATGCAGGTTTCGAATGAGCCGGGTTAATTAACGGATTGTATGGTCCTCGGGTGAGGACGTCAGGTTGATCCATGTTCAAGGTTATTGAGAATGAGACCGGGGCCAAAACCAAAAGAGGCGAAGAGTCGGAGCGCGGGCTTTCACTGAGAGTCACCTGACCCCCGCTTGCGGTTGATGTCATTTGCACACGATCTCCTGCCGTGTTTACCCAAACACTATACATTATACGTCAATCATCCATTGCAATGCTATTTTAGATCTATTGTTCTCTGTTTTCATCTTAACAGAAATTGGCCGGCTCAGTTGTAGCCAGATGAAACGACTAATCGGCATGACCGGGATCTGGGCGCTTAGCGAAATTACATTAATTTAATGATTTCCCCGTTATCATTGAAGCCCATTTTTCTTCTTGTTAAACCATAAGATTCTTCAAGTATACACAGCGAGACAATAATCGACGGGGATTGCAAGTTTTGTTGGGACAGGTGGCAGCTCTTCACCAAATCAAATGCAATCAGGGTCGCGCCCCATCAACGACACGATTTGGAATCGTGTTTGGACCCTCGCTGCTGTCAAAATGGCAAAGTCACGAGCTGGAGCAGTTGTGTTCTCCTCAAATATCTGCATCAAACATAAAGGATCGACTAGTCTTGCGGAGGCAAACGCTATGCAATATGTCCGTCAAAACACCTCGATCCCAATTCCAACCGTGCACTGCTCCTTTATCCACAAAGGTGACACGTATATTGTCATGGAGCGCATTCGAGGAGAGACGCTAGGGGAAAGTTGGCACTTACGCTCTGAGGAATCTAAAGTAAAGATTCTTTCTCAGCTGCGAGTAATGATACAGGAGTTACGAGCGATTGCGCCCCCCAAAGATGCTGGTGTTTGTAATGTGGACGGTGGTCCAATCTATGATTGCCGACTTCCAAACAACTCCTCATGGGGTCCTTTTAAGACCATCGATGGGTTTCACCGCCAGCTACGAAACGGCATCGAAGCCCATCATACGAATGTCACTTCGCAATACCCCGATATTCAAGCGCTCATCAGGTTCCATGAGATGTCCTGGAACGAGCCCGTCTTGACACATTCCGATTTGAGTAGCCTCAATATTATCGCGCAAGGTGACAAAGTAGTTGGAATCATTGACTGGGAGACTGCAGGATGGTTTCCTCCCTATTGGGAATACACCACAGCGTCTGATGTGAATCCTCAAAATGAGTTCTGGCGAGAAGAGATCGACAAATTCTTGACCCCACGGCCATATGAATTGAAAGTCGAGAATATACGACGACGATATTTTGGAATGAATGGCATGGGTTGAGACTCTGCTTTCGAATGATTCAAAAGTGGGCGATTGATCAGATATGTCAAACCATACAGGTAATCTGCCTAGGGAGCTGACAGTGATGGTCATTTCACATGAGGCATGAATCCCAAGTTGAAAGCATTGACAATGACTTGCTGGTCCTTTTGATGTAATGCAAACGCGATCCATGAATAAAATATCTCTAAATCGACAACCCCGCGAACAGATTGCGAATGTCTTTGCATAGTCACGATGGTGCCTGGTGGTCTGAGGATTGCCTATGAATGGAAGGAGGTTGTACTATGCAGTGAACGTGATCTATGTTCAAATATGATCTTTTCCAAACTATTGCATGTCTTACGCTTCTACATATAAGCCTTTACGGTTCAAGGCATATCGCGGAAGTGACAGCGGCGAGTGGAGACCACTGGGTGTCTATGGGTACAGCCCCAGACGATCGTTAGGGCCGAGATCTTGAAAAATGATATGAGGCAGTAACCTGGCATCTCTGAAATGGTTAGTCACTTTGACTTAGCGAGGCTCAGTTGTTCATTTGCTTATTTATCCTGCATGTCTGGGCGAGGGCACACGATTTCGGTAGCTAACGTCTTTGGGAATGTCGTGCCGAAGCTTGGTTTAAAATATCCAACTAGCCATTCCAAGGACGGACTATGATCGGTGGCGCCGCCATCTCTCTCTCGCCCTTCACAGTCCACTCCCATGATTCGTGACATATTTGAAGCGGGCCAAGCCCAGTGGCATTGAAAAGCGAAAAGCGCACTGCCGCAGTGGGTCGGTGGAGAAGCAGATAAGCGTCTTTGAATTTTGATTATGGTCGAGTAATGCGCTTGACACACCCTTGCGTGGGAACAGAACAAACTGCTCAGATCTTGCGTGGACCCTAAGGAGATGGAGATTCGCCTCGCATTGACCTTACCTGATCGTGACTAGTTCGCGGACTGAAGGCGAGATCTAGACCAGAAGCAGAAGCAGAAGCAGAAGAAGGCGGCGGTCGGTTCCTCCCCACTTCGGATCCAGCGGGGGAATCCGTATTTTTTTTCTCCGAGCTCTCCAGCTTCCGACTTCCTCATCTGGTATTCTCTGTAGAGAGTGTAGATGATGCAGATGCAGATGCAGCTGTAAACTGTCTCTCCCATTATGGTCCCTCGCAACATCCTCTCCGCGGATGCCGCAGAGTATCAGAGTCCGTTCGGTCGATCCTTCACCTCCAGCTCCCCCATTGCCGCCTCCATCATTGCCCGAGACCTCGCTCACTATGCCGACGAGGACTCAATCGACACCAATGACAGTTCCGACTCGTCGACGGTGCGCCCCTCCAGCAGCTTAGCAGGGACGAACCCGCATTCCCTAGCCGGCTCTTATCGCCGCCCGAGTAATTTTACCTCCGTCAACCATACCACCGTGATTCTCTCAAATGGCGACTACCAGCCTTTGACGCAAAGCGAGCGGGAAGACGCGATTGAAGAAGAGCGCAATCTGCTAAGTGATAACAAGATCATCCCTCCAGAGCAGGCCCACGGAATACCCCACGGACCGCAACATAAGCTAAGCAGCCTATTCTCGACATCTGCCCCAGAGAGTTCGTCCAAAAGGTATGGGTCGGTTCGAAGCACAAGTGGAGTGGATGCCGAGACCGAGGCGATCGCTACCGAGTCTACAGCGTTGCTGGGACCTCCTCCCGGAAAAGGAGACGCGATGGGACCGGAGGAAATCGATCGGAAATGGGAAGAGGCCGTGACAGCTGGTCTGATCAACACGACGTGGCAGCGGGAAGCCCGAGTGATTGTAAGATACTCGGCGCCATTAATGGTGACCTTTCTGCTGCAGTATTCACTGACGGTGGCGAGTATCTTCACCATTGGCCATTTGGGCAAAGAGGAACTCGGAGCCGTCAGTCTGGCTAGTATGACAGTCAGCATTACTGGAAATGCAATTTATTCTGGTCTGGCTACCAGTTTGGATACCCTGTGTGCACAGGCGTATGGATCCGGTAAGAGAAAGCTGGTCGGGCTGCAGATGCTGCGTATGGTGTTTTTCTTGTGGTTGGTGACTATTCCCATCGCCGTTCTCTGGTACTTCTCCGAGCACATCCTGGCGAAGATTGTTCCAGAGAAAGAGGTAGCCAAAATGGCTGGTCTGTATCTCAAGGTTGCTTTGCTGGGAACACCGGGATTTGCTTGCTTCGAGAGTGGCAAGCGTTATCTCCAGGCCCAGGGGGGTCTTCTCGGCATCGCTGTATGTGTTGCTTGTTTGCGCGCCGTTGAATGCCTTTATGAATTGGTTTTTCGTCTGGGTAAGTCCCTCTCAACAGACCTTGAGATGTGATGATACTGACAGCCATGTTAGAAACTTGAGATGGGCTTCGTTGGTGCTCCAATCGCCGTTGCAATTACGGAGAATCTCATGCCAATCTGTCTGTTTACATATGCCTACTTCTTCGTGGGCTCGGAGTGTTGGTGTGGCTTCACTCGTCGAGCCTTCGAGAACTGGGGTCCCATGATCCGCCTCGCACTGCCGGGTCTGATCATGGTGGAAGCCGAGTGTTTGGCGTTTGAGGTCCTGACTCTGGCGTCAAGTCATCTCGGCACCACCGAGCTCGCCGCGCAGTCGATTCTTTCAACTATCTCGAGTATCACATGGCAGATTCCCTTCCCGCTTTCCATCGCCGGTAGCACGCGTGTTGCAAATTTGATCGGCGCCAGTCTGGTCGGTGCCGCAAAGACCTCAGCCAGGGTGAGCTTCTGTGGTGCTACCATCGTTGGTATGTTCAACATGGTTCTGCTGATGTGTCTGCGAAACTACATTCCAATGCTCTTCAGCTCGGACTCGGAAGTTGTTGATCTTGTCGCGAAGGTCCTTCCTTTATGCGCAGCGTTCCAGCTCTTTGATGCTCTAGCCGCCAACTGCAATGGTATCCTTCGTGGTCTCGGCCGCCAGGAAATCGGTGGCTACATCCAGCTTTTCTGTTATTATGCCATTGCCATGCCCATCAGTATGGGCACAACGTTCGGCTTGAATTGGGGCGTCATGGGTCTGTGGACTGGTGTGGCTCTTGCTCTTCTACTTGTGTCTGGAGCCGAGTTCTTCATCCTTGGCCGAATCAGTTGGGAGCGGTCTGTTGATGAAGCTCAACTGCGCAATGAGCTGACCTGAATCCGGGTCTACACATGATTGACATGAAACTCATATACGATAGCATCTGATTAAAACTTGGCCATTGCATACATTGTTTTTTGAACAGCCCAAACAATTCACTGTGCTCAAAAAGGAGTCAACGGGATTAATTATTTCGAACGTCCTGACTCATTTGTACATAAGTTGGACTGTCAAGTTGAATGCAAGATGAATTCATGATATCATTTGACACGGCACGTAGCTTCTAACCAAACACTGAGCGGGAAACCCACATTTTAATACTCGAGAATAGCCCATGTCTGTTCATCCATGGTCGAGAAAATTACACCCGCTCCGAGCAACTCCTCACCGGCACGAGCAACATCTGTAGCAGGCAAGTTGAGTTTCGAGGCAATCTGCTGCATGTGAAGACCAGTGTCATCCTGGGGCTCGGTCTTGAGCAAGTTGTAGATCTTCTTAGCGAGGGGCGACATGGATGCGAGAGCGCGATTCTGACCCGCACCGTAGTCATCCGCACCGCCCATAGCGGCATCACCAGCAGCACCATTGGCACCAGCGCCAGGGGCACCAGGAGGACCACGAGTGAAGAACAGATGCACGGCAGTAGCCTCAAGGACGTGACAGTGCAATTCGTTGATGTCGGTCACGGGGCGCACGCTATGGGCACCAATATAGCGCTTGTGGCCGAAGGACTTGATAGCTCCGAAGACGCGGGCGTATCCATCTGTTACGATCTCGCTCTTGCCATCGCCGTGTGCCTTGCCCCCGTCCATGTCCATGCTGTCGGCGGTGGCTGAGTCCACCCACTTCTTGACCTCGACCTCACCCGTACCATCGTCGATTTTGTATGTGATGTTCGTGCTTTGGGAGCTGATGTTGCGTACCTGGCCGATGATGAGCACGTTGGCCACGTCCGCGTTGTCGATCTGGTAATTGGCTTCGGGGTAGGGCTGCGAGGCGTCATTCACTTGCTTGATTGTGACAGGGCGGAGAGTCTTGTTATCGCGGTCGCCAGACTAGTCGAGTGTTTTAGTGACAGTGTGCTAGAAAACACCATTTCATCGTACCTTTCCACCAGAAGGGCTGTTGGTCTCGCCTGGCATGAAGCCACCACCACCGCCGCCTGACCCGTAATTGTTGTAGTTGTCTAGGTAAAATATTAGTATACAGGCGAATACACAATCAAGTAGGTCACCTACCCATGGTGAAAGAGTGTGTGTGAGTAGCTGAGGGAGAATCGTAAAATCATTTTACCTCATCGGGCGAGCGTGTCGCGCGTCGCGGGGAGCCGGTTTGTACTGTTTGCACCCGATGTTCACCGCCTTTAGTTTCCTCAATTTTTTTTTGCGGCGAAAGTTGAGGGAATGTTTCGACGCAGACCAACACCTTGAAAGACATTTTCAAGCGTGGAGATTGTCTGAGAATTTGTTTTAAACTTCATTTATTGGGTTCTATTCTCCCAATATTCCTTTGCTCTAACTCTCATTCCTGAAGTCCGAGACATCTGTTCAATCGTTATCATATCCAGATCCGCCTTTGATCGGCGCATAACCTTGAGGCTTTCATCATGCCTCACCGCGAGTCTTCTCCGGCTATGTCGGAAAACGAGTTCGACATTACGAACTCGCTTTTCCAGAATGATAATGGCAGCGACTCCGACAATGACGAAAAACCCCGGCGCCGTCAGAAGCCCAAGCCCGCTCCCACCGAAGATCTCGACTTCCTGGGCGCCGATGATGACGACGACGAGACCTTCATTGCGAATCAGCAGGCGTCCGCGAACCGAAAAGGTGCCAACTTAAAGGGTCGTACTGTGAAGAAGGGTGGTGGCTTCCAGGCCATGGGTCTAAACGGCAAACTTCTCAAGGCGATTGCCCGCAAAGGATTTTCAGTACCGACTCCCATCCAGCGCAAGACAATTCCCGTTATTATGGACGACAAGGATGTGGTGGGTATGGCTCGTACTGGTTCCGGAAAGACTGCAGCTTTCGTCATTCCTATGATCGAGAAATTGAAGAGCCACAGCAACGCGTTCGGAGCCCGTGGATTGATCATGTCCCCCTCGCGTGAACTGGCTTTGCAAACGCTCAAGGTGGTCAAGGAAATGGGCCGCGGTACAGATCTACGCTGTGTACTCCTGGTCGGTGGTGATAGTCTTGAAGACCAGTTCGGTATGATGGCAGGCAATCCCGACATTGTTATCGCTACTCCTGGTCGTTTCCTGCATTTGAAGGTCGAGATGGATCTGGATCTCTCGTCTATCAAGTATGTCGTCTTCGATGAAGCTGATCGACTTTTCGAAATGGGTTTCGCTGCCCAGTTGGCCGAAATTTTGCACGGTCTGCCTACTACCCGCCAGACACTTCTCTTTTCCGCTACACTGCCCAAATCACTGGTTGAATTCGCACGTGCTGGTTTGCAAGAGCCCACCTTGATTCGTTTGGATGCTGAGAGCAAAATTTCTCCCGATCTCCAGAATGCTTTCTTTGCGGTCAAGTCATCTGACAAGGAAGGAGCTCTTCTTCACATTCTCCATGAAATCATCAAGATGCCCACAGGGCCCACTGAAGCTTCATTGAGATTCAAGGAAGGCTTCCGGGACAACAAGCGCAAACGAGATGGAGAGAAGCGCAACACCTGGAAGGAGTCGCCCACCGAACATTCTACTATTGTGTTCGCTGCCACCAAGCATCACGTTGACTATCTCTACTCTCTTCTCGTCGAAGCCGGCTTTGCTACTTCCTATGCCTACGGTTCCCTAGACCAGACTGCTCGTAAGATGCAGGTCCAGAACTTCCGAAGCGGCATTTCCAATATCCTGGTCGTTACCGATGTGGCTGCTCGTGGTATCGATATTCCCGTTCTTGCCAACGTCATCAACTACGATTTCCCGTCTCAGCCAAAGATCTTCATTCATCGTGTCGGGCGTACTGCTCGCGCCGGTAAGACCGGTTGGAGTTACAGTCTCGTGCGCGATGCGGATGCTCCGTATCTGCTGGACCTTCAGCTGTTCCTAGGCCGACGATTGGTTCTTGGCCGTCAATATGGCGACCAAGTCAACTTTGCCGAGGATGTTGTTGTAGGAACGATCCCCAGAGACCCATTGGCCCGAACTTGCGAATGGGCCAACAAGGTTCTGGAGGAGGTCCCGGACATTCATTCGCAGCGCCAGGTTGCGACCAGAGGTGAGAAGCTTTACATGCGCACTCGAAACGCTGCATCTGCAGAGAGTGCTAAGCGAGCGAAGAAGGTCACTTCCTCTGAAGACTGGTCTGCCATTCACGTCCTCTTCAACGATGCGACAAGTCAACTCGAGGCCGAGCGAGAGTCTATGCTTGCCCGCATTGGTGGTTTCCGCCCCCAGGAGACAATTTTCGAGCACCACAACCGACGTGCCGGAAAGGCCGGCAAGGCCGAAGGTGACGAGGCCATTGAGACCATCAAGCGGATCCGCACCACTGTCGACAAAAAGAAGCAGCGCGCACATGCCAAGGAACAGGCTGATCTGATCGAGGCTGGAGGCGCTGGTAATGGAGAGGATGCTGATGAGATGGACGTGGACATTCCCGAAGAAGCTGGAGAGAACATGTCCGAGGCGGACGAATCTGACCTAGAGGTTACCTTCGGCGCCTACTCGAAGAAGGACTCCGGCGACAAGACTAAGGAGTCATTTACCGCTTCGTTCCAGAACCCCGATTACTTCATGGGCTACAAACCCAACCACAGCAACGCCGCCGAAGATCGCGGATACGGTGTGCACTCCGGCACCAACTCCAACTTCACAGCCGCCTCACGCGATGCAGCCATGGATCTTAATGGCGACGACGGACAGAAGCACTTTGGTGAACCTCGCTCGACCATGCGCTGGGACAAACGACACAAGAAATATGTGGCGCGTCAGAACGACGAGGACGGATCGAAGGGCGCACGAATGGTGCGCGGCGAGAGTGGTGCCAAGATCGCCGCCTCTTTCCGAAGCGGTCGTTTCCAGTCCTGGAAGAAGGGCAAGCGTATGAGCGGAATTCCACGCGTGGGTGAAGCCGAGCAGCCCGGCATGGGCCACGGAATGAACCCTGGCGGTCGCAGCGCTGGCGGACGCTTCAAGCACCACCAGAACCGGGCACCCAAGCGGGCCGACCCATTGCGACACGACTACGAAAAGATGAAGAAGAAGAACGAGGCGGCGCGCGAACGACAGGGCCCGGCGGCCACAAGCTCGCGGGGCAAGAGCGAGATCAAGTCGACTGACGATATTCGCAAGGCTCGCAAGCTGAAGCAGAGACGGCAGGAAAAAAACGCACGTCCGCAGCGCAAGAAGCGTTAAATGGGAACCGTAGGGAGTTTGTATTTAATCGCCATCTTGTCTATATTTTGCATTTTGCTATTGGAGATACCAACGTTGCCGAATCCAAGTCATATGATCCAAGTTTTTGCGCCCCGATCACTGTATAACAAGGCATGCTTTTCATGCCAGCACCGCACTTTTAGAGCCGGGGTCGCTAAGCTAGTGCCCATGTTCGACCCTTTTCCAATTGAGCTACACGTGCATGAATCAGTCACACGCCGATCCCGGCCTCGATGCCAGTGGAGCACCGTTAGTGCACGGTACAAATTGCCCCCTCGGCAGAGGATCACACATGCGCGGGCCTTTTTTCCAAGAGCTCCACGAGGAGTCCCGAATGATCCAAATAATCTCCGGGGGGGGGCCCCCCTCGATCGGCGAATTTGACGCCCAAGATTTGGAATCACCTGGGATAGGTCACCCCTAGTCCGGTTAAGACATTCCCTATAGTTCAATACATCCACTCAAATATCGATAAATCCCCGAGAAAAGAAAAATACCGAATCCATGATACCCGGGTATTGAGACCAGACGGGAGGCGCACTATTGAAATAAAAGCAGGCGCCAGGGTAGATCGTGCATGAACGGGGTGACAGACCCCTTGCTGCTCCGCGTGCATGTTCCAGCTGTTAAAAGGGGCTGGAGCCGCCGCTTGTTTCCCCTTCGGCCGCAGCCGAGTCATGACGTGGTGTCTAGGGGTGATCATAGACCCAATCAACTTGGAAGACACACGCCCCGACCCCGAAAAGTCAACCAAGGTGCCAAACGGGGGTATCAGAGAGAGATGGTTCATCGACATTACCCCGAAGGCCCTGTTGCCCAGAACCAGAACCAGAACCAGAATGGGACGTATCGACGTATCTAGCCCCATCTAGGTCAGGCCCAGGCGTTGTATTATATTAATTTTTCCCGAGCACTATTTGTATCGGCGCCGATCCAACCAAACTTCGGGGACGGTGGGCTCGATGGTTCGTGCCTCTGCAGCCGGCCGACTCATGGTTCATGGCAAACTACGCCTGGGCTGTTGTGAGACCTCTACCCCTTGAGACTGTAACCGTAACCCTTCACCTTTGTGTGACGGAGATTAAGGGTCCGGAGAATACACTTTTGAGCGGTGGCAAAGACTTGAAACGGCTGAAAAATGTAGCTAGGCCGTTCAGCTGATCCGATGCCCTCGGTGGAGTAGAAAATAAAAAGACGAAGACGGGCAGGACAGTCGGAGAAAGATACTGTAGTTCGGCAACGCACAAGAAAGGGCTCTGATTCCTATGAAACTATGAAACTAGAGCGTCGGATCATCTGGTGGGTTGCAGTATTCCTAAATAGTACCTGGGCATCTGATTTTTCGTGTAGCCCCTCCCAAAAGTACGGAATGTGCATTTCCATTGCCGAGTCCGACTATTGGCAATGGCGGCGGGCGCCGTCCGATCCGTCAATCCCTCACCTTGCGTCCCTCTCCGGTCTTGATTGGCATCTTCCTTTTTTCCCTCCTTCGCTTGTTTTTTTTGGTCATGTTTTTCTATTACCTTTTCTATTATCTTTTCTTTTTTCTTTTTCTTTTTTTTTTTTTTTCTCTCTCTCTCTCTCTCTCTCTCTCTCTATATGGCTTAAGTCGTGTCTTAGATTGGGATTTGCCTCTGATTTGCCATGTCGATATCCTATTTCTTCCTAGTGTCAGTCCAGGGTGTCACTGACAGCGACTGGTCCACCCGTCTCATGCAAGCCACTGCAGCCCGAGAACCGAGTAGTTCGTGCCCCAAAGATGTGAACCGCGGGCCCTAGTTCCCTGTAGCTTGGGTAACTACTAGAACTAGTGACTATCGTAGATATTGTTCCTAATTATCACCGAATGGGGATAATCCCCCACTCTCCCACCGTTGGATTCTTTTCCCCCCCTCCTTCCTACTCCTTCCCCTCTCGCCTCTCCCCTCTCCACCCCCCAAAAAGGATCTCCGTCATGGCCGATTCAAGTCTATCAGCTACTAGTGGTGTCAGCACTGACCAATCACCCTGGGCCCTAGTCCACCTAGTCGTCTGGGACCCGCCCACTTGACCTCTCTCTCTTTCTTTTTATCTACGTTATTTACTGGTATCGAAAGCCTGGATCCCGCAGGTCGGAGTGTGCTTGCTACTCTGGAGAAATAATAACCGTTGATTGATTTGTTGTTCTCATTCATCGTCTCCTTCTGTGGCTGCTTCTACTTTCATTCATTGCCCCCCCCTCTCCCCCTGCCCTATTCCAATCGAGGGCGAAGCTTTGTGTATGCAGACAGTTTGGGAACTTGTTGATTGATGTGACATACTTGAGTGTGTCCTGACAAAACCAGCAAATCACTTTCCTGGTATAGTTCCACCAACTTTCCTTTATTGTTGTATTTTGATTTTAAAGATTCCTTTTTTTTGCCCCCCCTTTTATCCCACATTATCCCGCCTCTTTCGCTTTCCCACCCCTGGAGGAGCACGAGAGACACTAGAGGCAAGGCGTGGAGAGAGAGGGGGGGGAGCTTTGACACGCTGCAGCGTGATCCTAGCTCGATGATCGACCGCCATCCTGCAATAAAGATGCCCGAGGGGAAAGACATGCGCGGCTATGAGTAACCCTGCTGTCATGATCTGGAAATCTCCCGCTGATCGATGCAGTCTATTTTCTGACTCCTCCAATAGCGGATCTCTTCTCCCACGGATTATAAGCTTGGGTCATCCAAGGAGGTGACGGCCGTCTCTGTTCACCGCTGACACCGGTATACTTGCGTCTGCAACTGAACGTCTTCTACTTCCTACTCCTCTCTTACCCTTGAACATCACCCCTTCCCTGGTCTTCCCTGGTCTTCCCTGTTCTTCTCTCCCTTTCGCCTTCTGCACTTTGCCCTTTCCACAACAGGGATCCGCTATGCTGGCCCCAAGTGCAAAACCGAGAGCCAGTGGTCCCCTTTTGTGAACGAGTATCCCCGCCCAATCCAGAAACTTCCCCGTGGGACTCACCTTTCCTTTTCCTGCCGGTGCCCCGATGCAACCACTCGTGCTTCATCCTCCGAGCCTCGCCACCGCCCAGTTCGGTCAGCCCCGGTTCAACTCGGGCCCAGAGCGGCTACCGTTGAGTCGTCCTTGGTCTAATGCTCGAGGGTGCAGCCCTAGGGCTTCTGTCCTCCGTCAATCTATGTCTGGCTCTCCTCCTGCTGAGCTGCCCTCGGTGACATCCGGAGAGCCAAAACCGTCTCATCCACTATCCTCTCCGGTAGTCGTGACGACTGGGGAACCGGCCTCGTCGTCTACGACTGCCGTTCCGACTCCATTGGTTCCAAATGAGCCTCAGCTACCACAGCTCCAGTCTAGGTATGGCGAGCAAACTGCCCCGGCATATGTAGGTTCCCCAAGACCACTGCCCGGGGCACCTCCATACCCGTCATCAACACTGGAATCTCCTGGTGCGGGTCCAGCGACTCGTTCATTAGTACAAAAATCGACACGCCGGACCAAGGCTCATGTAGCTTCAGCTTGTGTAAACTGCAAGAAGAAGCATCTTGGATGTGACCCAGCACGTCCATGTCGACGATGTGTTCTAGCTGGAAAGGCAGTGAGTCGCCATCGCCCTCTTAATTCTTAAGGGTATGCAGAAAAAACTGACCAGGAGCAAAGTCATCATGTGTGGATGTCACTCACAAGAAGCGAGGACGACCTCCGCTGAAAGCGGAGGACTCGTCTCTTTGTCCATATACATCACACATGGAAAATGCGGCCGTTTCATCAGAGGGTCAGCCATCGGCGGCACCCCAACGAAACATCATGCATCGAGCAACATCTTCTCGGGAACTTCGACCGATGACTGATCTTCAAGTAATAGACGAGCCCGGACAAGTAGTTGCAGCCATGGAGATGCCTAGAGGCCAGTCACATCGTTGGTCTGCCTCTGTCTTTCCGCTAACTCGGCCGATTGACCCCTCGATGATGCCCACCCAGGCAGGAAGGCGACCATTTTCTGCATCTGGTCCACCGACATATGGAGCACCATCTCATCCACCTCCTGCTTTTGTGCCAAATTCTAGTGGCTTCAATCCAATTTTCAGAGCCGGAGTTATGCCTCCTAGAATGGAACGTCGATTTGCACAGTACCCAAGTCCTGCTCTACCTCCGCCTACATCTCCTCCGCAACATATGCCAGCGGGTGTTCCATACAGCCCTTATGAGACCCCGGGATCTGCAATGCATCAACCGATGAGCGATCCCAGAGTTCCTCACGGACCACGCGAGCCATATCTTGAATCCCCACTCCGACTTCCTCCAATTCAGCAAGCAACCGCAAGTTCAGGTCCAGCTCATCATCATGCTCACCGTCTCAGTGATCCTTATCCAGCAACCTGGACTTCAGCTCGAGAAGACGCCAACCGTGAGCCGCGCTCACCAGGAATCCTCCACCGACCCACAGGCTCTACGTTCACACATTCTACACCCCACTTACACCAGCGCTCGTCTTCTCAGACAGGCCCTCTCGATCCTATTCCCCGGCATCTCGGACCTGTTGAACTCCTCTCTCCTGTCACAATGCATCAGTCTCCTCCAAGAGCCCAAGATGCACATCCGGGCACAGGAGCGGAGAACCAAGAAGCCCCAACCTATCAAACGACGCAAGATGGCGCTCGACGATATGGTCAACGGCTAACAACATGTTCCTTTGATTCTGTTCTGAAATTGTCGATTAACAATACCAGCAGCCCTGGAGGCTTCTTGTATTGTATAATGTGCACCCTCCTGTAGCAGGGTCTACAGAACCGATACCCCTAACTAACATGGTAAGTACATGTCAGTGCACCAGGAAGCACCATCTGTGAATTGATTTGAGTTGGGATCAAAGTGATTTTGATGGGACGGATTTACAGAACGTCACAATCTCCGACTTCATTTCGGATATTTACCCACAAGCATGCGATTTTCTTTTTGTTGTTTTCCTTTGTCTTTGTTTTGTTGCACGTGCACCAGATTGGCGTTTCCTTTACATTTCCTTTGTCGGTCTCTCTTTCTATTCTTTTCTCGCGAGTACCCCTTACAGTTTTATCATACATGGCATGGCGTTTGGCGGAATGGAAGGGGGCGGGCTCGCATTTATTATCTTCATTTTTGTTTTTCTTGTCTCCTTTGTCCAAACATGACCATGCATTTGAGTTCACGATACTCGGCAGATTAGGGAATCATTGTATATCAGCTGTACATGACGAAATGTGCTGGTTTTCCTTGTTCGACTCGCTAATGTGCAAGTCGTTATCGTGCGCGACGGCGACTAAACGAAACATTGTCTCAAATAATACTTAATAGAAAATGGAATAATCATCATACAGATCATCATTGCAGATTGCATGATACATGATGCATCTGGGCAGAAATCGTATTGAGGCATATTAGAAGTATGTGCGTGATGTGCACTGAATAAGGTATCACCGCAGAAAAACCCAAAAGTCTAGAAAAATAACCACTGGCCGCAGCGCTGTAACTTGCCCACCCACCCCTTGCGGCTAGGCTCCTGCTCCAGCTCACGAGGAAAAGGCGTATCTTCCAGCCCTCCATCATAGCGATCGGTGCGCAGATCCATCTCAGACTTGTGGACGAACTTGGTCCGCTTGATCAATTTCCATCCTACGAACATGACAAGCATGATCGGGATCTCAATGTAGTACGAGACAAAGGAAACAGCCTTGAAATGCGGGCTGAAGCATTTCCAGCCCTGCACGAGGACCAAGACTATGTTCAGACCCACGGCGAAAATGGGACCGTAAGGATAAGTCCAATTTTTGAATGGGAGCAGATGTTCGATGCCCTGTTCGCGAACGGCAGCCCGGAAGCGCAGGGATGCGAGCCCAATGCAAATCCAGGACAATTGATTGGAGACGCCGACGATATTCTGCAGCCATGACCACAGCGTACCGGCACCAATGTAACTGGCGCCGAAACATAGACCGCTGATGACGGATGTAGCCAGAACCGCGACCCAGGGAACGTGAAAGCGGTTCAAGTGACCGAAGAAGCGGGGTGCATAGCCATCCACGGCGAGGGTGTAGAGGAGGCGAGATCCGGCAAATAGAGCGTGGTTGGCGGCGGAAATCACCGAGGTCATGATCACAGCATTGATGAAGCTACCGGCGACAGCACTGCCGGCCTCTGTGAAGACGATGGTGAAGGGACTGACGCGCGTATCGCCACTGGAGAGGTTGGGGTAATTGTAAGGGACGTTCAAGCCAACCAGAAGGATGGAAAGCAGATAGAACAATACAATACGCCAGAAGACGTTGCGTACAACCTTGGGCAGGTTCTTGGCAGGGTCCTTGGTTTCACCAGCGGTGATGGCGATGGACTCGGTCCCACCGTAAGCAAAGGAGGCTGTCACGAAGACCGAGGCAAATCCACCTATACCACCGACAAAAGGTGCGTCTCCGGTGTTCCAGTATTTACCGCCAATGTATTCGTGTTTGGTGTTGCCGCCACAGTTGACCACGATACCGAGAATGATAAATATAATAATGGTGACCACTTTCAGTAAGCTGAGCCAGTACTCGACTTCACCATAGACACGCACGGAGAGCATATTCAATGCAATGACCACAACCAAGAAGATCAAGCTGATCGCCCAACCGGGAAAATTATCAGTCCAGAATTCCAGTAATAACTGTAACGCGATAATATCAGAAGCGGTTGACACAGCATCGTTGAACCAGTAGTTCCAGGTCAATGCAAAACCAAGCGCGTCGTCGACAAATCGACTAGTAAACAAAGTGTTAGTGAACTTTGACCCGCAAAAAAGTCAACGTTGCATCGGGCACCGATCAGCACTCACCCCGCAAAAGTACAAAAGGAACCAGCCACTGGAATAAAGGCCGCCATCTCACCAAGACTCAGCATTGTGATGAAAATAATGCCACCGCAAATCGCATAGGCGATCAATGTCGAGGCAGGACCACCTTTGGCGATGGATTCACCAGTTCCCAGGAACAGACCTGTTCCAATGGTACCGCCGATGGCAATCATCTGCACTTGACGCGCCGATAGGCGACGAGCCAACTTGTCGGCATTGGCGAAAGGGGTGGACGAGAGGTCGCCAACATAGTCCTGGACGCCCACCTTGGAATCATTCTGTTTCTCAGAATCGAAGGTCATCATGAAGAGAGGAGCCTTGACCGAGGAATTAAAGAGGACCTCTTGCTCAAAGAGGGGAAGCTGTAAAGAATCATCAGTACGACGTCTAACATGGTTGACATGGTTGACATGATTGACATAGAAAAAAGAACGTACAGCCCTATGATCCCGTGACGAGCACGTGGGTTTACCCCGGATTTAGAGATCGGACTGATATGACAGCCGCAACGTCCACGCCGGTTTGAGGTTGGAAGCTGGAAAAGAGAATCATTGCTGATCGTCAAGGACAAGGTCACTTGAAGAGCGTGCATGTCTACGATGGCGTGATCGAGCACGAAAATCACTAGAGCGCAGCTTTGCGCTTGGGCCCGCCCGCGATGACTTAAGAAAAATTCGATGGTCTCCACTTATGCCTCTATTTCGAATCAAGGTTAAATATTTCATGCCCCGATTGGGAAGATTTGGCACAGTTCGGCATTGACAGTAGCCGATAGCTTGTTTCTACCTCCTAGCTTGTCTAAGTTTTTTTGAATATTTTGCGATGGTCTCTATGTGACAGAGAATTCGAAGGAGAGACATAGAAAAGAAGCCTTGGATAATCTCGCTATATACTCATGCAGAATGAAATCAATGCTTTTACTGGCTTCGCTTGCACAAAATCGGAACGCCCATACCTTGTAGTGATGCACATTAGTCCAGCAATCCACTGGCCAAAGCCTCCAGATCTCCGAGCGTCTCGATTTGAGGCTCTGCTCTCTTGGCCTTCTTGCTCTTCTTGCTCCTGCTCTCGTCCTCGTCGCTGCTGGGGTCGGCAAAAGTGACGCGTGCCTTCTTGCTGGCCCGGTGCTCTTCCGCCTCGGAGCCTGAATCGGATCCTGGAATCTCGAAGGGCACATAAGGCAGACCCTGAACACCGGATTCCTCCTCGGCCTCCTCCTCGGCAAGCGCACGATCGCGTGCCTTGCGCTTTTCCTTCTTTTCGCGCTTCTTCTCGCGCACGAGCGCCTTGTCCTCGATATCGGCACGGCGAGTACGCTCGATCTCCTCTTCCACGAAGCGCTGGCGCTGGGCATTGGCATCGCCACGGGCCTTGAATGCCTCCTCGTCCTCCATCTCGTAGATCTCGTGGGCAACACCATCATCGTCGTACACCAACTTGGTACCCTTGCCTTTGAACTTGAGCAACTTCTTCTTTGATTTGAGGAGCTTCTCGCGACGCTTGGAGTCGATAACCAGCGGCTCCTGGCCGTCAATTTGCACCATCCTGGTTGGCTTCGCTTCCTCGACAGATTCGTCCGAGTCAGAATCACTCTGGCGGCCGAGGTCCTCATCACCCGCGACGAAGCGTCGCTTGACAGACAGGAAGTCGGCATCCTCGTCGGCGTCTTCACCAGCGCCATCGCCGGCTCCGGTCGCAACCATGGTGCCGTCATCGTTGATGAGCTTGTGATAATGTTCCGCCAGGACGTCCTGGTTTCGTCGCTCGAACATGCGGTCATAGCGGGTTCGCACCTGGTTCTCATCCTTCTTCTCCTTCTTCTTGCCTTCGCCCTCCTCATCTGAGTCCTCACCGCTAGAGAGGTGAGCCATCTTCCAAGAAGCATTCTTGCGCTCCTTCGTATTGTCTCCCTTGATGAACTTGATGCGAGGAGCACCAGGAAGACCCAGACTAGCCGCAAAGTCTTCCAGCTTGAGTTCCTTAATGTTGAATATCGTCTTGTCGGGTTGCACGAAGCACGATTTGACGTAAGAGATGAAAGCCTTTTGACCCAAGTACTTCAATTCCGGATCTTTGAAACACATGTTTTGCAGCTGATTTTTAATGCTGCTCTGCTTGCTCGCCTTGATGTTGATCTTTTCAATGGGCACTTTCTTTTGCTCGAGTCGGCTCAACATGCCCTTCTCCTCGCTGGGGTCAAGGAATAGCACAGCACGGCCGACACGCTCGTAACGAGCAGTACGTCCTACCCGATGAATGTACGTGTCGGCATCTTCGGGACAGTCCATTTGAATGACCCAGTCTACAGCTGGGAAGTCTCAGTCCTCGAGCCGCGACATCAGTAGCGAAGAGCACCGAATGTTGAGACTGGGAGAACTTCGTCGTAATATCGAGTCGGCCTCCTTGCTTTTGTCGGCCGTGAAGATGCATCAGGGGAATACCGGGCTGCAAGTGTCGGAATGACTCGTACACAAATCGTACCTGCTTTCCTGAGGCCAAGAAGACGACGGTCTTGGACTTGAGATTGCTTCGGATGAAGCTCCACAAGGTATCGAGCTTTGAGGCGAGAGGAGTGATTACATAGTGCTGCTTGAGAGTCGACGGTGTGGCCGAGGCGGCTGCTTCGTGAACAGCGATGTATTCGGGATCCTTTAGACTGAGACGTGCCAGGTCAGAGACCTTCTTTGTCTGCGTAGCACTGAACAGCATAGTCTGGCGCTCCTTGGGAAGGTGATCGATAATCGCATCCACGGTCTTCTGGAATCCCATATCGAGAATTCTATCGGCTTCATCGAAAACGAGCATCTGCAGATTGTGTGTCTCGAACATGGCTGTCTGATCCAGATGCTGCAGCATACGACCCGGCGTGCAGACCAGGATGTTCATGCGACCCAGTCGATCTTGTTCCTCGCGCAGACTCTTTCCACCGATAACCAAGCCAGCGGAGAAGGCATGGTAACGGCCAACTTTGCGCAACACCTCGAAAATTTGAATCGCCAGTTCGCGTGTAGGGGAGAGAATGAGTGCACTTAAGCCATCGAGTTCGGTCGTCTGCCGACGGTATAGATTTTCGAGGACGGGAATAATGAAGGCCAAGGTTTTTCCTGATCCAGTCTTCGCAGCACCCAAAATGTCGCGACCCTTGAGAGAATGAACGATAGCGCGCTGCTGGATGTCGGTCAAGGTCTTGAAGTGCGAGGCTGCGAGGCCCTTTTGGGTGGGCTCGGAGAGTGGGAGATCGGAGAAGTTCTTCACGGTGGCTTTCAAGTCCAGATCTTCGACGCGTTGAACGAGCGAAGAGAGTGTGTCCTCGCCACGCTTTCGCTTAAGAGTCCGACCGGAGTCATGATGAGTTTTCGGAGCTTTTCCGCGAGAAGTCCGGGCAGGCGCCATGATGCTGTGGTTTGTAGATTTCTTATCGTCGGCGAAGCCAAAACGGCGCAGCTTTTTTTTCTTGATGAGTCAGCTGGTGATAAGAGCTTATCGGTGGAAACACACTCAGAGCATAAAAGCACAGCAAACACGAGGTCTGATGGCTGTGAAGAAGTGACACCACTATCAGAACAGCCTTGAAAATTGTAAGGCTTTGGCAGATCTCACAACTATGATATCACGACGTAGCAGGCCAGGTATCATGTGAAATTCAAGCCCAGGCGGTCCCATGATGACTCAGCTACTGATAAGGAGCTTATCTGCGAGTTGGCGACAGCGACTGCTTGTCACTTACTCATGGCGGATGACGATCAGGACATTTTCGACTCGCTCGAGCGCGAAGCGTCGGAATTCACCAAGGTAAATTACCTCTTAGCTCTACTACGCGACTCTGCTAACGCGCAATTCCAGGATGCGGAGATCGACCGCATTCGCAAGGCGTTCTCTCTGGACTCGTAAGTCTTCTTCAACCTCCCCGACGCCTTGTACTAACGCAATGCAACCAGCTACGCCGTGTTAGATCTACAGCCCGGTGTACCAGAGAAAGACATCAAGATGCAATACCGCAAGAAATCCCTGCTCATCCATCCGGACAAAACCAAGAACCCAGCCGCCCCCGATGCTTTCGACCGTCTTGCCAAAGCCCAAACAGCTTTGTTGGACGAGAAGCAGCGTACCTACCTCGATGAGTGTATTGCAGACGCACGAAGGCTATTAATTCGCGAGCACAAGTATAATTTGGACTCACCAGAGCTGAAAACCGAGGAATTCAAGGTAGAGTGGCGAGCCAAGACCATTCACGTGCTGTTGGAAGAAGAAGCGCGTCGACGGAGACAGGCAAAAGCGCGCTTGCAGGAAGAAGGAAGAGAAGCGCGCAAGGAAGAAGAAGAGCTGGAAGCGCGGAAACGAAAGCGCGACAATGATAAGGCGTGGGAGGAGAGTCGCGAAGAGCGGATTGGGACTTGGCGGGACTTCCAGAAGGGGCGCAAACCTGGTGATGAGAAAAAGAAAAAGAAGAAGATGAAGGTGCTTGGATAAGCATCTCATGACATTCGGGATGTTATCGCATATCATAGCTAGCTCACAGTGCACTATACCTTATACACTGTCCACAACTTCACTTATGCAATCTAGCAACTCTCCGGCGCCGGCGGCCCATGCACTTGTACTTCGACATTGCGATAAGCACAAGGGAAATATCTAGAGGATTCGATGCAGCTGCGCAGATGATCGTTCTTATTCCAACACCCATGTAACCCGAAATAAGAAATGACCCGAAACCTGAAGTTCCGCGGAATTTCCAAATCATGTTCGCACTGCCCTCCCCACATGGGATTAGATCATTCTGAATTGTCCGAATGCCGAGAAACCCACTCTCCCCGCCTTCACCTCCGTTCTGACCCTGTATCTCACCACTATTCACAATGGCCGAGTCCACGGCATCTGGAGAAAGGATGTCCGAGCCTGCCATGGCTCAATCGATTGCGCGCGCGCTAGAGCATCTGCGCCCGTTTCCTCCGATCGACCCAGCCCATCGCGGGGTCGAGCAACCATCTGATCCGACCAGCTCAACAACACCGGCGCAGCAGAATGGATCACAAACACACAATAGAAATGGAGCCACTGACGCAGCGATTCCTCCCTCGCCACGGTCATCGAGCGAATTCATGCCCGCATCCACGCATTCCTGAATGAGTCCCACCCTGCCGACTCACTCCTCGCCGCGGTCCAGAAACAAACTCGAATCTCCCTGAGACGTGGTCTCCAAGTCCCTATCCGAATACAAACTATCCGAAATATCGCTTTCCTACAATGGTGGCAAAGACTGCCTCGTTCTGCTTATCCTCTTCCTGGCCGGTCTGCACCCGTACTCTGCGCATCAGCATGAAGACCACAAGACAATCACCGAGACAAGCACAGGCCCCGCAACAGAAGAAATGATTCCCTCCATCTACGCTCTCCCGCCGGACCCGTTCCCCTCCGTTGAAGAATTTGTCGTCTCCTCCGCCCAAGCGTATCATCTCTCCATCACTAAATACACAACAAATCCTCCAAACACTACAATCCGCACCGTCTTCGAAGATTATCTCCACCGACACCCGGGTATCAAAGCGATATTCGTGGGAACGCGACGGACGGACCCGCATGGAGCGAAGCTGACGCATTTCGACCGGACAGATCACGGGTGGCCTAATTTCATGCGCATTCACCCGGTGATCGATTGGCACTATGCGGAGATCTGGGCGTTTATCCGCCATTTGGATCTTGAATACTGCGATCTTTATCGACAGGGGTATACCAGTCTTGGAGGAACTTCAGATACCAAGCCGAATCCGAAATTAAGGAAGCAGGGCGGACATGACACGGAATATTTGCCAGCTTATGAGCTGACGGAGGACATCGAGGAGCGACTTGGTCGGCATTGATGGTTGGAGACTGTATAGATGGAAACCCCCTTACTTGGCGATTTGTTCTTAGATTGTGCTTACTTGATACCTACGCCGGACCTGCGGTGAATTTCAATTGAGGATATCATATTTTAGACTGCGCAACCTCGCAATGGCGAGGGCATTTCGAGCGAATTGAAAAACATGCATCCCGAACAAATACTGCAGAAGACATGTTCCCCCTATAGCTGCAACGATGAACAGAATTACAAGAACAAAGTAAACAACATTTCCGTCAACTCCTTGGTCAATAAAGATAAGAGCGGAACGTTGAGATAAATTGTCCCGAAGGACATTTTCAAAACGCAGTGAGAAAAATGTAAGAAGACCTGAATGGCAAGAAATACTTGGAAGTATATTCTGCAGGTGGTAATGAATGTCGCGAATGAAGATGGGGAATAGCTCACAGTAGGCTTCGACTGAAGCTCCACGTGAATGAGATAATACTCATTCTCGTCAAATGCGTTGGCGGGTTAGGTGCATGAGCGTGTGCACGAGCGTGGGGTGGATACTTCAAACTCCATCCGCGATCGCAGAGGAGACACCGAGGAGGTCTTGATGCTCTCCTTTCGTGACGTAGACAGGTAGGAACGAGGCTCGCCAGAAGAGGATCTCGGCATGGCCGTCTTGGATGAGCCCCCAGAAATATCAGTCACGGAACGGCGAGCCTTGTATTGGCGCCCTCGATACACAGGGGTGTTCTCAATGGCGTTTGTCTTGACAGATGACAAGGGGTCGTTTCCAGAAGCATTCTTCATCAGGGCATACCTGTGGAATTTGTCAAAACATATCGCGAAGATTAGGGTGCATCTACTTTACTCACGTGGGAGAGATTGAAGATGCTGGAGTCCAATTTGAGCCAAGCCCAGCAGGAGAAGTGAAGCTGCCCTGGGAATTGGGCGTAAAGTGCGAGCTATTCTGCTGGTCATGCGGTGCCGAGGGCGATGGAGTAGACCCCTGCACAACCTCTACAGAGTAGTTGTATTCGCCAGCACGGTAGGCGCGGCGCTCGTTACTTTGCTGCTTCAGCATCTTTTGAGCCTTGGTGTCTGCGAAACGCAACAACAATTTGACACCGTTGTCCTTCACGGTGGTGTTATGAAACTGGCTCAGTACCCGCTCGGCGACGTCACGGCTTTCAAAACTGTAGACGAACTCGAAATTAGCACCTCTTGAGTAGAGTCATAACCTGAAGATTTTATTACCGGGCGAAGCCAACCTCCTTGCTGACGCCCGTTTTCTCATCGCGGCTGATCTTTTCCGACACGACGCGGTATGGCTCGAAGTGGCGACGCAAGTCCTTTGTGAACGTCAGCAAGGATCAATATCCACGAAGCAAGGATGCAGCCTTACAGCTTCAGTCCAGTCAATGGGAATGTTGGTACAGTAAATGTTGGTAGACGAGCTGTCTTCCAAGTCTTTGAGACGAGAGTTGCGGGACTTCTGGGCGAAGCTGGCCTGGTAACCGAGGTAGAAAAATCCACGAATGCAGTTCTCACACGACTCGAAGTTGAAGAATTGAACGAATCCAAAGCTACATCCGTGATTAGTACTAAGAGCGCAGAATATGGATCATCATACCCCTTGCAAAGACCTGAGTCCAGATCGACGATTGCCTTGCAGCGCTCAATTTTACCAAAGCGAACGGCATAAGAGTGAAGCATATCGTCAGTTGTTTCTGGGAGAAAACCGCGAATGTAAACATTTGTGATGCCCTCGCGATTTTCCAGGCATTTAGCGAGTGTCAGCTCGGACGGATTGGTCCACATGGCCGGCACTGCACGAGGGATTGCGGGCTCTTGCTGTGTCAAAGCTTCCAGGTCTTGAACCATGTACCCATTTGTAGTCTTCATCATTTGGAACGGCAGTGAGAGTGAGCCAAGTTGCGGGAAGAGGCCCCCATAGGCGTATCCTGGGAGAGCATTGGCATCCATGGTGGAAAGCAGAGGTGTGGGATAGTATTGCATGGGTCCGATATTCTCTGATCGCTGTGCATCGACAGAAGTCCATGCATTTTGCTTGGTGTTGGAGACATCCTGCACATCGTAGTTCATCACGTAGGGCCATCCAGGGTAAGACCCTGGAACTATGGAGTTGAGATTGGTGTAACCATTAGACGAAAAATAGGGATATTGAACCACCTGGTCAGTCTGCCCCGGAACAGAGCCTGTCATGAACTGGGTCATCTGGGGCAGGCCATTGAAAACGGGCGAATTAGGTAGCAGAAAAAAAGGGCTCGTATAGGGTGTACGATTGCCGGCCGACCAGTCTATGCTGTTGTTCATCGGGGTGGTGGGCGCAGTGCTTTTTCGATGGGAATCTGGAACGATGGTTTGAGACTTGGTACATGCGAGGCCCATGACCATTGGCGTCGCTGGTTGAGGTAGTCCCATTGAGGGAAAAACAGACCCGTAAGGCGAGCGAGGGTCATACTGGTTGGAGCTTTGGCCAGAGCTCGAGGTGCTTTTTTGTTGAGCTTGATGTTGCATTTTGTAATTCGCAAGTAACTGACAAATATTAGCCATATCATGGATCGCATCGGCCAACGATGGGCACAGCTGAACCCCACAAGAAATTTGCGTCTGTAAACAGCAAAAGGTCCAAACCCTTGAGTGTTCCTTATGTCCAGTAGAAAGTCTGGTGCAGGAGATGGGTGACATACCTTTTACACAGGGGGAGTATGTCAGCGTAGGCTGATCTGATCCGACCCTTCGATGGAAGACTAGATGCAAATTAGTCGAATGCTCTCATCACAAGTTCAGATGCAAGCGGCAGCCGCATGAGTCAAGCTCACCAGAGATGACTCGTGTAAAGCAATGACTTCAGGGAATACTAAAACAAAACAACAAGGAATTTTCGCCAGAGCCTGAAGTGAAAATGGGGCTGGAGATTGGAATATTGAAGCTGATGAGGATGAAGCAGCCGATGAGACAAGTCATGAGATGGATGAACAGGGAAGAAAGATGAATCGGAGAAATGAATGAGTGGTGAGGGCGGATGTTGGGAAGGGAAAGAGCGCACCTGCTGCCAGACAGCAGGAGCGATGTCGTGGTGGCGACGCGATGATAGAAAAGATGAGTTCAATGACGGATGCAAAGAAACAACAAATACATTGTAACAAGTTCAGATGAATACGAAAAGAAAAATGGGTGAAATGGAGGGTGATGAGAAGTGAATGTTTGGAATATCGTGACGCGAGGTTATGTATTGCAAGACGACCCGCCATGAATACATCAGCCGGTATCCCGGGGCGAGCATTTGATGGGTTATGATTCTATTCCTTAGCCATTCAAGAGGAGTAAAATTCGTCTATTCCGACTCATAGAAGTGACAAGTAGACTGTCGAAGGAAACGGAGAATCACTTTAGATGCTTATAGCACAGCTTTGGAAACATGGAACAGTCACTCAGACTTGCTCTGCAGCCACTGATATACAACGGAGAAATCCTTGCCACGGTGAGCTTCTTCCACAGCATTGTAAACATTGCGTGCCTCGTCACCGAGGGCCAAAGTAGCGCCCGCCTGGTCCGCGGCCTCAAGAGCCAGCCGTAGATCCTTGTTCATCAGACTGACTCCAAATCCGCCTTCGTAGCCGCGCGATGCGGGTGCAGACTCGACCACCCCTGGGACAGGGTTATTGACTTCCGAGGGCCAGCAGCGACCGGTCGATGAGTTGATCAGATCAGCTAGCGCCTTGGGGTCCAATCCCCAGCGGATACCAAGATTCATGGCCTCGGCAGTTGCAATGTTGTTGATTGCCAGCATGTAATTGTTAGCGAGCTTGCCTGAGACTCCAGAGCCTGGCTCCCCAAGGTGCCATGCCTTCTTGCCCATGTGAGCCAGGACTCCTCGGATACGCTCGAGGAATTCTTCCGACTGGGAGGAAGCGCCGAACATGAAAGATAGAGTACCTGCCCGAGCGCCAACCACACCACCCGAGACTGGCGCGTCCACGAACCTCCCAGCTTGCGTAGTGTGGATTGCGTTAGCAATATCCTTAGATGTCACGGGGTCAATGGTTGATGTGTCGATAAATAGACGCTCCTCTTCGAGCGCTGGAAGCTTGCCGTCCTTGAGAATGGAATGGAACACATCAATGACATGTTGTGACTCGGGAAGACTGGTAATCATGACAGTCTAAAACAATTGAGTGCGATCATTAAACTTTGTTCAGGGGTCGAATGCACAGGAGCGGCATGATGGAGTCACGGAAATGCTTTGGTCAAGAATAACACTCACCGACTTCTCTGCAACTTCACGCGCATTCTGGGCGATCTCAACACGGCTCTCACTGGGATCGTGAGCGGTTTCTTGAATTTCCGCCACAAAACGTTTGGCGGCTTCCTCGTTGACATCACGGATAATCAAAGTGTCGGATGCGGGGATCTTGGCGCGTAGGTTCTTGGCCATGTTGTAGCCTGTATGCGATTAACACAGTGAAATGATTCTAGCTTCAGCATGCACTTACCCATCTGCCCTAGACCGACAAATCCCCATGTTGCGTCGCGGTGCAGTGTGGTTGAAAAACCTCGGGCCAATTGCGGGGAGCTTGTAGTGGACGGCCAGCGTCGGAGGTTCCCCGGATTGCGGAGAAGAGCCGTCCGGGTAGAGAGTATGCAATTCGGGCACTCATCGCGAAGTTGAAGAAAGGCCGAGTTTCACGATGGGTATGGTGAGCTGTTCAAACATAAAAAATGAGTAAATGCACGCAACCTCTGGGCCTGGGGGAGGGGCATTTAAGAGGAGCACCTAGGCCGTGGCTTTCCGAGCCCGACGGACGCAGGGTTCCCGGTGCTCGGTTGCGGGGAAATGAGGATGGAGTCACGTGCATTGTATAGCATCGTCATTCTTGTCATTTACTCGAGTCTACTTTGTGTAGAAGATGTATTGATCGTGCACTATATCGAAAAGACCCTAAATGTCATTTGACACGGGATGCCCCGAAGGAAATGTGTCCTGATGTGGTATCCTCAGGGGTATTAATCAAGCAGCTAAATTGATCGAATGCTGGAGAGAAGAGCACGTATCGTCACGCGCAGCCTTTCGCTCGTAACATTTGGGCTTAGTATAGGCAAGTGGGAGGATTGATGCACTAGGCCTTGGCAGGCAGGGGCTGGACAGGCCACATAGGACCACATGAAAGGCTCATCGAGCTCAGCTTTGCTCGATCGAGGAGCTCATACAGTCTCGATGGAAGTGGTCCAAATTGCTCTCGCATGAAAGATAGTCTTTTGCCTGGAAAATGCGCAGACTGAACGGGAACTGGGACGCTATTAGAATATTCTGTCGGTTTGAGTGGCCGATCCAATACCGCTTTCGATCCAGGCTAATTACTCCCAGGACTCGCTTGCCTTTGACTACGCCTCTAATGTCGCATTTACATTCGTGGATGTGGTAGTTTTGACTCATTCTTTATACTACTTCAAGCGAAGTTTGTAGGAAGAAGAAGACCGAAAAGTCCCTTCATCACTCATCAGATGTCATTTTGATGTTGATTCAGATTAGAGGAATAAGGGAGATAGCAGAGTGAGAGATGTAAAATGTCAAGCGTAACGGCCGCTAAACGATGCCCATATTCAGCGCGACTGATAACAATATTGAACAAGAAGAGAGATTGGCATGCCAGTTGAATACGATGAGATCTTTAGTGTGAAAGGCCAAATCGTCTCTACGCAAAGTCCTGTACGCCATGGTGGGAATATTGGCATCGCTTCTTTGATCCAACCCACGTCTTTCATTGGACCAGCATCAGAACAGCGCTGTGAAAAGGCCTTGGCCTCCACTCGAGAACCTTTCATCGAGAATTTGACGGATCGGATAGCTAAATGATAATTTCCGATATTTGATGATCTTCTGTAGTCCGGAATTTGTAATAAATTTACATGTCTAACTCCACGATTTGACTAGATTGAAGGTCAAATACAAACAGGGCTTGAGAGCCTCAGCCCACCATGGGGCAGCTTGGTGTGCTTAGTCAGTAGCTTAAAAAGCGCCAAGCAGACCGAATCCACTGTCCATCGAACCCTTACATCTGGTCGCTCGATCGACTCATAGCGCAGCACGTAATGGTGACCCTGCGAAAAAATGGTCTGCCATCGTCGTGCGAGCCGTGTCGGAAGACTAAGCTACGCTGTGACCATGAACTTCCAATATGTGGGCGATGCGCTCGTACAAACAAGCAGGACCGATGTATCTACCAGCCTTCTCCAGCCACGACATTCAGAGCTGTCAACAGATCAACGCCAGCACGCTCAAAAGAGCGATCACGCCTGTCAAGTCGTGATGTGACTCCGCTTGATTCCAGCCGTGAGGATCGGTCAACTCCAAAGAGGAGAGGAATGCTACACTCCGAATACCTTGGAATGACGAGTCACTTTGCGCTTTTCAAGGAGAGTACTGATCAACTGGACATCTCAGAAACTCATGATAGACAAAGTCATATTGATGTAACTCAAGATCCCAGCTCAAGTTTCATGGTCGACCACGGGGAGATACGAAAGGGTGCACACCTTCTCCGCCTTCTGAAAGACCTCCCGTTGTATCGGAGGATCGTGACATCATGGCTTAACGCAACGCAAGATTGTGATGCTCTGGGTGAGCTGGTGATGGAACATGTTTTTCATTCACTCCAGGAGCTCTCTGATGTACACTCACTCCCTGATGATGCCTTGTTCAGTCGTTCGCTCGAGATATTTCATCTATCGTCAAAACCAGTCCCATTACACTCTTCGCTAACCTTTTCGGAGTTTATGTCATCTATGTCTTTCAGGTGGGAGATTATTGGTCTTGCTTTCACTTTTGTGGGTGCCGGTGCTGTTCTACCTGGTGATTGGGAGTCACTATTCCAACTTGAGGGCAAACCGGTCATCTCTCGGAAAGACATGGGCTACTTGGCATTATCAGCGACGGAGACATGCTTGAAATTCTGTAATGATGCTGGCATATTGAATGATGTCGTCAGTTGGTTAACTTGCCAACACACTTATCTCACTACCTTCATTCACGGAGATCGAGGTAATTCGTGTGAGCTTTAGCGACGAAGCGCATCCGCTTACACGTGTATTTTTACAGACTACCGTGGTTGGAGAGCGCTGGGGGATCTGACAACTGTCATCTTCACTTTGGGTCTGAACCAGCCGTCATCCGATAGTGACATCCCTTTCTGGCTTTCGGAGACTCGGAAAAGGATAATGGGGTCTGCTTATAGCGCGGACAAACAATCGGCCACCTTCCTGGGAAGGCCACCACGCCTAAGCTGGCGGTTTTGTAACATCACTCTACCCTTGGATATCAGTTTTCGGGAAGTTGTCGCCGAACCGAGTGTCAGGGATATGGCAATTAGCAGGCTAGATGCCGACGGCTGGAGCAAAACGAGAAGCGACTCACAAGCAGTCTGGGTCAGGGTTGCTTTGTTGATGGGCCCGGTACGAGAAAGCATTTTAGAATTATCACTGAACCAGCAGGTTGAGGGTCTCCCGGCAAAGATTGAGTATGGCCTATTCCTCAATTTGACGTGACTATTGCTGAGTTCTACCCAAGGCAACTGTTGCAGCAGTCTGATCAAGTCTGGTCGAAGCTCCCATTCTTCATTCGGGAAAGCCATGATCCATCCGAAGTCCGGGACATTCCAGAAAGCATCTTCCTTCAGGTTCACCTGGACTATATCTTCAATCGGTTTTTATTATATCGAATCCTCTCAAAGCGCCTCAACACATGGAGCCCGAACCTTGTTATGGTCTCGCATGAGGTTCTGCGCGATATTCTCTTTGCTTGTTGAAAGTCGCATCCGAGCCATGAAATCTTCTGGTGAACTTTCTTGGGTGGTGACTATGTCTTGCTCCCTCGCGTTCCAGCCTTGGCCGCTGACCTTTTATTCATAAGATGTCTTTTTTTGGCCTACCGGTAGCCGGCGTTCTTTCAATCGAGCTCATCCGGCGGGCTTCCAATCAATCCGTGGACACACCCGGCCCCTCGTTAGAGTCGGCCATCTCATTCTCCCGATCACAGGCTATTCAGGACCTGAGCATTTTTGCATCATACCTCCAAACAATCATTAAACCACATGAAGGCAACTATGACATATGCCAGCAGGCCCGAGGCACCATTCGACGCGTGCTAGACTTTGTTCTGTCACCTGAAGCCGCTCAGCCAGTCCATCCGGCCATGCAGTCAAGCGCCCCCAACTTACAACCTCCGAACAGCTCTGATATCGCAGACATATTCTTGGATTACAACTACTATATAACGCATCTCGATAATTGGCAATTTGACCTGCAAAATAGCTTAGATATGCTGTGATTACAATGTCTAGGGGTGGGTCATCTGTCATCTGTCATCAGAAAGAGAATTATACCGCAAGGACTATGCTTCATCCCTGTAAATTTTGATTTGTAAGGGAGATGAAATATTCAGACAGTGTTCGCTTGGTCGCGATGTGCCAGTAGATCAAAAGTGGGGGCCCATCCGGAGTCGGGATCGGGGTCGGAGTCGGGGTAAGCTCAACATTGTTTGCGGTTTCAGGGTCGGAGTCCAGATTGGGAATAAAAATAAACCTACATGAATTTCAAATCGAATAAGTCTAGCACGCCATGTCCTTTCTTGTCGCAGTGGAACCGAGCTCCGAATCATCCTGGTAGCCCGATTCGGGTTCCGAACCAATCCTGTCCGAGAACCACCATGAGGCTTAACTAAAATGGTGCCCGAGTCCTTCGCACTCGCACGAGCCACCACATTCGTAGGGCTAGGCTTCCACTGCCACCTCATCCAGGCGACAAAATTCTGCATCTCGGAGTCGGGGTAAAGCTTCAGAATATCAACTTCGTTGATTAACACGCAAGCTTTGTTTTGCCTAGATGGTGGCGTTGACTCATTGGGTGTCAGGATGATTCGCGATGAGACATGGAAGTCTATATAAGTCAAGTCCATCCTGTCTGAAATATGCCCATCAACCACACCTTCAATCAATCTTGTCGTACTTGCATTGCCAAATTCAACGACAACCGACTCACAAATATCTTCACTCTGTTTCACTCAATCTACACAAAATCATCTCAAGCCATGGCCGGCTTTACCATCCAACGATCACCTACCGGGCCCCTCACTCCTCGTCCTCGCACTGATGTCGAGCTTGCGAAGGATGCATGGAAATACTTGAGCCAAAAGGTCGAGAAACGTCGTCAAAAACAAGCTTCCAAGTCCGAATCAAGCACCAAGAGCTATGATACCGACTCCAAGTCAATAACCAGCAACGCCGATACACTTATTGGCGATAAGTCGAATATGAAGAAAGGGATGAAATGATTTCTCGTCTTTGGTTTTTCGGGAAATGGTGCATAACGTCGGCTACATGTGTTTATATCATCGGGCGTATTTAAGGATGGCCAACCTCGATGAGATTTGAGAGGGTATCTGATTTATTAGGATTTTGCTATGAAGAGTCACACGATAGTCAAAATCTGAATCAAATTGTTTGTTAATTTGAGGCGTTGTCGTGACGAGATTTCGCATCACCTGCGCACTGGACTCTTTAGCATGATCCCTCTGAGTATAATCAAGTTTGCTGCATACATGGATGGTAGAACCTTGGAGCATCACCCTATCAGCGATGATAATCATTCACACGCTCTTCATGCCCAGGTGTCTGCGCAGGTCGGCGAAGATTCAACACAACACGGAGGTACATTGTATGCAGTAGCGCGTTTTCACCCCAGCTTGACATTCTAGTTCATAAGCTCAGCTCCCAGTTTGCCATTATCTTTAAATGGCCAGACATGAGAAGCTGTGAGAGGTGGTTGGAGGTGGTTGTTGTTAGATGCAATCAACCTGAATATCTTGTCAATCGGCTGGGGAAAGGGAAGTGAAAAGGACGAAAAGTTGACCTGGACATCTCGATTCGTTATCACGTCATTACCGCGGGGCCAAAGACCTCGGTCCTCCCAAGGAGCCATTTAAGTGCCACAGGAGCTACCGTTGGAGGTCCTTACGGAATTAATCATTTTCAGAATCCGGGAAGAAGCAGTCTAAATCCGAAGAGCGCGGGAAACCCCCGGCGATCGCGATGACACCCGGGGTCCACAATGAGGGGTTGTGATTTAAAGCCGTATTCAAGGAGCAGCTTTTTATCGACGAACAAAAATTCAATCCGTTGCTGCCTTTCGTGGAGGCATCTTTTGGTCGTTGAGAACTTTTCTCTCCACTCAGTATGACGACAATTCTCAAAACGCGCTCCTTGGGCGACATCCGAGGTAAAAGTGAGGGGGGGCGTTACTCAGTTCTTAGGAATCAAATATGCCAATCTCAAGGATCGATTTGCGGATGCTGAGCTGATTGAAGAACGGAAGGGTGACATCCTCGATGCCTTGACCGATGGGTTAGTTCATTTAGCACTGCAAGAAAATCATACATGCTGATAGCTCGCCCAGGCCTACGGCGCTGTCCCTGCCAGTTGGGTGTGAGATAGAGCTTGGACACGTCCAGCATTCATTGCCTGGAAAGGAATTAACGCAATCCGACATCGATTGCCTCAATCTGAACATCGCATGTCCCTCAGATGCCAGCTCGTCGTCGAAACTTCCTGTGCTTGTCTACATTCATGGCGGTGGCCTCTTTATTGGGGCCAACTCCTGGCCTCAAAATGATCTTTATCGACTGGTCAAGCTGTCCACCGAGAAGAGACTACCTGTAGTGGTCGTTGCCATCAAGTAAGACCACATGAATCATTCCTTCTCATCTGTATCGGCTAACAATTCTATCAGTTATCGATTGGGAGCGCCAGGCTTTTTGACATCCGAGGAGCTACGTAACGCGGGTTACCACGCGAATAATGGACTCCGAGACCAGCGCGTGGCTCTAGAGTGGGTTCGAAGGCACATAGCGGACTTTTCCGGAGATCCAGACAACATTACTGTAGCAGGAATGAGCGCGGGAGGAGGTAAGATATGACTCCTGGAGATCAAAGTCTCGAGGTTCATTGATGCTAACCTACCTAAGCATCGGTGACTTACCATCTTCAGTCCAAAGTTCCACTCTTCAAGCGGGCAATATCGATGAGTGGCACGTCATTATTCGTTCAGGCTCTGCCGTTTAACGTACACGAGGAAAACTATGCAAATGCAATTGCCGCTTTGGGATTAACGGACCTGACCGCAGAAGACCGGTTAAAGGCATTGTTGAACATGCCAAGTCATGAGCTTCTCGCCAAGCTCCCTCCATCAATTTTGGTGGCTCCAGCCATTGATAGCGAAATCGTTCTGCCGGGCGTGACATACACCGAGCTTGGAAAAAAGGACTCAAATGTTCTCCCAGGCAATTCATGGTGCCAGGATTTGCTGATCGGAGATGCGGAAGCTGACGTAGGGTTCTTACAATGAGTAACTTGGCCAGAACTAACTGTGTGCATAGGCCAGCATACTGCAGGTGGTGGCACCGCACATCAACACCAACAGTACGAAGCGTTTCATTTCTGCGGCTCGGCAAGTTCTCGCCCGTATCCCGGGAAGCAGAACGCATACTCAATGCTTACGGAATTACGATGGACACGCCCGACGAGAAGTCGATTTTCTTAATCCTCAACTTCATCTCAGATATCATGTGCCACGCAGCTGCCCTCAGCTTTGTCCGTGGTTGGAGCGGAAATGCCTATGTGTACCACTTCAACGAGGGCAATCCATGGGATGGACCATGGAAAGGTCGCGCAAACCACATTCTTGACACTGCCTATCTCTTTCAGAATTTCATTGAATATTTGAGCCCGGAGCAGCGAGCTGTTGGACTTGCGCTTGCGGAGGACTTCTTCAAGTTCTGTCACGGGATCAAGCCATGGCCTACTATCACTCCTGGAAATATCCGTGACGGGTTCTCCGCTCGGGTCTACGGACCTAGCGACAAAGGAATGATTTCTCGCGTAGCGACGGAGGCTTTTGGAGGTGTCAGTATGCGCAGAGGTATTCTATTTGACTCTGCTGATTCGGTGTCACTGGATGAATATGCAAGGGTCTTTGCGATCTTCATGACTAGCTAATTTTGTATCATCCATTCTTACAATTCGATTCATTCGTCACGCGTTAGTTGCAGATTCCGCGAGCATTCTACCACTTCAAAGAAGTTAAGATCACCAAGGATCGTAGTGATTAGATTAATAATCCGGCCGAGTAAGATGAATTGGACCGAGGGTATCGCGTATCGCCCTCGGGTGAACCGAATTAAAATTCTCTGGTGGGTCCGGGAAGCTCCCCCATCGCCCCCTCAAATACCCAAATCTCTCAAGCTGCAATAGTTGCGCGCCTGCTAGTTTGTGGGTCGGCATGTAATCGCGGTACTCTGTCACTGCTCGCCTTTCTTGATTTCGCGATAGTGCTATGATGATCATCAGCTTTACTTAAACCCATCTGCAATTCACTAAATCCTGAAAATCGGTCTACTTTCACATTTCGAGACGCATAATTCAAACAATGCCGTCCAAGGTCTACCGCTCTCCACTTCCGGATGTCAGCATTGAGTCTGTAGACTTGATTTCATATCTCTTTTCAAATCCCCTTGGCACCCCTCAAGACCGGCCACTGTACATCGATGCGGTCTCTGGAAAACAGTACACCTTTGGTGATGTCTCCCAGCGCACCAAATCTCTCGCAAATGGACTTCGCCAGAGCTTTGGTCTCAAAACAGATGATGTGGTCGCATTATTCAGTCCCAACTCCATCGATTATCCAGTGGTGATGTATTCAGTTATTGGATCTGGTGCCATTTTATCTCCTACAAGCGCAGCCTTGACGTCGTTGGAGCTCAACGCCCAGCTTAAGACAAGTCAGGCTCGGTTCATCATTGCCCACTCATCTTTGCTCGAGACTGCACAAAAGGCTGTGAAGGGGACTTCCGTGGAATATCTCATTATTCTGGATGGCTCCACCCCGATCAATGGCCAGCCTACCTGTGAGCATCTTGCCAGCACCTTCCCACCTGCTGCTCTATCGACGATTTCTTCAGCTGATGCGGCCGAGAAAATTGCATTTATTTGCTTCTCATCCGGTACATCTGGTCCTTCCAAAGGTGTCATCACCACACACCAGAATGTGACATCCAACCTGCAACAATGGCGTGCCCTCAAGACGGAGTCCGGTCATCCTGATGAACCAGTCCAGCGCGAGTCAACGGTTGCATTCCTCCCACTCAGCCACATTTACGGATTGAACCTCTACATGTGCCAATGCCTGCTCTGGGGCACTACCGTCATCGTCATGGCCCGATTCGACCTCGACTTATATCTAAACTGTATCCATAAATACCAACCGGAAGACCTTGCATTAGTACCTCCCGTCGCTCTCATGCTTGTCAAGGACGATCGAGTTTCCAAGTACGACTTGAGTAGTGTGAAGCGCATCATGTCTGCCGCGGCACCCTTGACAAATGAGCTTCGCTGTTCACTTGAAAAGAATTTCAAGGATCTCTATCAAACGGAAGTCTTCTGCACCCAATCGTGGGGGCTCACTGAGACGTCTCCTCTGGCAACTGGAATTCCGACTGGTCGCATGGATAAGCGAGACTCGGGAGTTGGATGCATTGCTCCCAGCATGGAATTCCGCTTTGTTGATCCAGAGACAATGATGGACGTCGGTACAAACCCAGACGGGTCGAGCCAGTCGGGGGAAATCTGGTGTCGCGGACCTAATGTGACTCGAGGCTACTACAATAACGAAGCTGCAACCAAGGGCTCATTCCACATTGACTCCGATGGCACGAGGTGGTTCCGGACAGGAGACATTGGTCAGATCGACAAGGAGGGCTATGTCGCCATCCACGATCGCATCAAGGAGATGATCAAGTACAAGGGTCTCCAGGTGATTCCAAGCGAGCTGGAAGGAAAACTCATCGACCACCCCGACATCGCGGACGCCGCTGTCATTGGTCAGTGGGTTGATGAACAAGCTACCGAGCTTCCCGTTGGATTCGTGGTACTTAGTCGCCAGGCGAAAGAAAAGGATCTCAAGGCCGTGATCGGCGCGATTCATTCATGGCTAAACCCGACGATCGCGAACCACAAGCGACTCCGAGGCGGAATCCATATAGTAGATCAAATCCCCAAGAGCCCGAGCGGAAAAATCCTGCGAAGACAGCTCAAGGAAAATTTGAAGATCACGAAACCGAAAGCGAAGCTGTGATTATTTGGATGTCATTAATTTCACTCATTGATCCCATTCAAACATTTGAATATCACACGGTGCCCGCGGACATAGCCACGTGGACTGTGTCCCACCAGGCGACTTCAAAACTGTATATAGACCGCTTCGAGCGTGAGCCTGCTTTTCAATCAAAGGATCAAATCAAGAATCAAGAAGCACTGGGCAAAATGCGGTCCGATAAGCTCGGTATGCACGAATGCGGTAAAGTGGCGCACGTCTTGGGGCCCGCGGGGCGCGCGGTCGGAGCAGACTCTATTTCCGTTCAATTTATTTGCATGTTCGGTGTCAGAAAGATTCAGAGCGCAACGGAAGTTTATCAATGTCATATCTTGAATTCTACTTTTTTTTTTTTTGTCAAGCTCTGTTGTCCCTCATAGATCCTACGCCAATACCGCATGTTTGCACAGCACATCCCTTACCTGTGAACTTCCCCATGTGACGTGTACCGGGACCCGCTCTGCTTGACTATTGAAAAAAAAAGAACCATGGGCTTGTTGGGTTTCTTCGGATTCCCCGAAAAGGGCGAACCTACGCGGCCGAAGCTTGTTGAGCTTAGGTCTGCCAAATGGTTTATAATGTTCACTGTTTCTTTCGCGGCTTCTACGGTAGGTGTCTATCCTGGTATCTTGCATGGCAGAAAAGTGGCTGACTTGGGAGAAGGATATTTTTTTGTATGGCCTGGTATGATATGATATTTTGAAAGAACTCTGCTTTACCGTTCAATACAAATCTAACGAGCCCTTCTAGATTGTGCCTGTCACACCTACAGCATTGGAGCGGAAAGTCGGTCTGTCACCAGATAAAAGTAGGTCAAGGTCTTTGTTTTTTTGTCTTTGTGCACTGTGACTAAATACAAGGTTTGAAGTCCAAACATGGACCTCAACTCTTCTAGCTTTATACTCGGCGGCATTATTGGCTTTCTCCCGTGAGTAACTATCATACTGTGAGAGATGCGAGCACAACTGACTTCTTTCGATCAGCTGTTGTCGGGTATGTAGCAGACCGCGCCGAATCCCGACGGTGGCCCCTTCTCCTAGGCCTCGTTGCACTAGGGGCTGCCACTGCCCTTCTGTGTATTGGAACTAATATCGGTTTATGGGTCGTCGGTCGTCTTTGCCAGGGCGCTGCCGCAGCGGTTGTCTGGACCGTTGGCATCGCGTTAATGGTTGATACGGTCGGTAAAGAAGGCCTCGGTCAGGCCATTGGATATGTCTCTATGTCATTAAGTGTTGGCACTATTGCTGGACCTCTTTTGGGCGGCGTCCTTTATGAAAATGGAGGATACTATTCTGTATTCGGTCTTGCCTTTGGGTTAATCGGCATTGATATTTTCCTCCGGCTCGTCTTGATTGAGAAGCGACATGCTGCTCCCTGGATATCACCTGAAATGAAGCCTTTGGCCTCTAGCGAGGAGAAGGGCAAAAAAAAGCCGTCCATGGGTTCGATCACGGCATCTCCTGCAATTGTCAACGATGCGACATCCGACACATCTGCGGAAAAGCCAGTGGCACATAGCCCTCTAAGACAGATTGCCAGTCTTTTGAGCTCATATCGGCTGATAGTATCGCTCTGGGGGTACTTCGTCATTTCATTGGTGCTGACTTCCTTCGATAGTGTTCTTCCAATCTTCGTGGAGGAGACATTCGGATGGAAACAGACTGGACAAGGACTCATCTTCATCCCACTCATGGTCCCGCATGTCCTGGATCCGATCACTGGCTTTATCATCGATCGTTATCGCTGGACTCCGCGCTATCTCACGGCGGCGGGATTCCTCTGCGTCGTCCCCGTGGCGACCCTCCTGCGTCTTGTCAAGGAGAACACCATGCATGATAAGATTGTTCTTTGCGCCCTGCTCGCCTTGCTCGGATGCTGTATTTCCATGGTCATGACTCCGATCGTGACGGAAGTATTCAACGCAGTCCAAGAGAAGGAGGACAAATCACCGAATATATTTGGCCGTGGAGGGGCCATGGCTTTGGCTTTTGGCCTTTCCAACATGGGCTTCGCAGCAGGCAGTCTCATCGGCCCATTCTTCGCTGGGTTCATTCGCCAGAATGCTGGCTGGGGCACCATGGGATGGGCAATGGGCCTGGTTGCTGGTGTGTCCGCAATCCCCAATTTGCTGTTCCTTGGTGGATGGATCCTAAGGAAGCCAAAGCCAGCTGCAGCTGGTGATCAGCCAGAGTCAGAGAACTCTTAAAACAAAGTCCTAGATATCTCTTGTTTCTTGCATACATATGTATATAACAAGCTCCCATTCTCATCTCTGCACATGGCTAGAATGTTCCTTCTCACAGTAAAGTCAATAGATCTTCCCTCATTCTTATTTGGTGCAACGAGTGTAGATCGGCCTCGGGGAGGAATCGATGCCTTGCTGCCTGGCCACGGGCGTTTTTACAACCTACAGACACATTTCGACATTCAGCGACGACAATCGCATTGCCCTTCAACACTCGGTATTTCAAATCTTCACTGTGTCTCAAGCCGCTTTTTGGAAATCCTCAAATTGCTTTATCCGCAGCCGAAGCCCCAAGGCTCCCCACAAGTGGGTTCCCCGCAGCCCCACGGCGTCCAAAGTCGAATGTTGCTGCGGACCACGATGGATCTGGGGGTGAGTGCCTCGGGAATTGAAGGCTCGAACAATAGCCGAGAACGACTACCCCAGAGTGTTCCGTATCATCGACTCTAGTACACTGTCTTCACTATCGTGTCACTAATGATGGCACCACCGGAAGTTCACCACGCAACTTTGAATGCGACTTTCAGGGGAATTCAACCGGATGGTCAAGTCCCTGTTCATCAATTCTTGGGAATTAAATATGCAAGTGTTCCTGCGCGGTTTGAGAAATCAGAGCCGGTGAATGATTTGGCGGGGGCTGTTGTTGATGCGACGAAATATGGGTATGACACCGCTACTACTTTCCAGGCGATCTTTCACTTAAGGATTCTGACATGAGCAAACAGCCCGCGATGTCCCCAAATGGAGATAGATGTTCGACATCTACTTCGGATCCCTGAGGATTTCAAAATTGCCCCAGAGCCGGAAGATGAGTTCGAGTGTCTGAATCTTGAGATCACTTGTCCTCCGCTGTCTTCCGTTAAGGAGCCACTTCCAGTTGTCGTCTGGATTCATGGTTTGTTTCTCTATTTGATTAGTAGTACTAAATATCTCATTGTTTTCGACAGGTGGCTCACAGATCGTCACGTTTTGCTCCGCAGCATCGAAGATTTGCGGTGCGTATTGATCCTACACGGTAACTTCATGTATACTGATCCTAGGCTAGATCCCACCAAGCTCGTGTCGGATTCGATCGTAGCTGGAAAACCCATCATATTTGTTTCGGTTAACTATCGTCTCAACATCTTCAGCTTCGGAGATGGCAAGGAGAAAAATCTTGCCCTCAAGGATCAACGACTTGGTATTGAGTGGGTTCGCAAGAATATTTCATCATTCGGTGGTGATCCAGTAAGTTTCCCGAATAATCATTGGTATCTTGTACTAAAAAATACATAGAATAACATCACTCTCACTGGTGAGAGCGCCGGGGCCATCTATACCCATGCGCATCTGATCACAGGCCCTCCTGTCAAAAGGGCTATAATGGCATCGGGTACCCTTTACCTATCATCTCCATTGCCCGTAGAGCGAGGTGATGCGTTGATCAAGACATTGGAAGCAAAAGTGAAAGAGCTTGGGCAACCCTCGCTACGAGAATCTTCCGTTTCAGTGTTGATTCAGGCTCTGAAAGACTGCAAGGTGAATACCATGTGGATGCAAGAAGAACCCGAGCTGGCGGAGTGGGAGAGTAGGCCGGAGCAGGTGGAGGAGGTCATGATCGGCGATGTTGAATATGAGGTATTTCAAGGTCCAAACCCCAGTGATGATTGAAGCTGACCTGACTCCTAATCTGAAACAGTCCGTCATCTGGCGCAACGGTATTGAGGCACTGGACGGCGAAACTATAGGAGCCGCTTTCGAAAGCGATAAAGAATGGGGTAGCAAGCTTCGCAAGATGTACCATGTGATTTCCGATGAGCCTACGGCTGCAAAGCTCGGGGCTTTGGATTTTGTCAACGATACCCGTTACACACTTCCAGTTGAGATCGTCGCGAACAAGCTAGCCGCCGCCAATAAACGCGTTTACAAGTACGTCATTGATCAACCTAACCCCTGGCAACAATCGAGTCGCTCCCATCATGCAGTTGATCTGCTGTTTCTTTTTGAAGGAGTGGATCTTTCATTCAATCCTGCCGCACAGGCAGTAGGAAAAGAGATGCGACAGCGTTGGATCAGGTTCGTCTCGGGAGAAGCGCCTTGGCCTGCAGAGAGCCGGTTCGCATTCGGGCCTTTCGGCGAATGTAAGGAGATCGATGAGAGGCAATTCGCGGCGCGACGAAGAGTCGAGCCCTGCAAAGCGCTCGGAGAAGCGGGAACAGAAGTCTATCTCCCCATCCTCGGTGCACTCACCGCGGGACGAATCAGCCTTCTCAATTGAATGCACAATGTTGTTGTAACATGCAGTTGGATACATAAAACATCTCGTTACAAGCCTCCAGTCTATAAGAGCCATCACTTGTTTCAGCCAAGCAGAGAAGTATAGGCTTAATTATGTATCATCTCCTTGATTCCGTCCAGAGCTCGGCAGTTGCACACTCAACTGAGTCCCGCGACTACTTGTTCAGCGCTGAACAAGCGACCCACCAAAAGCATCTCAAGCCGTCGTTCAAATAGCTAGTGAATGGGGTTGATTGTCGATTTCCTACGCCTCCGCCGTTACTCAGACCTGACTCATGTGGGGTCGCGCACCCACGAATCGACTCGTCTGGTGTGGCCTCCCCACACGCCCACGGTGACGAATCGCGATCCTTGCCCGGGGAGGTCGGCAAAGCAAGTGTATCAACATATGCCGAGTAAGCATATCTCCAGGCTTGATCCTCAGCTGATGAGCTCCGCCATGACGAGACACGGGCCTGTTCTCCACGGTGGTCTCATTTCTTGGACATTCGATGTATACCCTATGGCTCGGTCCGGGGGAAGGCGTAACCCTACTGCCTGAACTGTGCCGAGTATATAGGACTCCTGTCCCGCGTGAAATATTGTCTTGAACATTTTTTGAATATTTTTAAACAATTTAATTGGCTTCTGAGAACGACATGCCTTCAACCAGTGACCTGGCCGACCTTTGGGAATATCAGAAGATATTCCACCGGCCGAGACGCAAAAGGATGGAACGATCCCTTCGTTTGCGACAAGACGCAACGATCCTTATAAAGTATGTGCCAATCCCTCAATCCTGATTTTATAATCTTACGATTTCTAGTATCAAGCTGGTTTTGGCAATGCGTATGTCCCCTGCATCTAGCGATTCAACTGGCTGATGTAGCTCACCAATATTAGCTTCGCCTCAGAAGCGGTGGCTGGTACCCTTCCACAAGGCCAGAACAGTCCCCGCAATGTTCGATTTGGGCTATACGCCGAGCAATTGACCGCGACTGCATTCGTGGCGCCACGACATGCCAACAAGAAGGCTTGGCTTTATCGTGCTCGCCCGGCCGTCGCTCACCAGGGATTCGTATGTGCTGAAGATGGACTTTGTGTAGTTCGGTACTAAACATCCATGTAGACCGAAATGCCCGACAACAAGGATACCGAATCGAACTTTCTTCCAATGAATCCACGCATTCATGTCTCGCCGACTCAGCTGGCCTGGCACCCCTTCGATATCCCCACCAGCGGTGAGGTCGACTTTGTCCAGGGATTGAAGACTATCGCGGGTTCAGGCGAGCCCACGCTGCGCGAGGGGCTGGCCACTCACGTCTACGCAGCCAACGCCAGCATGAAGAAGAAGGCCTTTGTCAACTCGGACGGCGAATTCCTGATTGTTCCACAACAGGGAGCACTAGACATTCAAACCGAGTTCGGACCTCTCTTCGTGCAACCCGGTGAGATTGTAGTGATACAGCGAGGCCTGCGTTTCCGCGTGGAACTTCCTGACGGGCCGTCGCGTGGCTATATTCTCGAGGTCTGGGGTACCTGCTTCGAGCTGCCCGAATTGGGACCCCTGGGCGCCAATGGACTGGCTAATGCACGAGACTTTTTGTGTCCCGAGGCTCGTTACGAGATTGCCCAAGAGCCCTGGGAGATTGTGTATAAGCTTGCAGGCAAGTTCTTCAACAGCAAACAGAACCACAGCCCATTCGATGTTGTGGCCTGGCACGGGAACTATGTATGGATTCTCTCCCTCATCTAAGCGTGGGACAAGATCTCAGCTGACTTTCCAGGTCCCTTATAAATATGATTTGACGAAGTTTGTCAATGTCGGCTCGATCTCCGTGGATCATATCGACCCAAGTATTTTCTGTGTGCTGACAGCCAAATCACGGGATTTGACCGCACCCCTGGCCGATCTACTTATCTTTTCCCCTAGATGGGATGTTGCTTCTCGTAGGTCTTTCCATTCCCCCGAGAACGAGGAATACCAGCTTGTATTTTCTAATTCCATTCAGACACCTATCGGCCCCCATACTACCATCGCAATGTAGCCTCCGAATTGATGGGTCTGATTTACGGAGATTATGGCGGTCGAAGTGACGCATTCAAGCCGGGAAGCGTATCGTTCGAATGCGGAAGTATGTGTACCTTACCTTACCCTCCCTGGTTTTTCAAGTCGAACCCCGCTAATCGCGATAGTGGTTCCCCACGGCGTTGCATATGAGGAATTCAAAGCGGCGTGCGAGGACGCACCACCGGTGATGCAAATCTCCGAGTCCTCGATTGCTTTCATGTTTGAATCCTGTCGGCCATTTACGATTACGGATTACGCGTGGAATAGCGACAAGAGGCATGAACATGAGCCTAAGATGTGGGACAGTCTGGTGGATAACTTCGCGAAGCATGCCAAGGAGGTCGAGGAAATCCTGGCCAAGACCAAGAATCTCTGATCCTAGGACACTACGCCCGATGTGCTGACTCTGGCCCCCCTTTGGCTGAATTGGGCCTGTTTGGCGCCCTTGACGATAATCGCGATTCTAGATCCTCCGCACATTCCAAACCGTCCTTGCAGTGAGCTCACTGTTTTGGTGATGAAGTCTCACCTGAAGCTGAATAGTGGTTCCATCATCCCTTCACTTTTTCCTTTTATGTATAGAATGTAATTAAAATAAGAGACTGAAGTTGACCACGATAACCTCACAATGCCCCAAAACCGACGATCCCAGATCACGGGGAGTCGGCCTTCTCGGCCCCCGTCCATTAAAGTCCGGAGCGCGACAAACCCCGACTCCGACCTCGACTTGTTGACGATAGGCGCTTGAAGATTGGGTTCGCTAATATTAACACAGGTTAAGCAAGGTTCCCATCGCTATGCGCCGTCACCCCTGTCTCGATCGATCGGCTCGGGCCATTTACATCGGCGCTGTTTACTGCCGAAGCCAAGGAAACAAGGCCGTGCAGCGAGCCCTAGGCTTATATAGTCGTTTGCTTTAGCTTCCAGTCCGAGAACTCGATTTTTTCGATTCCTTGCATACCAAGCCATTATTTGACATTCACCGGAGACTCGTGCCTGCCCTACACATAGCGCCTAGCTCCATCTATACGTACACAATCTCCTATCACAGCATTACCCCACACTCCTATTGGAACACTCATCACAAGCGTGGAATTGAAGTTATTGAGCAACAAATGGGAGGTCCATACGCCCCTACAACCGCCGCACTGGGCGGTCGTCCAACCAAGGACCTCGATGTCCCCATCTGCGCCGTCTTCCTTGTCCTCTTCGCCGCCGCCGCCGCCGGCCACATGAGAATCTTCCAACGCAACAGGAAACGAGGCCACAAGTTCATCCCTTCAGCTGCGACTTTTGGTTTCTGCATGTCCCGCATAATCGCAAATGTAATTCGCATCGTCTGGGCCTGCTACCCAACCAACATCTCGCTCGCGATCGCCGCTCAGATCTTCGTCGCGGCAGGCGTACTCCTTCTATTCGTGCTCAACCTGATCTATGCGCAGCGGATGCTCCGTGCGGCATTCCCTGCATTCGGCTGGTCTCGGTCGTTGTCATGGTTATTCAAATTTCTCTACGTGATCGTGGTCATCTCCATCATCATGGTGATCACGGTCGTGATTCAAAGCATGTACACGCTCAACGCCAACACGCACCGTATTGATCGCGATATCCAGCTCTACGGATCAACCTACTTCGCTATCGTCTCGTTCCTGCCTATTCCCATCGTCATGGCCATTCTCATCCTCACCCGCTTCCGGTCCGTCGAGCACCCCGGTGCCGGATCATGGCATACTCGGGCCTTCATCATCTTACTTGCGGGTTGTCTCCTTTGTCTCGGGGCTTCGTTCCGCGCAGGCACCACCTGGATGAAGCCTCGTCCGGTCACGGATCCAGCATGGTACCAGTCCAAGGCGTGTTTCTATATCTTCAACTTTGCGATTGACTGGACCGTTGTCATGATCTTTTTGGTTTCACGGAAGGACAAGCGCATGTGGGTTCCGGATGGAAGTAGCAAAGTACGACACTACCGTATTGGGGAGATTGACGAGAGGGAAAGAGCGAGGCAGAAGCCTCTCCTGAGCCGAACCATATAATTGTTTCTGCGTGGAATCAGCAGGAGAAGGAACGCGAGGCGCTTGCATAATGTCATGTGCTTTCCTCTTTGAGCTTGACTGATGCTATCCAAAATGTTTATATAATTTAATTAATAGTACATGACGTTATTAGAGCGGAGTTGGAAGACTGTATATATACTCTGGGCATTATTTACATCATCCTTATGGATTTACTTTCCTAGCAATGGGATTTGGACTTCATTACTTGCTTTCCTTGTGACTGAATCATGATTATAATGGATTAAACTTGTACCCTGCAGAGCAATGGGCTTTGGCTCGAGGATCCCAAACCAACTACCGACCCAGATACGTGCAGCACGCTAACTACACTAATTACACCGTCTGCTGTTCAAAGTCGGGCAAGCATCCGATTCAGCAGCTTGGAATCGAGCAGTCCTTGTAACATGTAATTGGAAGTCTCGCGGGTCTTTTTATTTTCATGATTGGTATCAACAGCCGGCCAGGCACCGAACCATACAGAATTAAGCGGACAAAAGCCCCGATCGTATGCCACCTACCTCCGCTAGCCCAGGAGCCTTCTGCGAGACAATAATGAAATCTATCACAGGAAGTAGTCGGGTGTGCGCCTCGATACCATAGGTTCTCCTGCTCTGGGGCAAGGGTCAAATTGTAGACTAAGGCAGGTCAGCATGGATCAGCAAAATCATTGAGTCATATACTCACAATGTGTACTTCAAATGCTCGTCAATCTCCATAATGGCGGCCTGGTTGCCGCAGCGATAACAGTAATTAGGCGCTAAATCGGTTAGTCGATATCCACACAATGCAAACATAGAGAGAAGGCGTACCTGAGAAGATGGTCACCACGTTACGGTCCTGTGACCAGTTATATCCCTCCATCACCAGCTGGTGCGCCCGAGCAACCAGAGTCAAGCCGTTGTTGTGGTTGAACGCTTCCGAAATGTCCTGACCAAATGTGTACCCCGCACCGCGAGGAGAAATTCCCCAGCCGCAGCGATCATCGGGATCACTCCAAAAGGAGATCGCACATGGGACCCTCGTGCGGGACTTCTTGAATGCGGTCCAGGGATCGGATGTTGTCGAGGGTATCGATGGACGGGCTCAGCCCACCGTGCAGACAGAAGATCTGATTTTCAATGAGAGCAGTGAGAGGGAGGTAGTCGAAGAGGTCGGTGAAGTATTTCCACACATTGGCGTTGCCGTATTTGCGCAGACACTCGTCGTAAAAGCCGTACACTTGGGTGATCTGGCGGGATTCGTGGTTGCCACGAAGGATGGTAATACGCTGGGGGTAACGAATCTTCAAACAGACCAAAAGGGTCACGGTCTCGACGGAGTAGTAGCCTCGATCGACATAGTCACCTGGATGATGTCGAGGTCAGTTGTGGGTCTAGTCCGGTCCACCAAACAAACATACCCATGAAGAGATAGTTTGTATCAGGGTTAGGGCCGCCGATGCGGAAGAGCTCCATTAGATCGTGAAACTGGCCGTGTATATCACCGCAAACCGTCACCGGGCATTTCTGTATTTTGATCGTCAGTTGATTGAGGTCGTGTCTCGATGCTCCCGCCAAGTCCGACCGGCAAGGAGAATCATCACATACCACTGGCTGAACATTCGATTCCTCTTGCAATACCTCTCGTGCCTAAAATGCAAGAAATCATCAATTCAGATCCTGCAGGGGCGATCCAGCAAGAAAACCCACCCGATCGCAAAGTCGCCGCACGTCCTCCTCCGCTAATTGCTTGCACGTCATCAAACTCTCGATCCAGCCATCCAAGGTGGGTATGGAGCCGGGGTCGCTTGTGGGCGAGAGGTGATGCGGCTCGGGTGACCGCGCAGTATCGATTTCCATATTGTTGTCCATTGTGGGCACAGCTGGCTGGGAACAGGGGAGGAGGGGCCAGCTGGGGAGGGGGGAGGGGCGGTCTCGTGAGAAACGAACAACCAGGTTATGTAGGGTAATCGAGGAATCAAAGGAGAGATAAGTGGAAAGACGTCAGAACAGACAGCAGTCACAACTTTCCCAACTTGACTCTAGGGATGAGCGGCTGGGGTGGGAGGGGAACAGGGGGAGAAAGAGATGGGAGATGCGGGAAGATCAAGTTTGGAGGTGAGTTTGCGCCACACTTGAGCCACACCGCCATCCTCGACGTATACTTCCTCTAATATAGTTGTATTATGTCTTCGTTGGTAACAATCCAAGTTTGTAATTTACACACTGTACAATTTCATTTCTCGCGTTTCATTATAGCAGGTCATCTCTTCGTACAATCAGGGACTACGTCCCATCTTTGGCTGACAGCTCAGATAATATCGCCGCCGAACCCACCTCCAAAGCCTCCACCCGGACCTCGACCAAACGGTCCTCGATTACCGCCCGTCGGTGGCTGTCCTGGCCAAGGAGGATCGTATCTGGCTCCAGGTGGTGCACGGGGGTCATAACCACCCACTCCACCAGATCCCCCAAAAAGAGGATCGTCGAACGTCGGATGCATGCCACCACCACCTCTGAAGCCAGGACCCATGGTGCCCCGGAGCGGATCATCGGGTCCAAGGCCCGCGGGATACAGATCACGGTCTCCAATATTGTATGGGCTTCTTCCGCCAGGGAAGCCAGGAGGGTATCCTCTCGGGGGGCGATTTATTTCGTACTCATCTTCGAATCCTGGCGGGGCAAAGTCACCAGGTGGGTCGGGTCGACGAGGAGCGGCAGCCAAAGGATCATCGAATGGGTATGGACGAGCAGGTTGGGGAGGGGAGTCATCTCGGAGGCGATCGCGGAGCCGACTAGTTTCCGCTTGTTCTCTAGGTGCTCGAGCTGGATCCTCATAGCCTTCCTTGTGCAAGCCGGGAGCTAGTTTCTGGATCACATTAATCTTGAAAAGCCCGATGAGATCGCTCAGTCGAGCCGGAGAGATGAAAACCTCGCGTAGGGCATCTGTGAGCTTGTCCGTGGGCTGCAATGGGAGAGAAGATCCGGAGATGTAATCTTTGGTAGGAAGATCGAAGGAGCTGGTGCGATCGTCGCCCAAAGCCAGTGCAAATACCACCGCATTATTACCAAGTCGGCTCACTTTGAGCAAGTACTGCATGGAGGACTGTGCGTGTGCGTAGCGAAAGGCAAAGGTATCATTAGCGTTCCATTCTGCGGGGAGGGTGGGACTCTCTGTTGATGATTCTGAAAAGGTTAGCGATGAGCAGGTATTAGCAGGATAGGGAAAGAAAGCGAACGTAGACTATGATCCTCTCCAAGCCCCACTAATCTGAAGTCCACTGCTGCCATGCAGGCATGACCGATTAGTGCGATAGCTTCAGCGGGTTTATGGAGACTCGGCTGCCCGTCACCGAGAGCTTTGGCTGCCAGACCGAGGATGCGATCCGGGCCCAAGACGTCTGTGTTTGACATGTTGCAAGATATGAGGATGGACCTCAGATGCACTCCAAGAGCTGGAAGGACTCAGTTGTGGCAAGTAGCAAATAGCCCCAGGCCGCATGAAGTGTATTGATGCGAGCTGAGATAAGCGGATCAACAATGATCCACTGACCCTCAACGTTGAACCAAGTATAGTGAGTAACGAAAAGAATGACCAAAAGGACAGGGGTGTGTAGAGTTATGTGTTGATTTATCGCAATGAAAGGTGGTGGAATTGAAATGTCCAGATTTGTTTATTGTGATATTTCATAATTGCAAAGTGGTAGTCACAAGAGGCTGTGGAGCTAACGAATGCGGCGCTCAGGATACATAGCTGGGCTATATATTGTCTCTCTCTACCTTGACGCACAGATGTGTCAAGCTAGGAAGCCTCAAGAGTCGGAATTAAGGTAGTCTTAATAGCTTGTACGAACGGATCGAGAGCGAAGTACATAGATGCTGTGTACAATAACTAGAAAATGACCGAGTGAGTGAAACGGGGCCAAATTGGCGTCATGGCCGCCCCGCAGGAACCTGGAGCTAGAACGTCTCAGCCCTGCCAACTTCCCCTCTGCATATTCTTATTCACTTACCGCGTGAGTATCTGACCTATCTGAATCATATTGTCGTCAACTCATATCTTCAGTATAGAATTCATCTTTACTTCGGACGTCTTAGTCCAGGCCCTCGCACAGAACCACCAATCGACTTCGCACATCCGAGACCCTGGCGCCCAAATCGCGATTTCGCTGGCCTATCGCTCGCTTCAAACCCTTTCTATTCAGAAATCCATTCCCGCCTAATCCATTCCCGAGCCCTACTTTGCCTGGCCGTGAGCCAAGACCCGGCAGATTTTCCTCCCTCCTCCGCGTTCTCGTCGGACCTCTCACAACCCGTAGAGCCCAGAATCGTCTCTGGAACATCCGCCACGAGACCCTCCCCCGCACTTCGCCACCGTGCACAGTCGCGACTCTATCAAGCCATCGTTCAGCGTCAGGCGCGGCTCGCAGCCCGCAACCGCAGGTTCGGCGGCGGCTTCGTTGCCTATCTCCTTGGGCCACGGCGACGGTTGCGGGGCGGCAGAGGTGCAACAGGTAAATTGGGATCAAACACAAGACCTATCAGCGGGCCTGTTGAAGGGCCAAAACATGCTGTGAGAGACCCGATGGCGCAATCTGGGCTTTCGTCAACACCCGGGAGCGGGGACGGCAGTGGTGGCCGGCGGCGCAGGGTCTACGGGTACTTCAAAGCGGCGAATGAGCTACGCCAGGCCTATCAGGCTCAATGGACCTCACAGAAAAACGAATACAACAGTGAGGATTATTACAATACACCAGGCGCCTTTCCAGATGTGGAGATCGCGCGCTCAGGCGATGAGGAAATGGTGTTATTCCCCAGTTATGCGAGGCGCTTAACGTACAAGCCAAAAAAGAGTGCTGGTGCGCCCTCCCGCCGTGAATCCTGGTCTCGCGAACTCGATGAATATCACGGCGTGGACCATGAGCGCCACTCAGAAGACGGCTGGGATAAATCAGAGGCTGAAGATGCGGTTGTGGAAGTCGATGTGCGTGGCTGGATCTATGCACCTGGTCGAGAGCCGATGAGTAAGAAGCATCGCCTCATGATCACGCTGGCTAGGCAGCTGAGTGGTGTACAAGCTCCTTCTGCTGCAAAGAATGGACAGAGCTCAACAGCAAGTAAAGGCGAAGACGAGTATGTGAATAAGCAGATGGAGACTCTGGTTGACTCGGCGGAGAAAGATGCGGACCAGGCTTGGAAGAGCTCTCGCGTTGATCAGTCCCGAGGCACCGGCCAACCGACTCCTTTGAGTAAGGATGAAATGACCATAGCCAACGCACAACTGATGGAAAGACTTCGTCCGTTCTTGACCAACCCTATTGCTGGGCTGGGTGTCATGGCGTTCTTCTTTAATGAGGAGGAGAGTGTATCACGAACTTTACGAACAGACGAGTCGGGACATTTCACGCTACGTGCTGCGCTACCGTTCGTCCCAACTCACGTTCGGGTCTTAGCCTCCGAAGACCTATGTGCTGCAAAACCGATCCAGCTCGTTGAGCCGACTGGCATCAGCCTGATCAGTGATATTGATGATACCGTCAAACACTCCGCCATTACTAGTGGCGCGAAAGAGATGTTCCGCAACACCTTTGTTCGTGACCTTAACGATTTGACCATTCAAGGAGTCAGCGACTGGTATCAAGAGCTAGCCAAGCGTAATGTGGACTTCCACTACGTTTCAAACGCTCCATGGCAACTATACCCTCTGTTGGAGAAGTATTTTAAGCTTGTCGGACTGCCTCCGGGCTCCTTCCATCTCAAAGCTTACTCTGGTATGCTGCAAGGAATCTTCGAGCCCACTGCCGAGAGAAAGCGAGGCAACCTTGAGCAGCTTTTGCGTGACTTTCCTGAACGCAAGTTCATTCTGGTTGGCGATAGCGGCGAAGCCGACCTGGAGGTTTACACCGATATTGTGCTGGCTAACCCCGGTCGAATCTTGGGAATATTCATTCGAGATGTGACAACGACAGATAAGAAGCCTTTCTTCGACCAGTCGGCCGGAAACCCAGAAGGGTCTGTGAGTCGTAGTCGCAGTACTCCGCAATTGGTGGATCATTCAGACTCTCATCCCAACAGGCCTGCGTTACCGCCCCGGCGAGCTCAAGATCCATCGTTTTCCCGGGATGATATGAAGAGCATTGACAACGGCGACTTGATTGATCTTCGCGATGAAGAGGAACAGACGCCGTTTGCACCAGACGTGCCCGTGTCTACGAAGCCGCGTGTGCCACCCCTGAAGCCAACCAAGCCATCTTCTTTACGCACAACGGCAGCACCAGGACAGGTTGAGACTTTATCTGGCAAGGCAAACCCACCACCACCGCCAGTACGACGAAAGGCCGTGCCTCCCTTACCGGCTCGACAACCGGTCCAAACAGTTTCATCGGTCAATTTTGAACCATCTCCAGTATCCCGCAGTCGCACCGAGCCGTTCACGAACGAGATTTATTCAGCCGACACTATAGATGCACCAGGCTCTGGGCAAGGACGGCCCAAGCAACCTCCTCCTGTGCCCCCACCGCGACGTACCAACACGTCTTCGTCAAATGCCAGCTCTCCGTCGAGCACACCGACTACCTCTCGACCCGTACCACAAACACCTGCAAAGACGTCATATTTACCGTCATACCCAGTATCTGCGGCTCAGGCTGCTCTCCAATATGCTACTGAGCGACTTAATCTCTCTTCATCACCTTCGCTAGGCCTGCGAAAGCCCGCATCTAACCAATCTTTGCCACGGACGGCTAGTGACTCCGCCATGCCACCGGCACCACTCCCCAACAAGCGTGAGGAGCTCTGGCGCCGTCGGTGGGAGCGCGCATCAGAGATTCTGCAGAGGCAGAATGTTGTCCTAGGCAGCTGGCGGGTTGGAAGCGATGCGCTGCCAGTGAGCGTGTGGTTGGTGGAAGAGGCACAGAAGGATATGCAGGCGGGTGCAGGACGCCAGCCTTAGACTCGCTTCACGAGGTTAGGATAGAACTGTACATATTCCTAGACATCTATACCATCTCTATTCATATTGGCATTGCTCACCATCATCCTCCGACACCGTTAAGGGGTCTTGCTTGTCGTCATTTAACCTCCCTTTCTGGGGTTCTAGCTAATGAATTCCCATTCGAAGTCTCTTTCTTATTAGATCTCCGGATAATCTGTACATTCTCAAATCAGGTATATGGAGAGTCGCATGGTGTTGGAAGTAAAGCAAAGGGTACGAAGACAGGGGAAAAATTAACCTCGGGAAGTGTCTGAGGAACGTGCAGTGAAAATAACCTCGGCTGATATTTCCCGCCCGCTCATTGGCAACAAGCTTTCGGAATCCGGGGTATGCAACATCTCTTCACCGAATTACTTCAGGCTTTCCTTCCCAATCTTCTTCTTCTCTCTTGACCTCCTCAGAAATCTTTCAATATGCCCTCACAAATACTCACTCGCGCCGAGGTGGCCAAGCACAACACCGAGGATTCCCTCTGGTGCATTATCGACCACAACGTCTATGACCTCACTGACTTTGTTGATGCCCACCCTGGCGGCGCCGTCGTGCTCGCTCAGGTTGCCGGTCAAGATGCCACGACTGAGTTTTACAACTTGCATCGCCAGGAGGTGTTAGAAAAATATCACGATCAATTGTACATTGGCACCATTGAGGGTGAAAAGCCCGAGGTTATCCGACCCGTGCCTGGCGCCCTGAGCCCCGTTCCTTATGCGGAACCCCTTTGGTTGCGCCCGCATTTTAAGAGTCCCTACTTCAAGGAGAGCCATCGCCGACTGCAAAAGGCTGTTCGCGAATTCACAGATCGCTATGTGACCCCCGAGGCGCAGGAGAAAGAGCGTGATGGGACCTATATCAGTCAGGAACTGATTGACCGTATGGCGGAAACGAATATTTTGGCTATGCGCCTCGGCCCCGGCAAGCATTTGCATGGCCGCCAGCTGTTGGGTGGCGCCGTGGATGGCAAGGAATTTGACTATCTCCACGACATGATTGTGACGCAAGAATTGGTTCGTGCGAATGCACGAGGTAAGCCCTGACCCAGGTTATGCCCCGTGAGATAGTGGTCTAATTTTCTCCAGGCTTCCAAGATGGCAACATGGCTGGCATGGCTATCAGTCTCACTGCGGTGCAGCAGTGGCTGAATGATCCCGTTCTCAAGGAGCGGGTTACTGGCGAAGTCCTATCTGGACAGAAGAAGATGTGTTTGGCCATCACCGAAGCCTTTGCGGGCAGTGATGTTGCGGGCTTGAAGACCACCGCCGAGAAAACCCCGGATGGCAAGTACTACATTGTGAACGGCACCAAGAAGTGGATCACCAACGGCATGTTTGCCGACTACTTCGTAACCGGCTGCCGTACTGAGAAGGGCTTCTCTGTGTTGTTGATTCCGCGCGGCGAGGGTGTCGAGACCAAGCAGATCAAGACCTCATACTCGACTGCCGCTGCCACTGCATTCGTGCAATTTGAGAATGTGAAGGTGCCCGTTCAGAACCTCCTAGGCCAGGAGCACAAGGGCTTCATTGTCATTATGAGCAACTTCAACCACGAGCGCTTCATGATGGTTGCTGCTGTGGTCCGCATGTCGATGACCATTGTGGAAGAGTGTTTGAAGTGGTGCAACCAGCGTATCGTCTTCGGCAAGAATCTAGTTGCCCAGCCGGCCATTCGTCAAAAGTGAGTAATCCCGAGGAGACCAAAACTAGTCCATCATCTAACGATCATCTAGACTCGCTCGCATGATCTCGCTCACCGAATCCAATCAAGCCTGGCTTGAGTCCATCGCCTATCAGATGTGCAACATGAGCTACGCCGAGCAGTCTATCCATCTGGGCGGTCCCATCGGCCTGCTCAAGTCGCATGCCACCAAATCCGCCGGCGAAATTGCTAGCATGGCTACCAACATCTTTGGAGGTCGTGGTATCACCCAGAGCGGCATGGGCAAGGTTGTAGAAATGTTCCACCGCACGTACAAGTTCGATGCTATCCTTGGCGGAACCGAGGAGATTCTTGCGGATCTAGGCGTGCGACAGGCGATGAAGAAGTTCCCCAAATCTATGCTGTAATATTGGGACCTTGTGATTTACTACGTCTGGTTTGTTTTTGCCGTTCCTAGACTAGCGTCTCAATACGCTGTCTTGTCATCTCTCCATCACCTTTAACATAATAGACCTAACTTCGCCTTGTCGAGCTCTTTTCTCCTTCTTTCCCCCTCCCTTTCAACCCCTCTATCTTGCACTCATGACCGTATTCTATTTTCTTTCAATAATACCATATCAAAGCAAAATGCCTCCTATCCACGGACCAATTGTCTTTCTTTCCTACACAGATACGGATGACTTGATGGGTCAGTCGAGTGGTTGGTCTCGATAAATTATCGATCTTGATGGAGTGAGAAGTCTCGGGTTAAGCGAACGAAGCACTTTGAAAGTTTTTCATAGAGACATAGTGTCTGCAAGATCTTCTTCGGTCAACTGGTATGAATACCTACCCAAGTCGCCATTGACTCGATACTTCTCGCCGACCGTCGAGCCTTGCAATAGATCGTTAGTTTCCATCCAATCGCCGACTACATTAAAAATATCATCGATCTCGGTATCCAAGCGACCCTCACGAATGATGTTTCGAAACCCATCCAAATATAACATACGGGGACCTCCAGTCTGAAAGGCTTCCTCATCGGCAATCATCACATATGTACTCGTGGCAGATTTCTGCAACGCCATTGCAACTTCCTCGATAAAGGCATCTCTGTGCCTTTATCCATGCTTTGGGGTTCTTTTCTTTCTTGTCGGCAAGCGTCTTTTTTGAAATACGAACGCATCGTATCACAGTGACCGGGATCAAAAAATCGCTTGGTCCACCTATCATCAAGCCCGGGACAAAAGAGGGCCAGCGACCTCGAAGAGAATTCCGTATACTCGACGCCAGTCGGAGCTAAAGTTGAACAGATCCGCATTATCGAGAACGGCCCACCATGCTTCCTCGCCAAAGATATCTACGTCGATCCATTTCTTCAAGTGGTCGTGCTTAGCCCGCTCGTCTTCGACGGTGCTATAGCATGTGCGCAGAAAAACGGGACATAGATGGTCGCGGTACATAACCTTCGCGCGCCATCGTAGTGAATCACTCCGATAGGGTTGAAGAATGAAGTCGATTTCTTCTGGCGTAGGTTCTCGTGGCGGAGGGATGTGTCCGGGAAGGCCATCGCAGTCCTCTTCAGGGTCTCTAGATCCAACAAGAGGATCAAGGTCACAAACCAAGATCGAACATCATACGTGTTCATGCATGTCTAGAAGCCATTATCGCCAAAACGCCAAACCCTCCATTATATACACAAGAAATCAAGCATCTCAGTGCCAGGTATCATACAACCAAAATTCATCTATGCGCTATCCTCGGTGTAATTGACCTTCTTCGCTCGAGTACTTTTCCGCGAGCCAGGCGCCTTCGCAGCCACACCTTCCGGCTCGGCAGATAGATCGCTTAGCTCATCCAACTCCGGGGTGGTCTCGATTTTTTCAGCTTTCCGCTTTTTGGTTGAAGGAGTCCGTCGAGGAACACGAGCAGGCTTTTCCACTGGTGTTTCCAGGGCGCCGTTGGCCTCAGGTTCTTTCTTGACCTTCTTCGGGCTCGCCTTGGGTTTCACGATTTTCTTCGCGGGGCGCAGCCATTCTTCCATGCCGCGTGGCCAATAGACCCGTCTGTCAGGACCACCCATGCCGACCTCCTCATCGGATATGGTGCGAGGGGAGGAACAGTTCCTTCAAGGTCAACGAAGCTGTCGTTCTTCTTTTTCGCGCGCGGGGGGCTTGAATGGCTTGTTTTCATCCGTCCGCATGTACGGGATGATGTCGTTGAACAGGTCATGGCCTGGCAGTTTGAATGTTCTCATCAACTCAAAGACCGCTTGCTCCTTGTCCTTGGCTTCGATCATGAGATCCATGGTGGGTGAGCAAGGCGGCAGAGTGGCGACCCGGTCGCTATGTTTGCGCCGTTGGCGGCGCGTAATTGCCGGGGCGGTTTGTTCAGAATAATGCATTTTCTGGGTGACGTTCTTTCGGGACCAAGTGGCTGCAATGCGGTCATAGAGAGAAATTATATCCTGCGTACCCTCACGAACCTCATTTGGATCAAACATGATATTGTGGTGATGATAGTCAAGTACCAGAGGAATGTTCAACTCTTCGCAAATGGGCAGTAAATCGTGTACGGTCCAGCTAACATCGTCATTCTCGAGTACCAGGCGATTCTTGATATCCTGCGACAATGATGCATAGTTTTCCCGGAAACGGTCCAATGTAGCAGCTTTATCACCAAAGACGCCGCCCATGTGTAGAATCATAACAGCATCGCGGTCTTGTTGGGGAGGCAATTTAAGCAGCTGCAGCATCTCCGAGTGGTATGCAAGGTCTCGGTAGGAGCTTTCTATCACTTCTTTTCTGGGAGAGCCCAGCTGGGTGAATTGGCCGGGATGAACCGATACACGGTGACCGAGCTCCGCAACTATTCGTCCAGCCTCTTCCAGAACCTCGGCCGCAAATGGAGCCAACTTGTAACCATACTCTTTGTGGCTAGCAAATGGAAACATCTCACTGCTGAGTCGCATGAACTTGATGCCATATTTGTCGTTCCAACGTATCAGCTTGAGAAGGTCACGCGCGTTCGCCAACCCCAGCGCTTCCACAAATGCTTGTCCACGCGCTAGTTCAGCTGGTTGATCACGATTGGGGCGGTTTTTCGTCGCATGCGCAGGCTGGTCTGGATCTTGTAATGGGTGTCGATTCTCAATGATGGAAGCAATGCGACATGTTCGGGAGCAGAAAACGGGAGGAGTTGAGTATCGCAGGTAAGTGTTCAGACAAGCCTGTAGAAATAGATATCAGAATTGGAGTCGCGCGAAGTTGGGGTTTATACAATTCAACTTACATAACCCAGGCGACCCTTCCAGGGAAGTGGAAGGTAGTCACTGTTCACCGGCGGAGGACGACCTAGAGCCTCTTGCAGCTCCTCGGCTTCAATGGGAATGTCTTCGTCGGACTCTGGATCCAAGGCTGCCTCTGCGCGACTCTCGGGCAAGACGACATCCTCATTGAGAATGTCAGCAGGCTTGGTATCAATGCCGTCCACGTCCGCGTCCAACGCCATTGCAACTGCGGTGTGTACTTGTCGAAGTGCGCTGCGCGAGATATTCTGGGGAAACAGCTGGAGAGATTGTGCAATAAGGTTCAGGGAGGTATACGAAAAATGCGTAAAGCAAGGAAGGCCTTGACAGGGGAAGCGCAAACTTGGTCGCGCTCCATGACGAACATGGCCCAAAACCGGCGCAGGCGATCTGACGTTCGCCACGAGAGATCGATCGGAGATCCTCAAGGAGGGGTGGCGACCCCCGGGGCCCGACCTGACGCCGGAATTCTGGACAGGCAGACCACGGAGGAGCCGTACAGAAGAACGACACATCCAGTGGGCTCTCAATATGGTGAGAGGCTGGATGTTGATCGCGGGCAATTCGTTACGAGGTTGAGGATCGGAAGGACGCGTGATCCGCGACGCGCCGCATTTCGTGACGGTGAAAACGACGAGACCGATCCTTACTCTATGCAGAGCAAGATCGATGAAGACTGTAAAGGAAAGTCTCGGGTTCGATCATTTGTCTTATGCACTTGTTTAATTTACAAAAAGGCAAGCCTATGTGGCGATTGACCTCATAGTGGGGAATCAACCTCTGTAGGGAATGTCGTTACACGCATCCTGGGAAACACATCTAAACCCCACAAGTTTCTCACAAGTTTCTACTTGTGCGCGGCATTCTTCTCAGTTTTCTTCTTGTATACAGAGTGATGACATGCTAGTCAGTGCGTCCTAGGATACGATTTACCAATCCTGATTTTGTCTGTCATTGCTCACTAAGTCTGCGCCTAGGCTATCTCTACTCGTGTCTAGGAGCACCACTCAAGGTTCATGGCGGACATTCTAAGGGGTTTTAGAAAGTCTTCAGATTGGTTCAAATCTAATTGAACTTCCACCTTGGACCTTGCACCAAGAGAGAGACAAAGGCGGTATTTCTTGCAGATACCAGAAAGCTGTTGAATGACCCTCAATAGCATCCGACAAGTAGGAAAAAGGCCGAACTTTACCCATGCTGAGATATATATGTAAATCTTGAGAGATGGCTTCAGTTGGCATCAGTTCATCTCTTTGTCTCCAGGTATGTTTGTTAGGTTCTAATCTGAGCAATCCGGGTCGCGAAAGGCACAATCAACGCTGTGAACGAAGAATGAAGAGATCTTCCAATTAACATCATTAAATTCAAAGATGGCCTTATAGGATCATACCGCTCCTAGCCGGTCATCGCTAGGGCTTTAAATGTGGCCATTCCATTACGAACAAGAAGATATAGGTGGCTATCATAGACAGCCCTTACATGTCCGTGCGAGCTCGCCATTCATTAACCCGGGTAATCCAGTCAAGAACCAAAGCCTCAAATACACTAGTCTCGTCAATAGGTAGGCCGTGCGTACCGCGATCTAAAACAACAAAGGTGGATCGTGGATAGAGCACCAGCAAGCGAAGGCTGTCTCGATAGCCCACGCTCTCGTCTTGGCGGCCACATAGAATGAGTGTGGGTGCAAAGAACTTGGCGCTTTCATTGTCCAACGACAATGATAACCGATATCGATGTGGGTCTGCTCGAATCGGATCTAACACCTGAGCGTCTGATGCTCTCTCCGCTGGCAGGTAAATTTCCTCGTATTTTGCCTTCAATTTTTGAATGTAATCAGGTGTTTGAACGAGAACATTTCCAAGAAGCGCCCTGTCTTCAGCTGGTATGCTTGACATGAATTGGTCGTTTGCTACCACAGGTCGGAAAGCGTCGAGATCGCGCATGCTATCCTTGGGCTCAATCAGCGGTACACGCAATAACAAACCATCGACTTGCGCAGCGTATTTGTGAGCTATGGCTCGTGCCAGGTAACCGCCACAGGATGAGCCGACAAGTAAGAATCTTGAGCTCCCAAGTCGGGAATCAATGAATTGTCCCAAGCGAAGGTACATATCATCCAGGTCCTTGACATTATTCGAAGGTGATGTGCCCATGCCTGGAAGGTCCACGTAAATTCGGCAAAGTCCCGGTGTTTTGCTGAAGATTGGCTCGAAGTCGAGTTCCTCGACTCTTCCCTCCATCTGCCATCCATGGATGATCAAGACAGGGAGTCCTTCACCAATCTCATGTGCAGATAGCATGGAGTCCATATTTGTTACTGCCTAGTGAGGGGGTGTTTCTGTGGGAAGCAGTTGCCAGAATGTTCAATGCGTCGTTTCTGGATAGGCACGCCATCTTATGGTGCTGACAAAATGATATTCCTAGCGTAATCATTCCCCCTCCACAAGCGAGCCATCAACCTAACGGTTTTTGGTCGCGGCCCCAATCCCGTCAAAATTGAACCCCCACCGTGGTACTTTACGTTACAGCGCTAACCATGTTGCTTATCAAGAATATATTTCGCATCTGCGACTTGGCATTGTAACTGACTGCTTTGCCCACGACACGTATTACGCAGCGAATCCCAGCGTCCCCATGATCATGAGAATCGGATGGAGCCTTCGTGGATGGAACTATGAGCTTTAGTGCTATGGGTTGACAGAGACCTGGACGCTAAGCGTGGTATGACTTGGTAGGTTCCAGTATCATTCAGCTAAGTGACAATTGTATACTACTTATACTGCCACAATTCGATTGCAGGTCTTGTGGTGAGGGAAACAGCGTATATTTCCCAACCCCCAGAGGGAGCACTCTGTTTTAGAAATGACACAATTTTGGCCTATCTAGCACTGATGAGACTTTGTCAATGCGTTAGTGCCGTGACTGTTGCCGTGATTGTTAAGGTCCACAATATCTGACTGACCCGGTCTGTGGAAAACAGTGTGATCTGAATCGATCCTCGATACGCTTACTTTGCATAATTAAAGGTAGAGCTGTATGACTTTGCGTCAAATACAAACTAAAAGATAATGACGACAGTGTGTGCGAATGGAATTACCGAATCTACTATAGGAAACGCCCGGGCCTACAATCCTCCATATTCACTACAGTCGAAGCGTTCTAGAAGACTCAAGGAGCAGGATGAGTTCGAGGAAACATTAGGGTTCGACTGAAGCCCTGCTGCGAGTGCCCACGCTCAACACGAGGAAACAAGTGTATACACCTTTTGCTTCTCCTTGAAGGTTTCGGGCATTTGAGCGAATTTTCGTGTGTCAGTAGTTATAAAGTAGACAGGATTATTTACGAGCAGCTACCTCAGAACTACTAAGAGCGCGACTTGCCTGACAGGATATGAAGAAGTCATCATCAAATATCAGGAATCAAGATATGAAGCAGTACGAAATGGGCTTGTGGATTAACCACTCACAGATCCTGATATCGATAATGCTAACCGTGTTGCGATCTCGTGTTTGATTAGTTTATTCTGCCTAATGGTTGTGCTAAAAATATCAGCTGTTGGCCGCATCCGGAAAATGATGGGTTACCCGGGAGGCACTTTTAACTCTTGCATCAACCTTGGGTACGCTACGAACTCAATAATTTATTTATTTGTCAAAAAGAATCACATTATCATTATATCCTGAGCCGCGCCATAACGCGGTTCCTAGCCTATGACTCGGTATTTGTATATATCAATCTCAGGCAAAGAAGGTATTGCTGCCAAAGCAAAAGGTCATATAATCGTCGACCGGCATGGAAATTACCGGAACATCAGACTCGGAAAGATGTCCGTAAAGAAGGACATCAACCATGGTAAATCATGGCGAAGCTGACGGCCAAGTTTAGATGTTGCCAGTATAGGCAGAGTTGCCATAGCCGTACCCATTTGCACCTCCAGTGGCGGTGGTGGGGAATTCAGTCTTGTTCTTGCGACCGAACGAACTGTACCAACGCTTCTCATCTTTGGTCTCACCGTCCATCTCGACATCAGCAGGAGTCGGGTGGCCAGGCAGAGCATCCGCGCCAGCAACCTCGGGGTTGTTCTTCTTGCGGCTCCAGAATTTGCGGCGACTACCCGAGGTGTAACCGTTCGCCGGGGAGGGACCGAATCGCTTCTCGCGCTTGTGGTGGCGAGCGAGAGCGATCTGGAACACAATAGAAATGAGGAACAGGAAGCTAAGGCGGTGGCGTTAGTAATTTGACAGTGAATCTTGGGTGCGGCGACATGGAAAATCGCCCAGATGAGGGATCCACTTACATTCCAATGATGGCAACGGCGAATGTCACCTTCTCCAGCTTGCAGGCCATACCGTAGCTCAGTCCGGCCTGGGAGTCGTCGCTGGCATTGCCGGTGCCCAGAGGCGTGTTGACGATGCCAGTGCACGTGTTGACGCCGTGGCGGGTAAGGATGGCGATGGCGATCATAGCGCCCGTGAAGCAGACATCGAGAACGACACCGAGGAAAGCGAAGAAGCCGATCCCGCCAAGGCAGCAGACGAAGATGGTACCGAGGACTCCGTAAAGTGTAGCAGCACCTGATAGACCTTCGACGGCTCGAATCCATGTTGCGATGTGCAGGTTGTGTTGGGCCAGAATGGCAAGGTAATACGAGAAGATGCCAAGGATAACGGCCGCATCGAGAAGCTGCAACACGCGTATAGCGAGTGCGGAAAAGCGTAGGATGACTCCGCCAATACCCATGGTGATGATTGTATACAGGAGGATGAAAGAAAGGTTGAGTAGCCCAAGGCAGAAGGATTCAAGGCTGAGAAGGGGATTTTATAAGGTGACCAGACCCTGACCCCATACGCGACGCAATTGTTGAAGATCTGTGGATGCGGACCAAGGTGATCCCTGGTTCATTCGACGAGTTAGTGGCTCAGCCACCAAGAAATGATGTCAGGGTCGGAATCATCGTGTCCACTTTTAGCGATGGACACAATATGACTGGCTTCTACCCCGACCGCCACCACATGTGAAGGGAAAAATAATCGAAAATAAGCAGAAAGTCTCCAATTATTTTAAGTCTCCAGCCACACTGGTGGAGGCGGTGCCCCTTTTTCCATGAACGCAGAAAGCTATGGTACATGCAACTTAAATGATGTTGCCTACGTGAAGGTCTCAGCCTGCACGTCCACCAGAATCTTGCAGTGCTCGTCTCTATGCTCAAGCAGTGCCTTTAATCCTTTCTCAACCACTTCATCGAGGGTGATGCACGAGGTGATCATGCCTTCCGGTTTGAGTTGGCCTGCTCGTACCTATATTAGCCCAATTTCCCTGGAGAACTAATTCCCAACCACCCAAAAAAGGGGTCAAGGGCAAACCTACCACAGTTCACCGCGCGGATCGTATCCAAAAATGACTGTTCGTCGTAGAGCGCCGCTCCCATATATCGGATCTCGTGGAACATCAACTGATTCACGGGAATAGAGGGCGGTTTCTCCCAAACAGCAATGTTCACAATCGTACCATGCACTCGGCAAGCAGGTATGGCACTGACAAGTGCCTTTTCCACGCCCGCGGCGTCGAAAATAACATCTGCGCCGACGCCACCCGTAATCTCGCGCACGCGCTGCGCAACATCGCACTCACGCGGGTCGAAAACATGTGAAGCCCCCAGAGTCCCTGCAGAGGCGTTGACGATTTTCCATCAAATCAGCCACCATGATGTGTCTCGCTCCTTGCAGCTTGAGAACCTGCACGACGCCGATCCCGATAGGCCCGCCTCCGACGATCAGCACGTTATCGCCAGGCTTGAACGGGGACAGGTTTACGGCGTGCCAGGCGACGGCCAGTGGTTCGATGAGGGCGGCAGCTTTAAGGGAGATGGTTTCGGGGATGGGGTAGAAGTGGCCGGCTGGTGCAACGATCTTTTTTGACATGCCGCCGCCATAGCCTGGTAAGTTATGGAGTGAGTTAGAGTCTCACAACATGTCAAGGATTAAATAACTCTTACCGCTTAATCCGATGAATCCAATGTTCTCGCAGCAGTGGTTGTAACCTTGCTTGCAGGCACTACATGTTCCGTCAAAGATCGTGGGACGCACGACGGCGCGCTGGCCGGGCGAGAGGTGTGTAACGTCGTCCCCAACTGCTTCAATGATGCCTCCAAATTCATGGCCCATCGGGGCGGGATACGTCGAGCCCGTAATGCAATGGGGTGTTTTCGGTATTAAGACTGGACCACCGGTATATTCGTGTAGATCTGTGGCTGTCAGATCAAATATGATAAAGTCTGAAGTGAGCGAACTCACCACTTCCACAAATTCCAACGTAGGCTGGCCTCATCTGTACACGGTCGATGAGTATCATAGACTTGCTCAAGGACAAAATCTCACTGAACCAACCTTGACTTGACCTTTTCCACATAATGGCTCTTCAATCTCGTCCACGCGGATATCTCCCGGACCGTGGAAACGAACAGATCTCATCAACGGAACACTCGTGAGCGTCGTATGCCGTGTGTCTTCCGACTGGGTGGTTGTGTTCACCATGCTGGCTGAATATGAGCGTAGCAGTTGTCGGCATTTCAACTGTGTGATGTAGACTTTTGTCGAGAAACGTTTAAACCTTCATCACTCGAGTCAAATGAGCCGCACGGGTGGAGGGTGCTTTATATCCCCTTCAAAAGGCAGATCAACTACCTCTAGAATGTGGCAATAAAACGATGAGTTCACAAAGGTACGAAAGCAGGTAGCTATCCAGGTTATAAGGTCTAGTCGGACTACGGGCCAGCCACTGAGAGCGCTTGTACAATACGAACAAGATCAATTACTTAGACGTCATCCATCGTGAGCGCAGCCGCCAGCTTGCGCGAACCAGGTTCATTGATAGGGGAGGCAGGGTAGAGCCAGGGTTCATACCAGAAAAGTTGTGATCATTCGGATTGAGGAAATGACGCCGATTCGCTGGGTTCACAAAGGAAGAGAGATCCATCACCTCTGCTGGTATCACCAGAAGCTCCATTCCAAGGATCGCGAGTCGGGGCCCCAACGAACAACAGCTCCCCAGCGCCAAGAACTGTAGGCGAACGGATGCTGATAAGCTGTGTGGCTGGTGTCTAAAACGAGAGACCGAAACAGCATAGAATATGGCGTCATAAAGCGTTCCAATGGAATGGACACAGTTTGCAGCACAGTAGGATGCACAGGAATAAGATCTGAACAGCTTGCGGTAGAACATTCGCACAATGTCCGGAAACCATCAGATGACCGAAAACCATCAGATGACCGGAAACCAGCAGATGACCGGACGAAGCCACAAACATCGCCGCTTGCACATGAATGAAATCATCGACGGGGATGTTCGTATTTTGTCGTACATCATAAGCTGGGGTTGATTTCCCCAGAGAACAAAGATTGAATTAGCCAAGAATCCACCAATGAGCGGCCAGCCGCGTTGACATCAATGCAGGGGAGCATCGACTTGCGATGACAAGGTCGGATACCAGCCCGGCCACTCAGGAAGTTTCCTCAAATGAATTTTGCTGTTCCAAAAAAGCAAGGAGAATCGAATTTAGCCCCTCGTTGCGGCGAGCAAGTAGCATCACGTCTGTCACATTGACAGTTGACCTTCCGGCATGCCTAATGCGGTAATCCCGATTAGCCCTGGGTGCGGTACCAGGGTGAGGAGAGAAGCAGGATATTGTGTTTCTGGTTGATGTAATGCGGTTTCACTCACTTGGCAAACGTCTCTAGGTCCTGGCTGACTGTTTCTGTGACATTGTCAGTTGCAGGGACGCCCTCAAAGGTTGACGCAACACGCGATGATGGTTCGCGATCGCCTTGGGCAGTAGACAAGTGCGAGGTCTTCCAAGATCAGACCATTGACCAAGGCACTGAACTTACCAATTTGAGCCCACACCATCTCCGTCAGAGCACCGATGAACTGCGGCGTGGCATTGACGCCCAGCTTCATCGTCTCCTCGTCCACGATCTGGCCCACGGACATCCACAAGGCAGATTTCAAGCGCTAAGGTTGGCATCAGCAGTGCGAATCTGTACCGTCAGAGAACACACACCTCCTTGAGTCCAGCTTCATCGGTCTCCATGATGTCTAATGGAGAAGTGAAAGAGCGCGTCCCATACATTCAACAATAGTGATATGATTGGCCCGAGACGCGTCAGCGGAGAAACCATTCATCCGCGATTAAATAATTCCAAAGCTTCCCCTTCCCAACGCTTCTCCTTCTAGGTTCGGGACATTTCAGGACAGCTTGATCGTTTCGCTGTTTTACGTGTTGGGAAACATTGGAATACTGTGTCATTTCCTCACGCCCCGCTCCTCACTCCCTATCTCATCACATACCACCCACAATACCCAATTTCATTCCATCCGACTCCTCCGGGCCTTCCGTATCTCCCACCACCGAGAAAAAAAAAAACTTAAAACGCAAAATGGCCGACGCAGATACTTCAGATCTCGGCGACCGCGCCGCCCAGGCCGCCAACGAATTCTTCGGCGAAATCTTCGGTATGGTCGAACTTGCTTTCCGCCGCTTCTTCAAGAACCTGTACAACTCGTTCGCCGAAGTCAGCATGTCGCGCTGGACGAAGGTCATCGGCAGTGTGATTTTCTACTTGCTGGTCCGGCCGTACGTGGAGAAGTTCTTCAAGTACCTGCACGACCGCGAGCGCCGCAAGGAGAAGGAGAAGAAGGACGCTGAAAAGGCCAAACTGGGCGGAAAGAAGGCCAAAATGTCTGCCAACTCGCTGCGCGGCGGTGACAAGGGCAAGGTTCTCGGTGAGGTTGAGAACACGGATGATGAGCTTGAGGACGATGAGGAGGATGACCTTGCTGAGGCTAGTGGTGTTCCGGAATGGAACAAGATGGCACGCAGGCGTCAAAAGAAGTACATCAAGAATATGCAGAAGAAGGAGGGTCCGAAGGCTGAGAAGTTCACTGAGGAGGAGATCCTGGAATTGCTGGACTGGAGTGAGTCTGAGGATGAGAAGAAGTCGAAATAGGGGGGGTTGTGACGAGGACGACGGATCTTGTTGAAGATAGACCGGTGAATGTTGCCAATATCTAATGTACTAATTCAACCCTGTATACTAATTTTATCATGTGAATGATGATCAGAAGTGAGCATGACACACCAAGGTGCAGTGTCCTCCATAGAATCCTCCCTAAGTTGGTACTGATTCCGGCCATGGGTAATTTCGAAAAGTCGACACCTTTATTAACCTCACTAATCTGCCGTAATAGACCAGGAAAATCTCGCAAAATCTAGCAAAGGTCCATTCCCACATGAAAATCAATGCAGCCGGCGCAATGCCTCAATCATTCCCTTCACCTCCTCCACGTCGCCCGAGCCCACCTCCGCCACGATGTCCTCTTGCAAGCTCGGATCACAGGTCAAAAATTGCTCGATAAGCTCACCGTCGACAAAGCGATACGGTGCATCTGCGGAACGTACAAGTGTGCGGAAAGCACGGAACTTTTCGAAGGGTAGGTCACCTAATGACTCCACCTTGCTGGCGATGGCGTTTTGAAGAGTCATGAGGAAGTCTTGGTGTTCTGAATTGATGAGCGCGAAGAGGTAAATCGATCCCTCGACCTATGGAAAATTAGCAGCTGTAGTCTGCATTCGGGATGCAGTACATACCGTTGCCATGAACGCACGAGGTGTCACCGTGACGCTGGCGAGCTGAGGGATGTGAATCGGGCGAATGCGGTTGACCATTTCACCCAGTGCGATCTCGCTGGTAGGAATTAGACGGTGTTTGTCTTGGTCGGTGACACCATTGGTGTTGCGAGACAGGACAATCAAGTTGCCCTCCGCTTCACTGAGAAGGAAAGTGTCGTTGTCGACACAGGCAACTGCCGTACTCCAGACTGTTTGATAGTGGCGGCCAATTTCCTTCAGCTCGTCCTTGACCCCATCCTCGCCGGGGACGTACTTCACGATACAGACACTCTTCATGAGATCAGCAACCACGATCATGTCGTCGACTACAGTGACATCTATGGGCGCGGTCGATGTCCGGTAAGTAGCGAGCTTCTCCAGCTTGAGTGCTCCCGAATTGTTGTCAATTGTCTTGTAGACCACGACCTGAAAATTGTTAGTCAGTAGCGCGATCCCAGCGAGCTCAATAACTCACAGTCTTGACTAGCGCTGCCACGATCCGGTCGCCCATCATGGCCAACGCTCGGCACGCACCCATGAGCGGCATCTCGGCAACCTGGGTCAGCTTGCGTCCATGGTCCACCTCCAACAACAATATCCGCCCGCGGATATTCTCTTCTTTATCATCCATAACCGCCGTACCGACAATGAATCGATCTTTAGTCTCGTCTTTGCCAACCGAGAATTCAGCACGAATAACACTCTCGACTAACTCATTCTCATTAAGCTCCAACGCATCCAGGCGTCGGAACAGGATCTCGTCGGCAAGGACAAAATGGCTCTTCACGACCTCGGCACCATCTTCTAGCTTTCGATCTATCGTACCAAGACCAAATGCTTTCTCTGCTGAAGAGTAGGCGACACGACGTACAGTCGATCCCATTGGTAGCGTTTGAATCTGAGTTGTGCGCTCTCTGTCCACCAGTGCGATCTTGAGGTCTTTTGCAGTGGCCACGGCGATCGATTCGGGATATGCTTCTGCGTTCAGATGGCAAATGCGAGAAGCACCTTCGGAGTTGACTGCAGAGTATACGATGCGGCCCTCAGAGCCGTAGATCAGACTAGGGTTCTCGCAGGTGGCAAAGACATTGAACAAGCCATCACCTCGAGGCAGCTTCTTAAATGTGGGCTGTTCGGATCCGAGTATCAACTTGTTCATGCCTGTCAGCGAGTAGCTGTGCGGATCTAACGCAAATGTGATGACACTTCCGTCGGCCATGGAGATGAAGAGGGTGGGAGGACTGTCCGCAAGCACATCCGCCACGAGAACAGATCGAGGGAATGCTTCTCCTGTTGGGCCTAATGACTTGCTCTGCAATTCAATGAGATCGTTGATCGCTAAAACCGACACCTTTGCTGACTGAGGGAATCCGGCAATGCAGACCCCCGTTGGCTTGTAAGGGACAGTCACGCCCGAGATCTGGTGGTCTGCGCCGAGATCTTTCTGGACCATGAGCTGTGCATTGCTCTGGAGATCGAAAGATGCTAGCACTTGACCACCGATGACCAGTACGAGGTTATCATCATTGGCCGAGGCAGCAGTAATCGCCTTTTGCGTAGCTGGTGTCCACTCGAAGGTAACCATTCCACTTTCGACTTCGGCGATCACTGCTCTCTTCTCTGTGACTTGCAAGATTCGACCACCCGGAAGATTCATGGCCAGAAGAGTGCTTTCGGTTAGGGCAAGTCCGAGGAAATTCTCCAGCTCCTCAACTTCTCCATCAGCGCTGAAGCGGAAAATGCGCGTCTCGTCAACAAATGTCACGAGGAGTGTATCAAGGCAGTCGCCTATACTTTGAGTCTGTAGACCCCAGAGATCTGTGATGTGTTCCATCTCGCCCAATACACCCAGCTCTTCCATACCGACACCGCTTCGCACACTCCGCAAGGTACCATCGTCGAACGCACCTGAACCGGTCACAATGCGAGCTTGCCCAGTCGAGAATTCGTGTGTATGGCTCTCACTGTCGCGGTTACCCAGATCCATCAAAGTGAAGTCCAGAACAGGAGCAATGTTGGACAATGTCTGAATGATCTCAAAGCCACCGTTGTTGATGCGGAGAACCTGCGAGTCACCTTGGTGCGAGCCAACAAAAAGGACACCTCCACCAAGATAGACAAGCACCGTGGCGCGCGATGTACTGCCCAGGTAGTCGAGCTTCCAGTCTTCGACATTACCGTCGTCATTCAGATGGAACATGAGGAAGAATAGTCGTCCATAGTCATCAGCTAGTAGCCATCGTTGACTGTCGACTTTCTCCCACGCCACGAAGACGGTTGCTTCCTCGAGATCACGCGAAATCATGTCATTTGCATTATCGTCAATGTACTTGATTGACGTCTCTCCCAAAACAATGAGACCCCCTGGGTAAATAATTAGCATAGATCAATCCTCAACTCAGAGATGAACATACCCAAAGGCGCTGGGATGGGAATCAAATGTGAAGAGCCCACATCGAGCTCATGTGCGAAGACTCCACCGTCTAACTTCTTCTCCTGCACCTCCTTGAACGTAGCATCCGCCGAGGCACTCGAAGTAGCCCGAGTATACTCCAGCTCTCGGATACGCAGCCGGACCTTCTTCTGATTATCTTCATACAAAAGCGCCAGCCACGGTGTATTTGACGCGGAATGCAAGAATGCCGACGATCGAACGAATAGCTCATCAATCCGCGAAGCAGTCGGGTCACCCAGTTCTCCGACCTGCGGGGCATCAACTTGCGCAGCGGCATGCGAGATCCTTCCTCTCCTTTTACTCGCCTCGATAATCGGAATAACGACGATAATTCCCTCATAGATTTCCAGCGTCATGAACCGCCCGCTGGGATCAATGAGACATCGCGGCTCCGTTTGAGCCTCCCGGGATGCCGGATCTGAGATATCCTGATAGGCGCGCGCAGTCTGGATATTATTTTTCTCGGCGTTCCACGATAGCGTGAAGTAATTGTACTGGTCGGTTCCCACGAAAAGGTGATCAGTCAGTGAGTTGGCTGGGGCCGGAAGGCGGGCAAGCATGGTCACCTGCGCGAAGATCGCACGAGTGGCAGCGAGGGTCATTCCATCGGGTGTGAGGGTGTAGAACTCGAGGCGATTTGCTTTTCTAATATAAGGATCGACGTATTAGCTTTAGCCCGTAGTACGAAGCTATGCTCGAGCTGTATCGCCCCGCAATCACCGAGTACCTGGCAGACTCACGCGACAACCAGGCAGTCCTCTTCTGCATTCATAAAGTTCAGTTTCACGGCATGGCGAATGCCACTGGCGCGGTGAATCGGCACCACGTAAGCCATGGTGTTGGTTGGCGGCGTGAGCCGTTAGAGATCCTTCACAATTCCGTCGGAGCTTGCGTCGAGGTGTAGCGGGTGCCGGGAGGAGTAGCAAGTAGTGGTGAGAACGGCCGGGGATTGCCGGATAGGTAGAAAGAAGACTCAATCCCGATATTGTTGTTGCATTTCTCGCAAACTTCGAGCTTGCGGAGAGGGCAGTTGCGAGGTCGGGCGGTGTCAAGGACGATTAAGTCCGCGCTTACAGCCGAAAACAGGTTCAACGATTCGGGGCTTTCTCTTGGTTATCTTCCACTCTACTTGAAGACCCGACATTCAAGCTTTTAACGACAGTTAAGCCCCGACTGTTTCTGTTGCAATAAACGCTATTTGAACAATTATATTCTTTTTATATCACCCAAATCTAAAGAATCATGATTTGCCCTATCCAAGGAGTGCTCCTGCGCAGAAAAAAAAAAGCTGAAGCCTTCATAACCCACAAAGCAAGGCTCCGAAATAAAAAAAAAAAGAAATGCTAGGCATACACAACCCGCCAAGGGAGTCGACAAAACGGGCCGAGCATATATGCTGGTCATCTCGATATGAGATGGAATGACCTGAACAACAAGAAAAGAAAAGCAAAAGTTCGTCGCTCATGACCAAACATCCTCCTGGTAGCTACCGCTACTCCGCATGTGCTTGACCATCTCCTCGCCCTTCTCTGCAGGCATACCCCGCTGCTCGGCGATGATGTGGCCGAGAACCAAGTTGACCTCCCGGGCCATGTTAGCGGCATCACCACAGACATAGAAGTTGGCCTTTTGCTTGAGTAGGTCGCTGACGAGCTCGGCATTCTCCTTCAGGCGGTGCTGGACATACACCTTTTGGGAACCCTCGCGGGAGAAGGCAGTGATGATCTTGAGGGCATCACCCATCTGTTCCTGGTAGGTCTGATAAAATAGTCAGCATTGGGTCTGATCATAATAGTCCGGGGAATCGAATCATACCTGGAACTCATCAGAGTAAATAAAGTCCTCATCGCGCTTACGGCATCCGAAGAACAGGACAGTGGTGCCGACCTTCTCGCCCTTGGCGGCCAGAGCAGCACGTTCCTGGATGAAACCACGGAAAGGCGCAACACCAGTACCAGGCCCAACCATGATGATCGGCTTGGAGGGGTCGGAGGGCAACTTGAAGTTGGAGTGGCGGACGTGAACAGGGACGTGAATGCCATCGTATTGATTGCGGGGACCGGTGATAGAGTAAGTCAGGCCGTGAGGATCGGGATTGGGGTCGCCGTTCTGCTTCTGTTTTAGGGCCAGGAGGTAGTTGGTAGTGACACCCTTGACAAAGTGGGAAGCACCGGGCAGACGGACGGACTCGACGACAGCAGTAATGCTGATCTTGTCCTTCTGAACCATGGAAGACGAAGAGATGGAGTAGTAACGGGGCTGGAGCTTGTTAAGACTCTCGATGAGAAGAGGAAAGGGAACAGCGGAGAAGGGCTTGGAAGTGATGCTCTGAAGAGCCTGACCAATGTTGAAGCGCTGGTTGGTGATCTTCTCGTGGAAGTAATCCTTGTCGGCACCTAGGCGGATAATCTCGTTCTTGCTAGCGTCGTCGGGGGCAAAGGCGGCGAGGGTCGAGACGAACTGGCGGGACACGGGGGCGCAGACTTCCATGTAGTAGCGAACAGCAGCGTCGTAGGTGGTAGGAGTCGGAATGGGAACCTTGGCAGTGACATCGATCACCTTGATGTTGATCACGGAGTGGCGCTTGTCGGCGAGACCAAAGACTTCGAGGAAACGGTCAACCTCGGCGCCGGCGTTGGTGGGCCAAATAGCAATGTGGTCACCGGTCTGGTAGCTCAGGTTGCTACCAGCGATGCTAATTTCCATGTGCAGGCAGTTGCGGTCCTTAACAGTGAACAGTTCGCGAGATTCAACGATCGGGGCGATGAACGGGTTGTGAGCAGAGTAAGGCCCCTTGGCGCGACCCTCACGATGGGCAGCCGTCGGCTCTCCCAGGTAAACGGTCTCATCCTCAGGGGAGGCCTCCTCATCCTCGAAAACGGAGAAGACAGGCTCGTAGACGGATTCACGCTCCTGGAGGTTCATGGCCTCGGTGAGAGCAGTCCACATGGGCTCCTTCCAGGCGAGGAAGTCCTCTTCCATGGTACCGGCACCGTCATCACCCTCGCCAGCGGTGCCAATGCGCTTCGCGCCCAGCTTTGTGAGAGTGGCATCGACCTGGCGGACCATAGAATTGTAGTGTTCGTAGGTGTTGTTTCCGAGACCGAAAGTGACATACTTCAGGGACGACAGAGGCCGGTCATTGGCGGTGGCACCGCTCTCAAAGGCCACATCATCGCCAGTCAAGAACTGATAGAACTCCACAGCGTTGTCGGTGGGTTCACCCTCGCCGTAGGTGGCCAGAACGAAGAACGCGACCTTATCGTCGGGGAAAGTGTCCAGGTTGTCGTAGTCGTAATCCTCAATATCGGCCACCATAGTCTTCAAACCGAAGCGTTGAGAACCCTCCTTGGCCAGACGCGAGGCGTAGTCCTCGGCAGTACCGGTTTGCGAGCCATAGAAGATCACACAATTCTTGCCAGTCTCATCCATCTTCTCAACAATGTTGCGGGTCTTGCCGCTCGTAGCGGCTCCATTCGTTGCGGTGGTGGTGGAGGAGGAGGCGTAGGGGTCTTTGGCGACAGCCCAGTAGGTCCCTTTGGTGAAGTAGGCAACGCTACCCACCAAGAGGGCCACCAGGACGACCAGATCTAGAGTGTCGAGTTGCGCCATGATGGAATGAGTCAAGCGACTCGGAGAGGGGGAAGTTGGCGAAAAGCGCGCGAAGAAAGGGATAGAGAGCCCTGGTGGTTAACTAGAAGACGATGGAACGTCCTCAAAATTCCTGAAGACTTCAAATTCGAGAGAAGACCCCTGACAAGTGTGTAGAAGAGAACAAAGTGGTCTGACCACGCTCCGAGCTCCGGTGCGGACCAAAGTGGATCTGTCCCTGCCGAGCCACATGCACAATCTTCAATGAGGGGTTGGGATCTCGGTGTGCACCTGGGGGAAGAGAACTCTTGCGGTGAATTGGTGACCCCGCAAAATCACGTAAATCGCCGATATTTATAATTTTATTTCTAGCTGGATCGCCCTCGGCTGAGGGGGAGGCGTCATTTATCGCCGTGGGGCAAACAGTCTATCGGAAAGAGAACTCGGCCCACGACTCTAGGGAAACCTTGGATAGTGCCTTGTCGCACATTCGAAACCGATACGCGCGATAACACGTTAGGTGCCGTCGGGGCCATTGTACCAATGGCATTCTGCCCCCATCTTTGGACACCCTCGGGTAGGTCTCTTCGGCAGGCCCGTCCGGGAGATCGAACTTGTCGCCCGCACCCACACCGTTTCGTGCCATTCACCGTCTGCGGAAAGTGGCAAAGATCCGCCTTGTGCACCGGGCTTATGCGGTCGAACTCCAGCACACCGGAGCCTATCCTCCTCTTCCGCACTTCGCCGAGCCACTTCAACCTGACCGCGGCCTGGTTCCGCTCTGTACAACCTGGTTGGCCTTTGTACTTGGTGGAGTAGCTGTGCTTTGCGACACGCAGGAAGGACTACAGAAAGGGCTACAAGTACAGTCTGTTCGCCATCGACCTGTTCATGGGGTGGCTTGTGGTGTGGGGAAAAGTTTGCCTCTCGGGGCTGGGGGAAACCAGGTCGATCCAGATTATCATCAGGACTTCATTTTAAGGATTATTACCCTCGATGAACATAGTCTTCAACCTGGCATCGTCATTCCCTGTGCTTGGGTGCCCCGTACTTTCGCAGCGAACACGAGGGCGATTCCAGGCCGAACCTTTGGACCGGGGACACGCGACATGACGAAGCGGGGATCCGCGGGGGATTTCATATGATTTGCCGTCACACCCGGGAACAGGGAATTGGACGGCTATCACGCTAACCAAATATCATGTTTCGCGGTTAGCGGGAATAGGAAAAGACAAACACTGAAGCCAATCTCGAGGAATCGGTGGAGTCATTAGTCCTCGTTGACAGTTTCCTAGATCTGCCATATGCATTGCCGGCCTGCTAGATCGAGTTCCCTCTCGGCAAGTGACAAATACAATTGTTCGGCCACAGTACGGGTATATCATGTAATAATTGTACTATGCGAGACTGCAGCGGCTCAGCTAAGCAGCCGGAAGTATACCCAGCTGTCCAAGGGTATTAAGACACAGGCTTCCATACACGAGGCGTCAAGCGGCGGTCTCTCTAATGGACGTCACCCGCTTGAGGAGCTTCCATACACGAGGCGTCAAGCGGCGGTGTCTCTAATGGACGTCACCCGCTTGAGGAGCTTCCATACACGAGGCGTCAAGCGGCGGTGTCTCTAATGGACGTCACCCGCTTGAGGATGCACAAAGTGACCCAGCCAAGAGTTAGCACCTTGTGCAAGATGAGCATAGACTTTGAAGAGTCAACCCAGCCTAGATTAGAGAGCTATTCCACCTTGGGGAAGCTTTGATCCCGCATAAGCGGACAGTGGAGTTCGTCACCGATCTTTTCTTCCATGTACACCTGAAGATGAGAGTGAAGCGCCAAAGTGACAGCCTTGAGAAAAAGTATAAGAACACATAGGTTAGTGTGTACCATGCCGAAAAGACTGCAAATGCTGACTAGATGCTCAGTCACACTGAGAGATCGAAGCTAGTGCAAGCGCCCAATGCAGTTGGGCGAACAATGGAATGCTCAAATTATTGCCATTACCCCCTTGAAATTCAGCCTATTCCCAATATATACTGCATAATACTAGAAATATCTGAATGATGAGGAAAATTAATAGTGCCAAAAAAGAAACCCCCTAGTAGTATCTGGAGACCGAGCACCGCAAGGAGAAAAAGTGGTCCCCGTGCGCCCGAATAAACATGAAGCTCACCATCTTCACTCCGGATCTACTCCGGACCTCATAGCACGACCTCTTTCCCCTCGAATGGACTGAGCCGCAATGTGCTT